TGTTTACAAGGTAAAATAATGTTTTCCCCTATTTTTCTCTAAAAGTAAAAAAAAAAAAGAATTTCCCTACCTACCTACCCACACCTGAGACTGGTGGGTAGGATTGGGCAAACAGAAATATTTTTAAGTCAGGCCTAATTTTCAGGAATTTTCTGAGTCTTATTTGACAAGACCAAAAATCAAATAAAGTGAGAGCATCTCAAACTTGAGTCGAATACTCTTCCAGTATCAGGAGAACATCAAAACAGTTCTCTTACTCTAATGAATTGTAAATTTGTAAATATGGATTAAAGTGATTATAAAGGTGTTGAGGAATATTTTATTTTACTTTATTTTACTCTAAGAGGTATTAATTTAGCAGTCAGTACGTAATGTTTTATTTCTTTTTACTATTATGATGCCAATATATGAATCCTTCTGTCCTAGACTGACTAGCTAAGCTGGATTATTGACAGGTTAACTGTTACGTTACAGCCTCATGAATGTCAAAATGTCATAATTCAAACATTAGACCAACTAATCTGCCCTTAAATCTACATGCACATTTGTGTAATTTGTACCCATATGCATTAATTTTATGTGGTCATTGAAAAAGTAGCAATGTATAAACAGCTTTTTATCGTTTTGTTTTGACCTAGTTAGGGACTGAGACTGTCTAGGCAGTACTTAGCATGTTCTGTTCATATTTCTCTGCTATATAATTTAAATATCATCAATTTTATTAAAGTGTCTATAACATGTATTTGAATTTCAATGAATAAAATTTCCTACACGTACAAGATTATATTTACAATAGAGACATACATGTACATGAAGAGTCAGATGCTTCAATGATTTATAAAAAAAATTGTGACATAAATTATCAGAGATTAAAAAAATATGGGACATATAATCAATTAACACATTTTAAATTAGAATAATTAATAAATCAATTTTGAAATGAAGGCTTATAGAAATGAAACAGAAAATAAAATATAACTTTTTGATAAACTATGGTTACTTTTAAGTCACTCTTTATCTTGATTCAGTAATGTAAACAGTGCTGTGTTAAGCAACATCTAGGTACATCTAGCATTTAATTTCAGAAGAGATCACCCTATCCATACTAATATTGAACCCAAAAGTAATTTGTGTTCCGGTAAAAACCATGCTGGCTTTTTGGCCGAGTTGTGGCAAAGTGTTACTCAGTTTATACATTTTGTAATATGATGAATGCCATCAGAATGTCTGGGTGTCAACATTTCCAGTGCAGCCTTAAAGCTATGCCTATGCTCTTGGCCTTGCAAGTCCTGACACTTTCACATCAAATAATTACACATACATCCTGTCCAGCCAGACCCTGTATTAAAGTTAGCAGGAGTTGTTTAATAAATTGAGGTGCTCATTATATGAATATTCTATGAGCTAAGCTGAGGAAATTATCATTTTATTGCAAAAAGAAATGAAATGAGTAAGTAATCCAGGGTTGGCAAATATTGACCAAGCCAGCGGGAAATACTGGCTAATTCTGCAATCTGTCCATGGTTAATTGAAATTTTGATGGGACATTATAGGACATTACAATTAAAACCAGTCCCTACCTGATCAGTTATTGGGTAAATGAATAGATATATAGTCACCGGACAGAAAGTCACTTATTTGCTACATTATAATATACTAGAACAAAAAGTCACAATTTAGTAACGGGTTAACAAGTGGTTGAATATGTACATGTAGGCAAAAATCCTTATATAAAGCCTATTATAAGATATTGTACAGTATATGATATTGTTCTTACACATGGATAAATGAAGATTATAAATATTATAATCAATCATTCTACAAAGGAAATATTCTGTAGCACCATGAAGCCAGTCACTAACAAGAGACTATGACCTATTGTTGTCTCTCTCTGGTTGGTCATTTCTTCAAATAATAAAAATTTCAAAGAAAGTTGTTTTGTAAAGATAGGTTTTTCTGATTATCTACCTTAGTTTGTGATGCGACTCCTAGGCGTCATCGTAGTAGCGGTAGCCATTACAACCGTGAAAAAATATAAACAAGATATACATCTATTTCTCCGACTGCATATAATTAACATAAACACAAGAATGAGAGGGCGTGCTTGACCTTAGCAAAATTATAAATGCTATATACCAGTAATAAATAATAAAGTAATTAGATAAGGAATGGACATTAAAATTATAAGTGTATTGCAGGCCAGGTGTCGTGTCCTTAAAATATAACTGTATTTGATACGTTACACCCGGGACATACTATATACGAATACTATTCCCAGGTTACATATCGGATATAATCATTTGGTAATCATAATATTGATTATTATAACACATACATGTACTTAAATAAAAATAAATTGTCTTGCCGGGTCGAATGTGATATATTAGAAAAACCAGGTGCAATTTTATCAAATCATAGAAATTTCTGTGGTCAGACTTATAATTAGAATTATTAGACGGTCCTGAAATTCAACAATCCTCTAATCCGATGGTACTATCATTCAACAGCCCGTTTTCTCCGATGCGCAGTTACTTGTCTCTGCTGAAAAATATACATATAAACATGTACCGTTTGATGATAAACTTTTTCACAGAGACGAGAGTTTTGTGCTTGTGGTCTGTAGGTTCTAGTAAATTATTTGATTACCAAGACCTTTGAAAAATCCTTTCTAATGTGTAAAATTTTATAATTCATGCACAGAATAATCTTCTGATGAGGAAAGTTCAAATCAAGTTTCAACAGAAGTTACTGTATACACATGTACTTCGTATAAAGAAAGTAAGGTGAATATATACTTTAAGCACACATGTCTACATATACCATGGTACACATATCATGTGGACCATTAAGATGAGGCTTATAGGGAAGGGCCCTTAATGGTAAGTTTTGCTAGTATTTGTCTATGGATGCAACTGTTTGTAATACCTTTAAGGTTTTCAGCAAGAACTGGCACCCAGGAATAAAATATTTTACAAACCTTACTTTTTTCGAAATATGAAAGCGCCGTCCAAAATAATTAAATATCAATTTGAAACTAAGTGTTAACCTCATCAGTACGATCGAGAAACAGCTAATCTGCTATATCGAAGTTGAAAATTAAATTTGTGTAGTAATTCCACTAAAGTAAAGAAAACTTAGTTACATTAGTATACAATAAGGTGTCACCGTCATTCATAATATTTCTACACGCCGACGTGGTTCCCCCTTTTATTAACCGGATTTTCTAAGGAAAAATCGGTTCTTGATATAGGGATATATGGCGGGCGGGTGGCTGCCAAACAGTGTCCGTTCATTAACATGAAAATGCTTTGACGAAATCATTTCAAATTTAGATATGTTGTTTTCTGTGACTAAATGAAGGTCAAGTTCAGTTTTCACGATTTTAGCTTATCTAGTTGTTGGGTTGTAGACCTTTCAGTAGCGAAAAGTGATATTTATTATATGATTTATTTTTATTTTGAGTTGTTTCCCTGTTGAACAGAAATGATGTAATTAATAAGTATATGGATAGATAGTCTATCAATGATTGTATCTGTTCAATTGATTTTAGTCAGGAGTTGTCAAAAATTTCTTTATAACTATCTTTTTTAAGTCATGTGTGTTTTGAAGGTAGATGTCACAGTTGTTATGTTGTATTTTATTTTTGTTGGGTGTGTTAATGTTTAATTTTTACTTGATCCTGTTTGGGGGTCAAGATTTGCAAATATCATTTTCATTTAACTTTGAACTCCTTACTCCTCTGTGAACAGTATTTTTGTCTGAGTTGATGTTGTCAGAATGTCTGTCCATTTTGCAGCATATATAAAGATAGTCGTCATGAATAAAAAAGTTCGTCTCTTCATACTTGGTTGATTAATTTGCTTACAATTAAAAATAAATGTAGCCTCAGGGTAATTTTCATTGTTATTATTTAAAAATGTGCAGTGGCGGATTTAGGGGGGTGCCTTTTTCAAAATCCTGGATCCTTATCTGATGTATGGATCTTCTATACAAAAAACGGCAGATGCACTATAGTCATCGAATTAATTTTCATAGATTAAGTTTTTTTACAGTCGTTTTACAACGTGTTAACATTTATCTGCCAGTGTAATTTTACTTTCATAACAAGTTTTATTTTTTAAAAAACGGATTATGTGCAGTCGGTGCACCATCCATAAAATAATGTCTGGACCATACAAAAACTTGTTTATGCAAAGTTTTGCTGTTTATAGCTTTGATCCACTCAAGTTTGTTGGCTTGTCAGAAGGCATCAAATGAGACTTTACATGTTCTATGGAATCAAACAAGGGCAGTCATTGTGCAACTTGTTGTGTAATTCAAATATTGATTTTTTTCCACATCTACGATTATTTGTACAACTATTAACTGCAAAAGAAATGCCTCCACCTTTTTTATAACTTTCAGCAGTATCCATAGTAAAATAAATCAGAAAATGAAAGAAATACAAATGTAAACAGAAAATCGATAATGTTTTGATCAGAACACATGCGTTTTTTTTCACATTTGTAATGGCTGATTGGTCGCGTGAGAGGTTATTGGATGCGCCCATGTTTTCTAGGTCAATTATAGATAAACCCGTCTTTTATAACATTGAATATGATACAATATTAGTATAAATCGACATATACATAAGATTACATAGAAATAAGAAGATGTGGTATGCATGCCAATGAGAGAACTCTCCATCCAAGTCGCAATGTAAAACACAAAATAAGTAAACATTGAATAACAAAAACACATTACAAATTGTGTCAACAGGTCAAAATTAACACGAAAGTATGATTTAAGAGTACTCACAGTATGGTAATTGAAAGCTAGTTAAAAGCCAAAAACAATTAATAATAACAAATCATGCATCAGAAACTGAAATCAATTGAAACACATCCCAGGGATTTAGTGTTTTACCACCATGCTAATACATGTACACTATATTTCATTTCTTTTGAAAAATGTACTTTCAAATACATTTGTATAACAGGTAATTATGTTTTTTTTTACAGAAGGAGGAAGAGACAGATCAAATAGTAATAGCAGCGGCGAGGAGAATGACATTAAACCTGGAAGAATCAGATATAACCTCAGAAAAAGAAGTTTGGACTCATCAGAAAATGGTGAAGCTGGAGACCAAAAAGATGCACAGATGCCTAAAAGAAGAAAATCATCTTCTCGTTCAGTAGCTCCATATTTGAAAGGTAACATATACAGATTGATATAATTGATAAACATTCATATTTTGAATTATGAATATAAGTTTAAAAATGCACTAACAGAAGATTCTTTTGTTAAAGCATAGAATTTTGTAGGTGTCACAATTTCCAGATTCCTCATGACCAACATTTAATGGGCTTTTCCAGATCATTGAAATTTAAGATTTCCAAATTGGATTTTCAGTTACAAATATTCTGAAGGTGTCTTTGTGATCAGCAACAACACAGAAAACATTTATTCCATGTTCATTTCATATCAGGGAAGTTGACTTGGTGAAGATGAATAAGGACTTTTATACTGAACATTCAGCTGTCAGAGCAACTATGTCATCATGATATGTGTCTTAGTTTATTCATTATGTGATTTTTATTTGCAATAAAGAATCCAAAGATTTCATAACAAAATGAATGTATACCCTGTATTATGTTGGGCAAAGTAATTTGAGTTACATTTATTTTATAAAAATTACCAATCTCGTGAATACTTTTTACATTTTGTTGATGTTAGGCAGGTAGAGTAGATTTATTAAAATAGTAGCCTCTTATTTATTAATTTTTGTTTTTTCCATGTGTCAGGTAACGCAGTTGGAGCTCGATACATTCAAGAGGAATTACCTGATGAAGTTCTTTTGAAGATTTTGAGTTATCTGTTAGAGTTTGACCTTTGTCGAGTAGCTTGTGTTTGTAAACGATTTAGGACCATTGCTAATGATACAGAATTATGGTAAGAATAAACCATCCTTTATGTTGTACTAGAAATGATGATGACATTCATTAAAACATTAACCTTATAACAGTCCAAAGTCAAACATGTCAGTGAAATAGGGATTTAAGTTGCTGATTTCCTCTGAAACTCACTAAATCTCATGTCTAATGTAGTAAAGCAATGTTGCTGTCCAAAAATGATGAAGAGATAATATGAGAGAAATTTGTGATTGTTGAGTACTTGTCACACAAGTAAATCAATATTGATGGGTGTATTGGAATTTATGGAGGCTCATGGGATTTTTGGGATCTGTCCTATACCTCTCTTTGACACATTCCCCATTTCCATTCTCAATTTTATGTTAGTCTATACATTGAATTTTTCATACTTTTCTCAGGGTTGGCAAAAACCCGGGTTTTATGAGTATTGCCCAGCCCAGTGTGAAATACTGGGAAAACCCGGGTTTTACTGGGTTATACCGGGTAATACTGGGCAATACTGGATAATATGAAATACTGGCCTGAATTTTAAAGAGGATTCAGTGATTAATCACAAATGCAATACATTAAAGTCGAAGAATTCAAAAAGAAATATAACTAATATTAAGAATTAACAATTCTATGTACATGTAACATGTGTAAGGAAAATAACTTTTAAAGATTTTTGTTCATTACTAAAAATGTTTACTAAGTTTTAGCATATGTTTATGTACATCACTAAATAATAAGTAATTATTCAGATTAATACAGATTTGTTTATATAATAATAATCAGCCTTTTGATTACTATAAGTGTTCATGGCCTGTCCCCTTAGGGCGTTTATTTAGCAATATGATTATATAACAATTAAAATTTACAATTCATTTAAACACTGCAATAAAATGCATTTTTTCAACTTGGATTTAATATTGAAGCAAAGCTTGGAAATTAACAAGGTATCCTGAAATGTCCAATACTTGTATTCTGCCTACATAGAATTAGTGGAGATAAGGAAGAAACCCTCAATGGTTATCTGTATAAAATGTATATATTTAGCTATAATACTATTAAACTACAACAAGTCTTTACTATTTTGTGTAAAAATAAGCTTGAAAAATCATATTACCCAGTAATACCCGTTTCTAGGAGTATTGCCCAGACCGGGAAAAGCTGGGTTTTCCCACTCGGTTAATACTTTCCCAACCCTGCTTTTCTCAGAAACTATTGAGCAGAATGACTACATATTCCATACCTGTCAACCCCTGAAACTGAAAATGTAGGTCATGGCCTGCATTGAGGAATAAAATGTCAGGTCATAATGCATAGGAACTTTTTTTCGGTTCAATTTTAGAGTATTTTTTACATACTATAAGATATACATGTACCACTGAGTTTCCTACAAATATTCACTTTTGTATTGGTTAATTATATTGATATTTATCATTAATCAAATAACTTTCTAAAGCAATGCCCTTTTATTGTTTTATTCACACTACTTTTAATTAATGAATGTCATAAACCCCAGCTATACATGTAATTAGAAATCAATTATAGCTAATGTGCTCCTATACACAGGAGGAAGATAAATAAAAAGATGTTAGATTGGTTCTTTTCATTGCAATATCTAGAGCATATGGATTTGATTTAAAGCTTTAACATTTACATGATGTAAGTGATATTAAAATTATTTACTCCAACAGAAATGTATTATAAGGTTCAATTTGTTTTAAAATGATTTTTATAGGACAATTTATATTTGCAAACGGCCTATCTTTTAATCAGGACATAGAATTATATGTTAAACTTGACTGGTTTCAATTTTCTGGAGTACAATTAATGAGACAATTCTCAAATTGTTACTTTTCAATCAAATGCAATGCTATGATAGCTGTCATCGGCATGGTAAATAGGCAAATCCTAAGTTGAGACTTTTCAATTGTTTACCTTTTCAAAAGAAAAAGGCTGATAAAACCTAACGTATATTTGACTTCTAAATACCGGAAACAATACGGGTGAAAACAGGTCATTTTCTGAAACCCTGGTTATTTGAATACCCGGCAGGTATTTAAAAAAAACCTGTGTGAAAGGGGAAGTTCACAGAATACAGGTCTGTTGACAGGTATGATATTTGGTCGGCAACTCAACAGGGAGTTGTAATGAATGTTTGCTTATTGGATATGTCAGACATGTGCTTCCTGCTTTCCTATACATTGAATAAATAGCTAAGCATGACAACACACAACATGTGAAATCCTTGTTAAATTTGTTTTATTTTTGTTGTCTCAGAAGGTGAGACCTAGGTGTTGCTTTTCTGGGGGAGGCATCACCTATTGTTAAGTTTTCTGCTTAAATCAGTTTGACAGGAACTACTTGTGATAGATCAATGACATTTTCTATAAATTTGCATTACTTTCAGTACATACCAGTTTGATGACTATTTCGAGGCCCTGCCCCATAAGTCATGGTCCAGTGACTATGATTTAATAGTAATTTTCAATGTTAAGTTTTCTGCTTAAGTCAGTTTAATAGGAACTACTTTTGATAGATCAATGATATTTTCTATAAAGAAACATTGTTATCAGTACATCTCAGTTTGTCATGGTCCAGCAACTTTTTATTAATAAGGAATGTTGCTGTCCATCAGATTGTCTTTTTCTGCTGAAAGGTGATACATATCTCTGTGTCAACAGTTTATTTATTAAATTGTATGTCTTGTATGATGATGTATTGATTAAGTTTCATCCATGGTACATCTTCTTATACATTTTACATTTTATGTTACATATATGATAAATCAATCATTTATTGTTTGAATGCTCTTTACCCCACATCTGTTCTCCTTTTATTCATATTGAGGTATCTACATGCATCCCATCTTATTTCAGGAAAAAATTGTATCAAGAAGTATTTGAGTATGACTTTCCGTTGCTTCACCCAGAACCAAGGGTATTTAAGTTTCTACATCCACAAGTATACTGTGACTATGATAACCCATGGAAAGAAAGCTTCAGACAGTTGGTAAGTTTTAGATATAATAATGAGCTTGTACTCTTTAGTGAATATATGAAGTATACTATTTGTAACCCTTTCTCCAAATATGGGTACACAGGTTTACTTCTGTTTCCATCTATGTGTGTGAATAAAAGATTTCCGTCACATTTTTCTCAGCAACTACAAGTCATAGTTTCTTGATGTATGGCACCAAGCTTCATCTAGTTGTCTTACCCTGTGACATGCTTTCAGTTCCTGCAATGGTCTACTTGTTTTTCACAAACATTTAATGAATAAAAAAGTACCTTAATTATTTTTATGCCCCCACCTTATGCCACTGGGGCATTAAGTGTTACCCTTGACCATCTGTTTAACAAGTTTTCCTCATCCAAATTTTATGAAACTCAAACACAATGCTAAGAACCATAACTTGCAGACAGAGTTCATATTTGGAAGCAAGTCACTTACCGTTCTAGAGTTATGCCCCTTTTTAACTTGGAAAATTGCAAAGCATGAGTGGGGGCATTTGTGGCCTCAGACACATTCTTCTTTTGTTTTTTTATGCCCTTGCAACTAAAAGTTGGGGGCATATTGTTTTACCCCTGTCCATCTTTACTTGCATAAGAGGTTCATAGCTTTTCCAGATAACTCCTCCTACAGTGAACCATCAACCTATGTGCTCCCATGTTCAACTTTGTGTATTTTAAAATAACACTTTGCATCTGCTGGGGCATCATTTGTGTCTCCCAGAAACAAAAAAAAAGGAATGCTGGGTCATCACTTTGTCTAGTTTATTATTTAAATGTAGAGATTTGTGTTTAATGAGAATGATACATTAGATCACAATATTAACTAATCTTTGGTTTTTTTTCTTCAGTGTAAAGGTATACACGTGAGACCAGGATTTAGAGATCTGTATCACAGAAAGTACAGAAAGTTAAAAGGCAGAGATATGAAGGTATGTGTCAAAAACTAGTTCACATTTTATAATCCAATACATTTCTTGTATTAAATCTATAATTTATAAAGGAATAATGAAAAATAATATCAGATTCCCAAAAATCATTATTTTAGATGCACAGAAATATCAAAATAACTAATCACAATATAAATCTATTGTCATTTGAAATACTTCTTCAACTTATCCTCCACATAGCTGAACAGTTTACGTGCTGCTGTGACTTTTATCACTGACAGTTGATTGTTTTCAACTCACAGTCACACATATGCAGGGCTCACACTACTTCAGAATCATAGGGAGAAGTGACTTCTCTTTTTGAAACTGAGAGGGAGAAGTGGTGAGATTTAAGAGAGAAGTGCTCGTTCGCTCGCGGCGCTACAATGTCTGGTTTTACTATAATACAAAGGCCCATATGTATCTTATTTTTTTATTATTGCTCAATTTGTACCTGGGAGTACAATAAAAGTAACAGTTCAAATTCAAAGTTGTTTAATTTTATCATATCTAGTTGCACAATCATATTAGTCCTCTTGTCAGAAAAAAAAACCGGTTTAATATCTAGCAATAATAAAAAAGATTTTTTTTATATCAAAAAGGAAAAGAAAGTTGTTATTTCAATTTAAAATATACTCTGTTATGTTTGTGAAATTCAGTGGTTAAAATTCTCATTTAAAAGATATATAAATTTAACACAGTTAAGCTTGGACATAGTATAGTAGTCCCAGAGTTGAGCAATTTTAATTGATAAATTGAAACAATTCATATACATGGAAATATATACATTAATCAAGTAGATCTAACCAAAAGAGTGTTAATGCGCGTGGAATGCGTAATTTTTCCTTTTGGGATCAATATTCCTCTGTCAGCTGTGCCATTCATTCTTCAGTAGTCATTATCGTATGAATCCGGATTTCGGTCATAGCTGGTCCGGTTCGGATCAGTAGTTTAGTACAAATATTTCAATGGCGGACGAAGAAGAAAAATTTACAAAAATAAACGATGTTTGACACGCAATTTGGAAAGGAATATGACGTTTTTAATGCTATAGATGGATAACAAATTTATTTCAGGCAAATTTCATCACGTTCTAATGAAGTAACGAACTTATTTTGCCGAAAATTAGAATGATTTGATGTACGCTCTCTAACAAGTACCGGAAGTGATAAAAAATTGTTTTTATGAAATAACTTGCAACCAACTTTAAAATCAATGCTTTAACCTCTTTTCTGAAGAAAATAAATCGTTTATGTCTTTGAATTTCTTTACTTTTTACTGAAAAATTGCTGTTTCATCGACTTGGTAAAAATTGAACATTGCCGATGACGAAAGCGACTGAAAGCGAGTATCGTAAACCACAGGGCGACTAGTTTTCGCTTTTGAGGGTCGGGGAAAGCGAAGTGACGGACGGGAAAGCGATATCTTCGCCCTAGTCGCCTGGTAGCGTGAGCCCTGATATGTAGCATGTGTAAAAAAGTATAACACAAATACTGAACGCCAAGGCAAAGTCATTCTGTATAAATGAATTTTATAAAACATTTTTTTTTTCAATTTTAGTGCTTTGAAACGATTGAATTTGCATATGACTGGGTTGTTACAGAAGAGTTGGAAAACCAGATAATCTTTGTCCATTCAGGAATATATCATAGAGAATATCTATTTATTGACACCAATGTGGCTATAATAGGTGCTGGTAAGTATACTTCATCTTTGTCATTTTTGTCCTGCAAAGGCAAAACTTAGGTGTGCTGTTTCCAGTGGCTGCATGAACAATTTGTTAAAAATTGTGGTTATGTCAGTTTAAGGGGAACCACTAATTGTTTGTCAATGATAAAATTTGTCAACAGTTTATTTATTAGTCCCCTACCGACGAAGTCAAAGGGGACTTTAGGTTTGCACTCTGTCCGTCTGTCTGTCCATCCGCCCGTCTGTCCATCCATCAGTCCGGCAACTCAGCTTTCCACACTTTTTTTTCTTCGTTCTTGAAGATATTGATTTGATATTTGGTATATAGTTTTATCATGACAAGTTATAGATCAAGTTCAAATTTTGTTTGGGTCTGATGATTTAGTCCAGAGTTATGGTCCATGAAAAAACTCCATAACTAATGTTAGAGTACTATGTTAAACCATATAATCTGTACAAAGGGAGATAACTCATTTTTTGTCGAGCCTGCGACTTTTGTCGCAGAAAGCTCGACATAGGGATAGCGATCCGGCGGCGGCGGCGTTAGCTAACTTCTTAAAAGCTATATATTTTAGAAGGTGGAAGGTCTGGATGCTTCATACTTTGTATATGGATGCCTCATGTTACGAAGTTTCCGTCAGTCACATGTCCAATGTCCTTGACCTCATTTTCATGGTTCAGTGACTACTTGAAAAAAAAGTTAAGATTTTTTGTAATGTTAGATTCTCTCTTATTATAAGTAATAAGATAACTATATTTGGTATGTGCGTACCTTGCAAGGTCCTCATGCCCATCAGACAGTTTTCACTTGACCTCGACCTCATTTCATGGATCAGTGAACAAGGTTAAGTTTTGGTGGTCAAGTCCATATCTCAGATACTATAAGCAATAGGTCTAGTATATTCGGTGTATGGAAGGACTGTAAGGTGTACATGTCCAACTGGCAGGTGTCATCTGACCTTGACCTCATTTTCATGGTTCAGTGGTTATAGTTAAGTTTTTGTGTTTTGGTCTGTTTTTCTTATACTGTATGCCATAGGTCTACTATATTTGGTGTATGGAATGATTGTAAGGTGTACATGTCTAGCGGGCAGGTGTCATTTGACCTTGACCTCATTTTCATGGTTCAGTGGTCAAAGTTAAGTTTTTGAGTTTTGGTCTTTTTTTCTAATACTATGTGCAATAGTTCAACTATATTTGGTATGTGCATACCTTGCAAGGTCCTCATGCCCGTCAGACAGTTTTCACTTGACCTTGACCTCATTTCATGGATCAATGAACAAGGTTAAGTTTTGGTGGTCAAGTCCATATCTCAGATACTATAAGCAATAGGTCCAGTATATTCGGTGTATGGAAGGACTGTAAGGTGAACATGTCCAACTGGCAGGTGTCATCTGACCTTGACCTCATTTTCATGGTTCAGTGGTTATAGTTAAGTTTTTGTGTTTTGGGCTGTTCTTCTTATACTGTATGCCATAGGTCTACTATATTTGGTGTATGGAATGATTGTAAGGTGTACATGTCTAGCGGGCAGGTGTCATCTGACCTTGACCTCATTTTCATGGTTCAGTGGTCAAAGTTAAGTTTTTGAGTTTTGGTCTTTTTTTCTAATACTATGTGCAATAGTTCAACTATATTTGGTATGTGCGTACCTTGCAAGGTCCTCATGCCCGTCAGACAGTTTTCACTTGACCTCGACCTCATATCATGGATCAATGAACAAGGTTAAGTTTTGGTGGTCAAGTCCATATCTCAGATACTATAAGCAATAGGTCTAGTATATTTGGTGTATGGAAGGACTGTAAGGTGTACATGTCCATCTGGCAGGTGTCATCTGACCTTGACCTCATTTTCATGGTTCAGTGGTTATAGTTAAGTTTTTGTGTTTTGTTCTGTTTTTCTTATACTATATGCAATAGTTCAACTATATTTGGTGTATGGAAATATTTTATGATCTATTTGGCAGTCACGCAGGTTTTAGTTGACCTTGACCTCATTTTCAAGGTTCATTGCTCAGTGTTAAGTTTTTGTGTTTTGGTCTGTTTTTCTTAAACTATAAGCAATAGGTCAACTCTATTTGTTGTATGGAAGAATTGTTAGCTGTACATGCCTGCCTAGCATGGTTCATCTGACCTTGACCTCATTTTCATGGTTCATTGGTCAATGTTTAGTTTACTTGGTTAATGTTAAGTTTATGTGACAGTTGTCATGGTTGTAATAAAGCTTTATATTTAGGACTATCAACATAATATCAATGATTAGTAAAGAAGGCGAGACATTTCAGCGTGTGCACTCTTGTTTTAAAAGATTCTTTGGTAAATTGTTTGAGGAATTTTGTGGCAGGTTTATATGTTATTTTGTATAAACTAATTTTCTGAATGCTACATGTATATATATATATTTTTGTTTATTAAGTGAAATCCTTTAATTAGATAATAATCTATTTTTATTAAGATATATATTTCATTACATTACATTGTGTAGATAAAAGTTGTTGACATTTTATAGGTAAGTTACAAATCTATATTAGTTTGTGACAAATGATTGTAATTTGAAAATAGATATACTGTGGATTCATTTTTATTCGTGGTATAACAATTTTCGTGGGTTTCGTTGGTCACAGTGAACCACGAATTTAAGAATTCAACGAAGAATAATCCTGAGAAATGTGTATGGAGTCGGATGTTTATTTCCGGTTATGGTATGCAGTTCTAGTATAGTGTTGACTAGCGATAAACATTGTAACATAACACGTGTTTTTATTGAAAGAAGATACAAGTATTTTGATTAAATCAATAATAAATATATCGAATATCAGTGATAATTTACTTTTTAAAATTGATTAAAACTGTTCATGGAAAATAACTGCAAGTTGTTAATTACCGTGTCATAGTTTGGTTTACTGGTGATTAAAAATCAATAGGATTAAGTACGGGGATATTGCCCATTGGTAATATTGTTTATGACAGGCACATTTCTTTTCACACCTTTTACTTATATGACTGTTTATTATAGCGTGATTAGGGAAATGAGCTTTCAATCATAGAGTTTTGAATGCCTTATAAAATTCCGACAAGAATTTATAAATTGTAAAACAAACAAATAATTAGTTGTCTTTGTCCATTAATGTAATAGAAGTTTTCAATGAACACTTTTACCTAGAATGACCAAGCGAGGATTTTGACAATTCAAAACTTTTTCAATGAATTCCTTCTTTTTTGTTTGTTTTATTATTGATCAAACCAAGAAGGTTAGATGATCTCCTAAATCAAAAAGAAATCCGTGAATTACGTATCTGAATTTTTTTTTTTTTTTTTTTTTTTTGTAATCAGCGATCCACAAATTTACGTATACCACGAAACATCTTTTTTTCTCTATCCACGAAAATTGATACCCACGAAAATAAATGAATCCACAGTACATTGTATTACATCATATCTAATGTTAGAGTGTTATAGGTTTTCCACACTTTTTTTCATCATGCTTGAAAATATTGATTGACAATTGGTAAATAGTTTTATCATGACAAGTTACAGATCAAGTTCAAATTTTTGTTTCGGTCTGATAATTTTGTGCAGAGTTATGGTCCTTGGACTTGAAAAAATTCACTCATATATTCAGTTTTCCACACTGTTTTTAGTCGTGCTTGAAGATATCGACTTTATATTTTCTTTTTGTTTACACCATGACAAGTTATAGAACAAGTTAGCGTTTTTGTTCCAGTATAATGAATTTTTACCCGGTAGGAGACTATGTATTGCCATGCAATACTCTCATAATGCTTGTTATTTACATTGTTTATGGTATTTTTTCTTACATTTCTCAGTTTTTGTTAAAGTATTGATTCCAATGGAATTTTTTAAAAATCAAATTCATTCAATATTATCAAAATTACCAACTTACCCAAATAACTAGATTGTTGTGATAAACTTAGTGATTACATATATGCTGATTTCTAATGTGTAATAATGTTCTATTTTATTTTTAGCTTCTGGTAATGTGATTGATCATGTGATTATTGAAAGAGAGAGTGAATCTACAGTAATGTTTGTAGAAGGTGCTAAAGACGCTTACTTAGGCTATGTTACATTAAGAGTAAGTGATTATTATTATGATTTTTTATACGCCCGTTTACTGGACGTGTTATGGTATACCGTTGTCCGTCTGTCAGTCCATGCGTCCGTCAACATGTCGGACATTAACTCAAAAATGCTTAAACCAATTTGCATGAAACTTTGGTGAATTGTTTATATCTATTGACGTGAGCTCCCTTTCGTTTTTTATAAATTTTAGATTTGATGTTTTCGAGTTTTGGGGTTTTATTCATTACAAAAAGGATGATTTTCCAGTTTTCGAACAATTACTCAAAAACATTTTCACCAATTTGCTAGAAACTTTGGTGAATTGTTTATATATATTGACATAAGCTTGTTTTTGAATTGTATAAATTTTAGATTTTACGTTTCCAAGTTATGGGGTATTATTCATTACAAAAAGGGGGATTTTCCAGTTTTCGAACAATAACCCAAAAATGCTTTGAGCAGTTAAAAATTCCTTAAAATTTGGTGAATTGTTTATATATATTTCCTGATGCTCCCTTTCGATTTTTAAATTTCAGATTTAACGTTTACTAGTAATTGGGTTTTATTCAGTAAAAAAGGGGGGATTTTCCAGTTTTCGGACAATAACTCAAAAATGCTTTCAGCAGTTTTCATGAAACTTTGGCAAATTGTTTATATCTATTGACGTAGGCTCCTTTTTCGATTTTTTTAAATTTCAGATTTTACGTTTACTAGGGGTTTTATTCATTAAAAAAAGGGGGATTTTCCAGTTTTCGGACAATATCCTTAGAGTGCTTTGAGCAGTTTTCATTAAACTTTGGTGACTGATTTATATCTATTAAGATAACCCCCCCTTTAGTTTTTTTTATAAATTTCATATATGACATTGAGAAATTATTGAAATTTATTCTTTGAAAACGTGACGGGCGTATCATGTGCTCATGGCGCAGCTGTTTATTAAGAATAGGCAAAAATGTGAGATTAATTATTTTTGCAATGATAAAAACACAAAAATTTCAGAATCAACTGGGTGAGTTCACTTCTATACTATTGCCCTGGACATTTTATAGAATATAAAGGTACACTAATGGTATGTGATAAAGATTGTTAGATACATATTCATGGCAGGTTTATACCAAAATTATCTTTCATCAGTCACTTTGTTTCAGTAGTAATCGGATCATATATTGCAGGATTTGTAAATGTAACTGATTTCTTAATATACTTGTATGTATAATTATTTCAGTTTTAAGTTAAACCAGTTGTAATAGGATAGTGGGTTTTTTTTTGGTTCTAAATAAAATTACAGTAAAGATGATGATCATGATAATAAAACATATTTTAAAATTCTACAAAATTTGTTATCTTTTAGATTGGGTTGAGAAATCATTTGTTTATCACAACAGTTTACTTTGTGTTACAAGATCAACTGTTCGGCATTTTCTTTGTAGGCTTTTTCGGCTAACATTTAGGCAGGAATGAAGATTGCAAAAGAACTTTCTCTTCAAAAAAAAAGTCTTGACATTTCTGTACTTCTTTTGGATTGACATCCAAGAGTAAGGAATATTCATTTAAATATTACTTGTCCAGATGCAAAGTTTTCATTTTATTTGTATTCAATCAGATGGAAAATCAAAAAGTAATATTTTGTATTATTTGTTTCAGTTTTCACCTGATATTACATCATCTGTACCACATCACAAACATTATGCTTTAGAAGTAACAGACCATTGTTCTCCAGTCATAGACAGTTGTAGGATTAAAAGTACTTCTGTTGGTAGGTTGTTTATTAACTAGTTTGATAGTTCAAGTACTGTTAATTCAGAAATTATTGCAAGGTTTTTTTTTATTGCGAATAATGCGACTGGATGAGTATCACAATAATAAGAACCCGCATTCTGATATCTGATACATATATCTGTATGCAGCTTTTCCCGAAGTCACAATAATTAATCTCGTTTTTTGTTCATTCTTCAAAAATCACAATAATAAATGCACGCAATGATATCTGAATTCACAGTATATAATTTGGCTTTATTAGTCCCCTACCGGCGAAGTCGAAGGGGACTTCAGGTTTGCACTCCGTCCGTCTGTCTGTCCATTCGTCAGTCCGGTAAATCAGTTTACCACACTTTTTTTCTTCATGCTTGAAGATATTGAATTGATATTTGGTGTATTATTTTGTCGTGACAAGTTACAGATCAATTCGAATTTTGTTGTTCTGATGAATTTGTGCAGAGTTATGGTCCTTGGACTTCGAAAATTCACTTAAATAATCAGTTTTCCACACTTTTTTTCATCATGCTTGAAGATATTGACTTGATATTTGTTATTTGGTTTACATCACCACAAGTTATTGATCAAGTTAGCATTTTTAACCAGATTTTTCGAATGAAAAATAGGTTATTGATTTGGGGATGTATGGCGGGTGGGCGGGCTGCTGCCAAACAGTCATGACAGTGTTCGTTCAGTAACATGAAAACGCTATGACTAAATTTTTTCAAATATTAGATATGTTGTTTCCTGTGACTATATGAAGGTCAAGTTTAATTTTCATGATTTTAGCTTTTATCCTTGTTGAGTTATCGCCCTTTTTAATATCCAAAAGTGGTACTTCTAATGTGATTGAGTTATTTCCCTTTGAACAGAAATTGTTAATTATATAAATAAATTATGATTACACTAAGTGTTTTTAAATAATTTTCACCTGTTATCAGATTACAAATCATATGGTAAATGTCTTATGACACAGTTATAATTTTTAGTGACAGATTTATTTGTAAATTTTCTGTTTCCTAAGTGCTGATGATTTTAAGGCTTATAAGATTAAAGCTATATAGTAAGAAATTTACTGTTCATTTTTAGACATTTTGAAGATAATTACAGATAAGTTTTATAGATTTTTTAAAAGACATTGTATTAATGATAAACTTTTTGATTTTTTTTTTCTTTGGTTTATTGTTTGAAGAATTTTGTGGTAGGTTTGTTTGTTATACTGTAAAAAATAATTTTCTGAATGCTTTATGTTTTTTTTTTTTTTATGAAGTGAACTCCTTTAAAAACTAAGCTGATATTGTCTTTTAATAAACATATATTTAGATTTCTGATTTTGGGCCCAGTTTTCAAGTTGGTCCAAATCGGGGTCCAAAATTAAACTGTGTTTGATTTCAACATAAATTGAATATATATAGGGTTCTTAGAAATGCTGAATCTAAACCTGTATTTATTTTCATTATTAATTAGATACCACATTTAGGTCCAAAGGGTCATAAATTAAACTTTTGTTTAATTTCATCAAAAATTGAATTCTTTGGGTTCTTTGATATGCTGATTCTAACAATGTTTTGTTGATTAAATCATATCTAATTTTAGAGAATTTAGTCATCACTGGTTGTTTGTTATTATATTATTGATTATAATTTGAAAAAAGATGTATATTACATAATATCTAATTTAGAGAACTATTTATTCAGTTTGAGTTATTTCCCTTTGAACAGAAAATTATATGGATAGAATTAAACTGTGTTTCATTTCAACATAAATTAAATATATAAAGGGTTCTTTCAAATGCAGAATCTTAACCTGTATTTAAAATTAGATTTTTGGGCCCAGTTTTCAAGTTGGTCCAAATCAGGGTCCAAAATTAAACTTTGTTTGATTCAACAAAAATTGAATATATGGGGTTCTTTGAAATGCTGAATCCTACCATGTATTGAGAGATTTTGGATTGTGGGCTCCTTTATCAAATTAGTCCACATTGAGGTCCAAAGGGTCCTAAATTAAACTTTGTTTGATTTCATCAAAAATTGAATTCTTGGGGTTCTTTGATATGCTGATTTTAACAATGTACTTAGATTTTGGATATTAGACCATAATAGGTAAATGTCCAATTTCAAATATTTCAGTTCTTTGACCACATTCATTTTGTGTCACAAACCTATGCTGTGTCAAATATTCAATCACAATCCAAATTCAGAGCTGATTTAAGCATAAATGTAGTGTCCATACTTGCGCATCTGTTCAGGGTTCGACCTCAGCAAGAAAATCCGGTTTGCTGTCACTCTGACAGCATCTTGTGTTCCAGCACAATGAATTTTTATCGGTAGGGGACTATGTATTGCCATGCAATACTCTCAGAATGCTTGTTTGTAGTCATATTCACTGATTATGTAATAAACTGAAACACAGTCTTTAATATTTTAATCAAGAGCTCATATTCTATTTGTAAGGAACTTCCTCATTGTTGGGTGCTTGCCATGAGGTTATGGGTTAAATTCCTTAGGCAGATCAAAGCACAGGCTTTAAAATCGTATTTGCTGCCTTTTTTCTTGATGGCACATGACATGTAGGAGTAAGAGGTGGTAGCCACAAAGTCGGAATAATGTGTGTGAGTAGGATGACATGTTTTCCTATAGACCTACCTTATAAGCTAGCATATAAAATTTGCTCAGCATGTCAATCTTGTATAATGCCTATTTCATATTCATATGATAATAACATGTTAACATTCCTTATATGCATGTAATATCCATCAATTAATCTAAAGTAGAAGAAAAAAGCGTGAAGAATAAAATACTGTAAGTAATTTTGTGCAGTTACTTCTTCTTAATTGAAATTGTTTTAGGGATAGATTTAAAATTTGAAATGTTTATGAAGATTTATTATTATTTATGATATTTTCATCATTATAGTGGGTGCTGCTGTATGTGTATCTGGTACAGGTGCTGACCCTTTTATAAAACATTGTAAGATAAAAGATTGTGAAAATGTTGGACTTTATGTGACAGATTACGCACAGGTTAGTTATTGTAGAATGTCACAAATGTAGATTGTTTATGATGCTACAAAATAATCATCAGGTGGGAATCAAGAAATGATAGATGTGGGATATGTCAATGAGACTGCAACCAAATTACACCAGAAAAGGGTAAAGAGGGGATTTATTTTTCTTTGTTATACTGTCAAATTTATTATACTAAGTCCAATGTAGTTGTGAATGTATTTTTTTTTTCACTTAGCTTGCTTGTGCATTTTTTGTTGTTGATCTTCATCAGATATGAGCGTTGTAATTTGTGTCAATATGCTGCTGTCTCATTAACATATACACCATATTTTCTTTTATTTCTATGTCACAAGTAACCTTCCCAAAATATTATTCCCATATCTGATTTTATGAATATTTGAACTTTATGGTGTTGTACCTTAATTTGAGGGTATTAGCAAATTCTTGTAGACTCTTGATTACATGGAAAAGTGAATGAACTAGTTTGAGCTAAAATGGTATGTGTTAAGTGTTTCCCTGGTGGCCCTAATTTTTTTAGTGCCAACCCTAATGTTAAATAAGCATTTCTTTAAATATTTTTCACCAACACATCAGTTGTTTTACCCAAGAACATCTTTCATCTAAACATGAGATAGAATCAATCAAAGATGTTCAACATTGTCACTTATGTCCATTGAGAAATTGCAAATGGCAGAAGTTCTGTTATAGAAGTAAATATAAAACAGCAACAGGGTTTGGTGAAAACATGATACTTTCCAGATTGTGACTATAAAAACAAACAAAAACACATATTTTCAAGAGATGCGTAAATTTAATATTAAGCTTGACCATTACACATGTAAAAGTGTTTTGTATATGGGGAAAACCTACGGGCAGTTAAACAACAAATATTTGAAAATGGAAGTCACAAAAACATTGATTCTTCTTATTTTTAATTCCAGCACTTCTTTGCTAGATTTTAATTTTATTTATGAACTAAGTTTGTTGAAAGTGTTTGGAACAGGCTAATTTATTTTGATTGTCTCAAAATGTTGGTGTTTGTAGTCAATGATGACTTTTTCATACATGTGTTATTTTCTGTCTAATGAATTTATAGGGTACATACGAAGACAATGAGATCAGTGGAAATGCCTTGGCAGGTATATGGGTGAAGAACCATGCCAACCCTATCATGAGACGCAATCACATTCATCATGGTAGAGATGTAGGAATATTTACCTTTGATAATGGCTTGGTGAGTAATCAGGTCACAAGTATTTGAACAAAACATTACTTGAATTTTATTTTATATCTGGCTTCATTAGACAATAATGGACCCTGACTTAAGTCCATATTTTTATTAATTTTTTATATGATTTCTTTAGAATTTACAAGCTAGTCTGAGTAAAGTTCATGGAGACCATGTCAAATTATGTGTGTGTCCTGATCCTAGAATATAGCCCACTAATTTAATGTAAATGTTTATAATGAGGGAGGATTTTTTTGGGGGGTTCAAATTAAAAAAAATTGAACCCCCCAAAAAATCCCCTCACCAAATTTGAAAAAAAATTTTGGGGGGGAGGGAATATTTTTTTTAATTTTTTTTTTGGGGGGGGGGGAGGGTCATACTTTTTTTCTTCAAGATTTTCCAAAATTTTCAAATTTTTTCAATTTTTTTTTGGGGGGGGGGGGATTTTTTTCATAACTTTTTGGGTTTTTTTATTTCCCAAAAATTTTCCATTTTTACATTGATTATTTCTGATTTATATATAAAAGCAGCAAATACTGATATGGCAGGAGATATGCACCAAACAGGGTGTGTAAATTATTATATATAACAGATTAACTAAGTATTGTGCAACAGCACAGTATTGCGCAATAGCAAGAAATCTTCAATTGAAAATAAATACAAATCTTTTAACCAATTTCAATCGGATTAAATTAAGTTTTTAATTATTGGGGGTTCTAACTTTGTATTACTATTTTGGATATTGGGCCTTATTATACGCCCGTTTACGGGACGTAATATGGTATTCTGTTGTCCGTCTGTCCGTCCGTCCGTCTGTCCGTCCGTCGTCAACATGTCGGACATTTACTCAAAAACGCTTTAACCAATTTGCATAAAACTTTGGTGAATTGTTTATATCTATTGACGTGAGCTCCCTTTCGTTTTTTATAAATTTTAGATTTTATGTTTCCGAGTTATGGGGTTTTATTCATTAAAAAAAGGGGGATTTTCCAATTTTCGGACAATAACTCAAGAATGCTTTCACCAACTTGCAAGAAATTGTGGTGAATTGTTTATATCTATTGACATGAGCTCCCTTTCGATTTTTATAAATTTTAGATTTTGGGTTTCCGAGTTACAGGGTTTTATTAAAAAAAAAAGGGGGATTTTCCAGTTTTCGGACAAAAACTCAAAAATGCTTTCAGCAGTTCTTATGAAACTTTGGTGAATTGTTTATATCTATTGGGGTAAGCTCCCTTTAGAATTTTATAAATTTTACATTTTACATTTCTGAGTTATGGGGTTTCATTCATTAAAAAAGGGGGATTTTCCAGTTTTCGGACAATAACTCAAAAATGCTGTCAGCAATTCTCATGAAACTTTGGTGAATTGTTTATATCTATTGATGTAAGCTCCCTTTTGATTTTCATAAATTTCTAATATGACATTGAGAATTAATTGAACTTTATTTGTTTATAGTCTGACAACAGATTTACTAAGTATTGCGCAACAGCACAGTGTATTGCACAACAGCAAGAAATCTTTAATTGAATATAAATTTAATTCATATAACCAATTTCAAGTTCTTTGACTATATTTATTCAGAAACCTGTAATATGTCAAATATTTAATTACAATCCAAATTCAGACCTGTATCAAGTTTGAATATTGTGTCCATTTTTGCCCCAACTGTTCAGGGTTGGACCTCTGCGGGCGTATCCAGCTGCGCTCAGCGAAGCAGTTTATTTTTAAATTGGTCTACATTGAGGTCCAAAGGGTCCAAAATTAAACTTTGTTTGATTTCATCTAAAACTGAATTATTGCGGCTCTATGATATGCTTAATCTTATTGTGCAATTAGAATTTTTACCTTGGGCCCTGTTTTCAAATTAGTTTATTTTAAGGTTTGAAGGGTCCAAAATTAAACTTTGTTTGATTTCAACTAAAATTAAATTTTAGGTGTATTTTAATATGCTGAATCTAACCATGTTGTTAGATTCTGGATATCAGACCATACTAGGTAAATTAAATGTCCACTTTCAAATTTTTAAGATCTTTGACCACATTTATTATGTATCAGAACCCTATATGATGTCAAAAAGATCACAATCCAAATCCAGACAGTATCAAGCTTGAATATAGTGTCCAAACTTGCCCCAACTGTTCAGGGTTCGCCCTCTGCGGTCGTATCAGGATGCGCTTGGCGAAGCATTTTATTACATTAGGTTTGTTTATATTATATATCACGTTATTAAGTATCAAAGTATGTTAATTTTCTGTATACTTTTCAGGGATATTTCGAATCTAACGATATACATAATAACAGAATAGCAGGATTTGAAGTTAAAGCTGGTGCTAATCCCACTGTTGTTAGGTGTGAGATACACCATGGTCAGACAGGGGGTGTATATGTCCATGAAAATGGACGTGGGCAGTTCATAGAAAACAAAATCCACTCTAATAACTTTGCTGGTGTGTGGATAACATCAAACAGTGATCCTACTATCAGGTATGTGGAGTAGCTAACTAAATATTCAGATGAGTTTTATATACTTTGATTTTGTTTGACTTTTTTCTTGATGCAGTTTGAACAATGACCATTTTAGTTAAGCATATCTTAAATATTTATAACTTTACTTGCTATTTAATTTAAATATAGAAATAAGAATTCCAAAAAACAATTCATACCAGTTTGACTCCAGGTATACATGTATTTATATTTAAATTTTAACTTTAGGTAAAAAGTTAGTTTTTGGAAAGATAAATAGTGCGCTACCATAAACAGTTGTGATATATATGATTTTCAATTAGCTATAAGTTGATTTTTTTGTAATCTGAAACAACAAAATCCCATAAAATTTCAATTTGAGAAATTGATGTTAGCTTTGTGTATAAAGTGTGCTTTTACAGATACCAAAATTGCAGGAACAGTTGTCCTAGCTGTATAAGAATGTAACCATGAATAAGATTACTAAGCTCAGAATGTAAATTTCAAAGAATAATTGTTATTATTTGAAATGAATTTTTTTAAATTGTTTTGTAGGAAAAATGATATTTATAATGGCCATCAAGGAGGGGTGTATATATTTGGAGAAGGAAGAGGACTGATAGAACACAATAACATTTATGGTAAGGAATTGGGGAAACTACCTATATAATGAGTGGTAGAGATGAGTTTCTCAAAAAGATAATCTTGACAGATATAGAATAGAGTGAACATTAGGTTAGGGAAGGGTTTAGCGCTCACAAACATGTTTCACCACTCCACATTCTGTATGTATCTGTCCCTAATGTCAGAAGCCTGTAGTTCTGTGGTTGTGTTTGGTAACTTTGGTTCTTGTCTGTCATATTTGTTAATCATGAATTGTTTTGTAATAATTTAAGTTGTTAGTTTTCTTGTTAACTGGATTTTCGAAGGAAAAATCGGTTATTGATTTGGGGATGTACAGCGGGCTGGCAGCTGCCAAACAGTGTCCGTTCATTAACATGAAAAGGTGTGACGAAATTTTTTCAAATTTAGATATGTTGTTTCCTGTGACTAAATGAAGGTCAAGTTCAATTTTCACGATTTTAGCTTTTCTCGTTGTTGAGTTGTAGACCTTTCAGTAGCCAAAAGTGATATTTATTATATGATTGAGTTATTTCCCTTTGAACAGAAATCGTGTAATTAATAAGTTTATGTATAGATAGTCTATCAATGATTGTATCTGGTCAATTGATTTTAGGCAGGAGCTGTCAAAAATTTCTGTATAACTATTATTTTTAAGTCGTGTGTGGTTTGAAGGTAGATGTCACAGTTGTTATGTGGTATTTTATTTTTATTGTGTGTGTTAATGTTTAATTTTTACTCGATCCTGTTTGGGGGTCCAGATTTGCAAATATCATTTTAATCAGATGATAATCTATTTTTGTTATAGGATAAATTTCATTACATTACATTGTGTAGATAAAGTTGTTGACATTGATAGATAAGTTGCAGATCTATATGAGTTTGTGACAAACGAAAGAAAAAATATTGGGAACTACAAAGTTTGATTACACTTAAGTAGATATAAGAAGATGTGGTATGAGTGCCAATGAGACAACTCTCCATCCAAGTCAAAATTTTTAAAAGTAAACCATTATAGGTCACAGTACGGTCTTCAACAAAAGTGTTTTTAAATAATTTTCACCTGTTATCAGATAAGAAAGCATGAGGTAAATATCAATCACACAATTATAATTGGAGTGACAGATTTATTTGAAAATTTTCTGTTTCCTAAGTGTTGATGATGATAAGCTCTGTAGGAAGGTATAAATATAGTTTGAAATTTACTGTTCATTATTAGACATTTTGAAGATAATTACAGATAAGTTTTGTAGATTTTAAAAAGACATTGTTTTAATGATAAATGACATTTTGGATTTTTTTTTTCTTTTCTTTGGTAAATTAATTGAAGAATTTTGTGGTAGGTTTGTTTGTTATTCTGTATAAACTAATTTTCTGAATGCTATATATATATATATTTTTTTTTTGATGAAGCTAACTCCTTTAAAAACTAAGCTTATATTGTCTATAAGAAAACATTATATTTAGATTTCTGATTTTGGGCCCAGTTTTCAAGTTGGTCCAAATCGGGGTCCAAAATTAAACTGTGTTTGATTTCAACATGAATTGAATATATATAGGGTTCTTTGAAATGCTGAATCTAAACCTGTATTTATTTGCATTATTAGATAATACCACATTGAGGTCAAAAGGGTCCTAAATTAAACTTTTGTTTGATTTCATCAAAAATTGAATTCTTGGGGTTCTTTGATATGCTGATTCTAACAATGTACTTAGATTTTGAATATTGGACCATAATAGGTAAATGTCCGATTTCAAATTTTTCAGTTCTTCGACCACATTCATTTTGTGTCACAAACCTATGCTGTGTCAAATATTCAATCACAATCCAAATTCAGAGCTGTTTTAAGCTTAAATGTTGTGTCCATACTTGCTCAACTGTTCAGGGTTCGACCTCTGCAAGAAAATCCAGTTTGCTGTCACTCTGACAGCCTCTTGTTTGAATTGTTTCACATTTTTCCTGTTGAGATTTATAGCCGACTATAAGATATTGGTTTTCTCAGTGTTGAAGGCCATTTAGTTGCCTATAATTGCTTACATCCACTTTAATTGGACTCTGTTGGATAGTTGCCTCTCTGTGTTGAAGGCTGTACTTTGACCTGTAATGGTTTACTTTTACAAATTGTGACTTGGATGGAGGGTGGTCTCATTGGCACTCATACCACATCTTATATCTTTTTAAGTAATTATGTTGTTCAATGTTTAGTTTTCTGGGCAAGTAAGCTTTAGAAGTCCTTAGAAAATGATAACCTCTTATACATGCTGTTATATATGTCAGTTTATCTAATAATAAATTGCAGTTTTAATTTTGCTACAAAGGTGTCAAGATACACCTTTGTGTGACCAGCTTTATTAGTTTCTTACCTTTAGCACTACTTTTTATTTCAACAAATCACCTATTTGTATTGTTTTCAGGTAATGCATTAGCAGGTATCCAGATCAGAACAAACAGTCATCCTATCGTCAGACATAATAAAATACATCATGGTCAACATGGCGGTATATATGTTGTAAGTATTTTGATTAATTATAGTCAGACATATTGAAATATTGAGTAAACCCTTTAAAATACACAGAAAGAATCAACATGCTTACATTTGATTGGATGGTTGATGGAAGTTTGATAACATACCAGCCAAAATCCTGATTAAATACAAATTGATAATACATGAATGCAATATACTTGTAAATATAGGAATATAAAAATTGATATAATGTAGAGGTTAAAAGTATTGAAAATAGAATTGAAGAAAAAAAAGCCTTTATTTACAAATTTTACTCAGGTTTATTAGTGGAGAAAATTTTCTCCGTACACCAAGCAACTGTTAAACTCTTTCATACCTCTACAAGTTATAAATATGTTCTCTAATGATGAATAATTTCATTTATCAGATCACTAGTCTTGATCTCATATTTCATACTAAGATGAGTGGGTAACCAAGGTCCATATTGCATGTTGAAGGTTTAAATGAGATTAGAAAGAATTAAGTTTTGATTATACAGAAGTCTTTAAAAGTGACAAAAACATTCTTATTCTAGTTTTTAAGTTTACACTAATTTAATCAGAGGACAAAGTATTTAAAATAAGTTATAGGTTAAATTTAGATCAGTTTAATGATAAATTTCTAAGTTGCAAACCGGTTTTAATGAAAAATGATAATTTACAGCATGAAAAGGGACAGGGTCTAATTGAAGAGAATGAAGTGTATGCCAATACTTTAGCAGGAGTATGGATTACAACAGGCAGTACTCCAGTACTACGCAGGAATAGGATACATAGTGGCAAACAGGTAATTAGGCATCCTATAGATAATCATTGTAAAGATATTAATCATAACAACATTGTATTAAATATTACAGCTTATCCTTGTTACCTGCAAAACATGAACTGACCTCTAATTCATTAAAACAATATTTATTTTGTTGTTAGGTAATCATGTTCCACTTGCTAGTCTTTCTGAACAAGTGAATAGAACCTTTGTTTAACTTTTAATAGTTCCTACATTTCAACTATAAAACCAATTATATACAATGAAAGTCAGAGACTCCTTCAAACTTTTACTTATTCAACTAATTATATAAAATTCACAAGTTTAATTCACATAGTAAAGCTTCTGATTACTTTTAATTCTGTTGTTAGCCATATAACTTGTTCGTTTCATGGTTTTCAGAGAGGATACTGATTTATTTTAAAGCTATTTATGCCCCTGCTGTAGCGGAGGGGGCATTAAGTTTTACCCTTGTCCGTCCGTACATCCCAAAGTTGGTTCCCGTTCTCTAACTTTAGTTTGCCTCAACCAAATGTTATGAAACTTATACACAATGCTTATTACTACAAACTACAGATCAAGTTTGAATTTTGGTGATGTCACTTTTACTGTTCTAGAGTTATGCCCCTTTACAAAGGAAAAAATTGCTGAATGTTTCGTTTCCGTTCTCTAACTTAAGTTTGCCTCAACCAAATGTTATGAAACTTATACACACTACTTATTACCACAAAACTCAGATCAAGTACAAATTTGGGTAGTGTCACTTTTACCGTTCTTTAGTTATGTCCCTTTATAACTTTATATGATACGCAAGCGGGGGCATCATCTGATGGGACACATTCCCCTTTTTTTTTCTTAGGTACCTAACTTTTAATTGAAACCCCTAATTTCATTACAACTTTTTCAGGTTGGGGTGTATTTTTATGACAATGGACATGGAGTGCTTGAGAACAATGATATCTTCAATCATTTATATTCAGGTGTTCAGATAAGGTAAGCCAACCATACTAGACCCTCATGAGTAGTTACAGTCATTAACCATACCCGTAGTAGTAGATAAGGTAAGTAATTTTCTTTGTACATTGCACTAGATAGTATATTCCTTCATTATGTATGACATTGCTGTATGCCATCTTCTTTGAAGCTGATTATAACATTGTATAAAGAAGTGATTTTTAATTTGAGTTCTTTTTTTATTTGGCTCTAATTGAAATTTATTGGAGAAGGGTTGAGTTGCAAAAAGTAGTTTAATCCTGTCACATGTTTATATGTCATAAGTCAGGAATCTTGTCAGTGGTTTTATTACTGCATATGATATGTTTTGTCCTTGAGGGAATTAGAGGATGATTGCATTTCTGTTTAATTTATTTACGATTTTTCTAAACTTAGGGTGATTAAGAGCTTGATGTATTGTATAGAATCTTGTCCATTATTGAAACCATAAGGTTGACCTCTAGATTCTTGATTTCTGTATCATCGGGTGGCTGTCAAGTTGATGAATACTCCACACCATATTTCACTCATTATAAACTTTCTACTGAAATACATGTAACTTAAAAAAGAGAGGCTAGGCAAAAGATACCTAAGGGATATTCAAACTCATAAGTCGAAACCAAAATTGACAATGCCATGGCAAAAAAGGAAAAACACAACATTGAAAACTAAAATATGATTGGCACGAACCCCACCAAAAACAGGGGTTATCTAAGGTGCTCTGGAAGGGTAAGCAGAACCTGCTCCACATGCCACATCCCTCATATTAATAAATTCTTTAAGCTAGATAAAAAAGTAGGAACAGTTTTTATATGACCGCAAAAAATTTTGCGGTCGTATATTGGTATCACGTCGTCGTCTGCGTCGTCCGAAGACACATTGGTTTTTGCACTCTAACTTTAGTTTAAGTGAATGGATCTCTATGAAATTCAAACACAAGGTTTATAACCACAAAAGGAAGGTTGGGATTGATTTTATGGGTTATGGTCCTAACAGTTTAGGAATTAGGGGCCAAAAAGGGACCCAAATAAGCATTTTTCTAGTTTCCAGACAATAACTTGTGGAAATGTGTATGGATCTCTCTGAAATTAGACCACAAAGGGATGGTTAGGATTGGCTTTGGGGGTTATGGCTCAAACCGTTTAGGAATAAGGGGCAAAAAAGGGTGAAAAACAAGGGTTTCCTGGTTAATGGACAAAAGTACAATGTTATGTTTGGATTAACTCCCTTACACTGCTTTTAAATTATGTATAAAGAAATGTTGTATTGTCTTGAGGTGATTAGCTGTCAATTTATTTTTAGAAGTTACTATTAAAAATGCTGATTAAGAAGTATTAATTTTAGCCATGATCATGTATGTCATTTTCTATTTTAAGACTTTTATGATGTATTTAAATAGGTAATTATGGTTGCAAACTCCATTGGAAATTTGAATTGAGATTATGACCATATCTTGAGGGAAAGGTTGTTTTTTTTTAAAAAAAGGGGTGGGGGGACAGTTTCTTCAAATGTGTGCAAAAACAAGGGGGGGGGTCAATTCACAACAGCATAGTGTAGTGCACAAAAGCAAAAAATTGAATATAAATTCAAATCATATAACCAATTCTAAGTTCTTTGACTACAGTTATTCTGTGTCAGAAACCTATTATGTGTCAAATATTTAATTGCTATCCAAATTCAGACCTGTATCAATCGCGAATATTGTGTCCATTTTTGCCCCAACTGTTCAGGGTTGGACCTCTGCGTATCCAGCTGCACTCGGCAAAGCAATTTATTTCTTAAGATATCAACATTCACAAGCAGACTGAAATTTTAATTATACTTATACAACAAATACAATATACAGAAAAAGTAGTGATGTGATTGAATTTAGTTTTGTTATCATTGAAAGATTTTAAGTTGATCAAGATAATGATTTATTTCTATTTAGAACAGGAAGTAACCCTATCATTAGGAAAAACAAGATCTGGGGAGGACAAAATGGTGGTATTCTTGTCTACAATAGTGGACTGGGTCTGATAGAAAATAATGAAATCTTTGACAATGCAATGGCTGGAGTCTGGATCAAAACAGACAGTAATCCAATTTTGCGCCAAAATAAAATATATGATGGCAGAGATGGAGGAATCTGTATTTTTAATGGAGGAAAAGGTATGTTCAGATTATTTTTTTAATGAAATAGATATAGAATAATGCAGTTACACCTGGCAAAAACTTACAATAACTTTAAAACTAACACATGGAAAAAAGCTAACATTAAACTTTAAAGCTGTGAAACTTTTTTTTTTTTTTAAAAAGAAATCTATTACCATAAAAAGAATCATGTAAGTATTGTAGTACAGACAACAATATTCAGCATTTCAAGAATTTTAAAGTAAGCTTATCTGTCAGTTGGGATCATATAGTTTTACTTTCAATTTTAAATGTGCTGATCTTCTAGCAAATAATTTTTATACCCCCGCTTTAAAAAAATCGGGGTATACTGTTTTTAGCTCACCTGGCCCGAAGGGCCAAGTGAGCTTTTCTCATCACTTGGCGTCCGTCGTCCGTCGTCGGCGTTAACTTTTTACATTTTGAACTTCTTCTAGAGAACCACTGAATGGAATTAAACCAAACATGGCATGAATGTTCCTTATGAGGTGCTGACCAAGTGTTGTTACTTTGTAGCCGATCCATCATCCAAGATGGCCGCCAGCGGGGGACTTAGTTTAACATAGGACCCTATGGGAAATGCATACAAATGACTTCTTTTAGAGAACCACTGAATGGAATGAAACCAAACATGGCATGAATGTTCCTTATGAGGTGCTGACCAAGTGTTGTTACTTTGTAGCCGATCCATCATCCAAGATGGCCGCCAGCGGGGGACTTAGTTTAACATAGGACCCTATGGGAAATGCATACAAATGACTTCTTTTAGAGAACCACTGAATGGAATGAAACCAAACATGGCATGAATGTTCCTTATGAGGTGCTGACCAAGTGTTGTTACTTTGTAGCCGATCCATCATCCAAGATGGCCGCCAGCGGGGGACTTAGTTTAACATAGGACCCTATGGGAAATGCATACAAATGACTTCTTTTAGAGAACCACTGAATGGAATAAAACCAAACATGGCATGAATGTTCCTTATGAGGTGCTGACCATGTGTTGTTACTTTGTAGCCGATCCATCATCCAAGATGGCCGCCATCGGGGAACTTAGTTTAACATAGGACCCTATGGGAAATACATACAAATGTCTTCTTTTAGAGAACCACTGAATGGAATGAAACCAAACATGGCATGAATGTTCCTTATGAGGTGCTGACCAAGTGTTGTTACTTTGTAGCCGATCCATCATCCAAGATGGCCGCCAGCGGGGGACTTAGTTTAACATAGGACCCTATGGGAAATGCATACAAATGACTTCTTTTAGAGAACCACTGAATGGAATGAAACCAAACATGGCATGAATGTTCCTTATGAGGTGCTGACCAAGTGTTGTTACTTTGTAGCCAATCCATCATCCAAGATGGCCGCCAGCGGGGGACTTAGTTTAACATAGGACCCTATGGGAAATGCATACAAATGACTTCTTTTAGAGAACCACTGAATGGAATAAAACCAAACATGGCATGAATGTTCCTTATGAGGTGCTGACCATGTGTTGTTACTTTGTAGCCGATCCATCATCCAAGATGGCCGCCATCGGGGAACTTAGTTTAACATAGGACCCTATGGGAAATACATACAAATGTCTTCTTTTAGAGAACCACTGAATGGAATGGAACCAAACATGGCATGAATGTTCCTTATGAGATGCTGACCAAGTGTTGTTACTTTGCAGTCGGTCCATCATCCAAGATGGCCGCCAGCAGGGGACTTAGTTTAACATAGGACCCTATGGGAAATACATACAAATGTCTTCTTTTAGAGAACCACTGAATGGAATGAAACCAAACATGGCATGAATCTTCCTTATGAGATGCTGACCAAGTGTTGTTACTTTGTAGCCGATCCATCATCCAAGATGGCCGCCAGCAGGGGACTTAGTTTTACATAGGATCCTTTGGGAAATACATAAAAATGTCTTCTTTTAGAGAACCAATAAATGGAATGGAACCAAACATAGCATGAATGTTCCTTATGAGATGTTGACCAAGTGTTGTTACTTTGCAGCCGATCCATCATCCAAGATGGCCGACAGCGGGGGACTTAGTTTAACATAGGACCCTATGGGAAATACATACAATTGTCTTCTTTTAGAGAACCACTGAATGGAATTGAACCAAACATGGCATGAATGTTCCTTATGAGTTGCTGACCAAGTGTTGTTACTTTGCATTCGATCCATCATCCAAGATTGCCGCTAGGGGGGGGGGGGGGGCTTAGTTTAACATAGGACCCTATGGGAAATACATACAAATGTCTTCTTTTAGAGTACCACTGAATGGAATGAAACCAAACATGGCATGAATGTTCCTTATGAAGTGCTGACCAAGTGTTGCTACTTTGTTGCCGATTCACTGTTCAAGATGGCCACCAGGATATTTTATTAAATAACGGGACCAATATTAATCAAAATTTGGCCTCAATCATTATTTGGGTATCTGTTATGATTTTTATCTATCTTTACATGATTTCTAAAACCAAAGTAGAGTCAGGTGAGCGACACAGGCTCTTGAGAGCCTCTAGTTTATTATACCCCCGCTTTAAAAAAGTGGGGTTATACTGTTTTACATCTGTCTGTCCATCTGTCCGTCAGTCCATCCATCCGTCAGTCCGTCCTTCCGTCCAATGAATATTTTTCGTTGCATCTTTCTAGGGAACTACAATACAAGGATTTCTGAAATTTGGTTTCAGGGTATATAAGTAAGCTATACTGTGTGATGCGTTTTCAGATTCATCACTCAACAACTGCCTGTTTACCGAACACTTGTATCATTTTACACATGATAGCCAAGTTGAAAATTTTCGTCACATTTTTCTCAGGAACTACAATACTAGGATTTCTGAAATTTGGTTTCAGGGTTTATATAAGTCAGCTATACCCTGTGATGCGTTTTCAGATTCATCACTCAACAACTTCATGTTGACCAAAATATTTGGGCGGGGGTATCATCAGTGAGCAGTAGCTGACAGTTTCACTTGTTTAACATATTTCAAGGAAACAAAAATAATCTTTGAATATTTCATTAAGTTTTCTTAGAAGAACATGAAGAGTATAAAGAGTGAAGTATGTTAGATATCAATATGTTATCAAATCCAGCAGAAATAAGTGGGCAATAGATCTTCATTATAACAAGCAAACAAAGATGTTGGCTAAACATGATAACAATGTCAAGGGTCAGGAAACAGTCATATTTGTGTCTTGACTAAATTCAAATGACTGAAATAAATTTCAGATTTAAAAATTGATCAATATAGAGCATTTGCAATGACCTTTTTGGTTGAAAATAAAATTTTGGTTATCAGGAAATAAATTGTGATTGCCATGCTTATCCAGTAAGAAACTGCCACTTGTTGTTGTATGGCAATCCACAGGGTCCTCCAAACCCCTGGAGGATATCAAGTTAATAATCACTAATCACTTTTACCTGTCTTCACACCTGACATGATACTATATTGACCTCTATAAGTCATCATATGGCATTCAGTGATTGGCAAGAACCCAAACCAAAGGCATTATTTGTTTTTATTATATCAGCAATTTTGTCATAGAAATTCTATATTTACATACAATTTATCCATGATAGATAAAAGTATAAAAGATTGTAGCCATTATTTTTGAAAGGAAATCTTTTTTGTATTTATAGGCATTTTAGAAGAAAATGATATTTTTCGTAATGCACAAGCAGGAGTATTAATTAGTACAAACAGTCATCCATCCTTACGAAGAAATCGTATATTTGATGGAAATGCTGCTGGTATAGAAATAACAAACAATGCTACGGCAACATTAGAAGGAAATAAAATATTTAATAATAAATTCGGAGGACTCTGTCTAGCTAGTGGTGTTCATCCAAAACAAAAAGGTAAGATAGTTTAAAAAATATAATATTGGATTTGGATTATTTCTAAGCAACTATAAGGTCAGCATACAGCCTTCAACAATGACTGAAACTAATATCATATAATGCACACTTTTAACACATATGATAATAATACAGTGAGATGTGCCTGTAGATATGGGATGGAATAACCATATTGTTCATTGTAATGAAGAATCTATTTGTGCCTAGAAACAGGTAGAAATATGAAGCACTTTTAGCATTTTAATTCTGTTTCACAAAATCATAAAATAACACCCAGGAGAATGTGGTGTTCATTGACAAAGGTCATCAAATCTGGTAAAAAGAGAAAAATCACAAACTTGGATGTATTTGAAAAATTAAATGAGTGAAAACAAATTTATTTTTGTGTGTTAGTTGTCACAAGCAATAGTTTACTACATTGGACTGAATGGAACATGATTATTCTTAAAAGAGATTCATTGATCTGTTTGTAGATAACATTATCACAGGCAATCACAACATGGTACACAGGGCTGTATCAACTGGACAGTGCTTATATAAAATATCCAGTTACACAAGTTTTCCAATGCATGACTTCTATAGGTAAATATCAGCAGTATATTTTATATGCCACACTATTTTCAAATGCACAACTACTATAGGTAAATTTGTTCAGTATAGTACTGTATATGCCTGTATGAAAAATAATAGAGGAAGATAAGGACAAACTAGTGATTTAAAAAAAAAATAAGAGGAAAAAGATTTACAAAGATATATTGGGTAATTTGCCTAATCAGCAACTGTTTCTTAAAATTTAGTGGTATACACAACATACAGAATTTGAGCAATAAATAAGTGAGTTGGTTTTTACAAGTACACTAAGTGTATATTACATATCTATATATTCTCTTTGAGGGTTATTTAACAAGGAAAAGGTGTAGATAAAGCTTGAAACATGTTTGAAATCTAAATTAAAAAAAGCATTAGTTGGAAGAAAATGATGGGTTTTTTTTTCAGAAATACTTAACAACTGTTATTTTAAATAAAACTATTGTTCAAAAGAATTGTGACTTCAAAAACATACATTGTCGTTACAAATGTTGTTACACTATTTTCAGATGTCGGACTTGCAATACAACAGAGAGGAATGCAATATGTGTGAACTGTATTAAAACTTGTCATGCCAGTCATGATGTAGAGTTCATTCGACATGATCGATTTTTCTGTGATTGTGGAGCAGGGACTCTGAACAATCAATGCCAGTTACAAGGTGAACCAACGCAAGATACAGACACATTATATGACTCTGCTGCACCTATGGAAACCCACACGTTACGAGTAAATTGATGAATGTTTATTTCGTGTAATAACTCGCCTCAGTTTTGTTTTATTTTAGCAACAAATATGGGAATAAAACATAAATCACTTGAAAAGATTTTATCTGTTAAACAAATTTTTTTATTCAAATTGACACGAGCAAGGATAAATGTTGCTCAGGCAGAATATCCACAAGATGCTAAACATAATATATCTGGTGCCAAATTTGGAAATGCAATATTTAGTTTTCATCGAAATGGAAATAAATTGTGCATGCTTTATATATTGCAAAAAGATATTTTAACATTTTATCTTTTACACAGAAATGCACATTAATTTTATTTTGTATGGAAATTTGTGGGAAAGTGGGCTATTGTCCAAATATAAAGTGTACTGTGATGAAATTAACTTCAATTAACAGGTGGTGAACACGTTCTTTCATTTGAATGTATATGCATGTGTAATGCATTAGCACTGGTGTGCCTCTCTAATCTGAAAAGTAAAGGAGTCTGTATTACAGGGTTGTGGGTAATGGCTATTTCCATAATTAAAACACTGCTGAATTACCAAAAAAGTGCTTTTTGTGATGATTCTATTTTTGTGATTTTTGTAAAATTATTCCACACTTTGTAGATTTTGATATAAAAAGTATATTCTTTTTGTGGTTCACAATAGTAGCTGAGATACATTGTAGATTAATTTTCTGTTACAATTTCTTATGAAGGGGAAAAGTTGATTAACATTTTAAACCAATATTTTCATTATATATGATAACTCAAGGTTTTTAGTTGTGGTTAATTGATGGGTATACCAGCCATTTAACCAAGTTTAAAATAATGTCTATTAGTAAAGAATATTCGATAAAAAGGTGTTGTTTTAAAGTTTAGCTTGTAAAGCATAGTAAATTATCCACGAGACTAGAAACTAGCATTTTAATTATTTAGAAAAAGAAATGCCTATTTTATAGAAGTATATTTTACTTTGTCTTAAACACATTTGCAACAGCATTGAAAAGAAATGTTAAATTTACTTATAAGTTTATAAATGTATATGTAAGATGTGAATGGAAAGGTATAAATGTATGGGTGATGATGTTGTATTTAGGTCAGTATGGTTAAGCACCAAAGTTTTTATATGCACTGCTGTTATCATAGATCTGTACTAATACTGTGTTCATTGTTGGGTATACTGTAATGGAGTTTAATTATTTGTTGTGTATATGTTCATTTTTGCCATTTATTTTTATGCCCCCGCCGCAGCGGAGGGAGCATTAAGTTTTACCATTGTCCATCTGTCCGTACGTCCGTACGTCCCAAAATTGGTTTCCGTTCTCTAACTTAAGTTTGCCTCAACCAAATGTTATGAAACTTATACACAATGCTTATTACCACAAAACACAGATCAGATTTGAATTTTTGTGGCGTCACTTTAACTGTTCTAGAGTTATGCCCCTTTATAAATGGAAAAATTGCAAAATTTTTCATTTCAAATTTTTCATTTCCGTTCTTAATCTTAAGTTTGCCTCAACCAAATGTTATGAAACTTATACACAATGCTTATTACCACAATACACAGATCAACTTTGAATTTTGGTGGCGTCACTTTTATTGTTCTAGAGTTATGCCCCTTTACAAATGGAAAAATTGCTAAGGTTTTCATTTTTTTTCTAATTTTAAAAAATTGGAGTTATCTTCCTTTAACCATGATTATAGTTGAATCAAGTACAATCAATGCTTTATACAATGCAATGTTTAATTTTGCCTTCCACTGATAAAACACAGATCAAGTTGAATTTGGGTAGTGTCACTTTAACCATTATTGAGGTTAATGCCCCTTTATAAATCAAAAAATTGCAAAATTTGTAGTTTCCGTTCTGTAACTTAAGTTTGCCCCAACCAAACATGAAACCTATACACAATACTTATTACCACAAAACTAAGATCAAGTACAAATTTGGGTAGCGTCACTTTTATTGTTCTTGAGTTATGTCCCTTTATAATGTTGTATGCAAGCGGGGACACATTCTCCATTTATTTCTTTTCAATTTTATTTTTCACAGATTTACTGAGATAATAGATGATTTCCACGTTCGTGCATCCTCCTATACATTTCCAATATCACAATGCTTATGTTATTAAGTCACAGTAAGAGTCAATTATTCAATGACATCATGTATGCCTATTAACATCATTTTAACCGTTGCAACTCATTCCTTAAAAGGAACTCAAAACTGGTTTATTATTCATGATCAACATTTTGTTTCTAAGTTTATTTTCGTTTTTCTGTTGAAAAAAACAATTGATAAAAGAAGGTTGAGAACAGGTTTCTCTGATATTGACTATATTCTATTCAAATGTATTCAGTTAATTTGATGGACCCTTATCTATAATAGAAAAAAGGAAATCTCTGAATAATGAACACTGAATATCTATGTTAGGCCATTCATTGTACATGTATATTATTTTTCTCCATTGTCAAGTTTCTGATGTTAACATTTGCAGATGTGAATGTGTTCCAAAAAAGCCTTTTTAGATTATTAGTTTTTCTGACAGGAAAAATTTGTGTGAAAATTAACACCTTTGTTTATTATTTTTTTTTATATGTGTTTCAATTGAAATACTGATCAGAAATCTAGACTAAATGTCTGTATTCATTTCATACAGTATAAACAGCTAGACATGTAAGAGTATAAAGTATTGTTATCCATATGTGATTAGAACTTTTATTTTGTTGTTCTCTCACTATTTTTAACTTTGAAATAAACTGTTGCATGAATAATGATATTGACAAACAATATTACTTTTTATGTAAGAATTGCCCTATATAGACATTAGTTAATCGTTTTTCTTATCACTGCCATTTTATGATAACATTGACATTTACAGTTCAAATTTTATTTTCACAGCACATGTGTTGTGTCAGTTGAAAACATTATGTTACTATGGTTACAGAGAGATTGTTGGTTGTTTTATCTTGTTGAGTGTGTTACTTGTCCTATAATTTAAGTGTATATTACATGTCGTGTACAATCGTTCATAGTTTTCTGTTTCTTTATTGTAGCTTTATGGTAAATTGGTGCTTTGAAAACTTTTTCAGGAATTCGAGATACATTTTATTTACAAAATAGAATGTATCAGGACTGTTCCTACAAACCAATAGAATTATTTTCTTGAAAACCAAATTAAGTAATCATGCACAAATTGTATATTATCATGCATGGTTATCAACCAATCATGTGAACATTCTTGTTAACTGTTGACCATAAAGCATCTAATATTGAGGCAGTTGTTAACTGTTGATATTACTATAAAGCATCCAATATTGAAGCAGAAAATGTCTTTATTGTTCTGTTATGTATTTTGTTTAGATTCTATTCTTAACTTTCCTGTGATTTTTGTGTTAAATCCTGGTGACGTCATTCTGAAAATACAAAAATTCAACTCAGGAATTTCTCATTTTTTTTCATTTTATAGAATTGTTTCAGATACAGCATTTGATTTCATAGATGAAATGTCATAGGAAAGTTTTATTTTGTTGTAAATTATTGGCTGTTTTGTACAGAACTCATTGTTTCATATAAGATAAATTTGATTTATACATTATAAATCCTAGATTTAAAATAGGTCTAAAATTATTGAGAATAGTAAAACCCAAATAAACAACACTATTCAAGGTTCTGATAAACTTTGCATTAGAGGTGATAACTTATTTTTTCTAGCATCAATGTTTAATTTGAGTTAATCATCTAAATATGTGAATACTATCTCTGTAGTAGCTGATGACATTGTGGAACTATGAAGATAAAAAAGGTCCAATTAAACAATGAGTGTATTGTTAATGTATCAAGCAACAGCTACCATTGATTCTGTTGTAAGTGTCAAGTTAAATGATTCCGTCCAAAAATAATCATTTAAAAGTTACTTGAATACAATCAGGAAAAGTCGGGTAAATAACTGGGTTTAAAGTTTACTAGTGAATAATGTAGAAAGCCAATAAACACAAATGTTCTTAAACAACCGTATCCAGTATAACTGTAACTAACCAAACAACTCCACAAGGCATTGACTATGTAGACTTCTTTGATTCTGTGTTTACATTCATGTTGTTTTTTCTTGATAAATGGGACTTATTTTGTATGTTTTGTTTATTTTTGGATTTGATAGAGTTCATATACATAATTAGAGTATTTATTAGAGTATGACTGTGTTTAAGAGTGTGATATATCATAATAAAAACACCACTATATGATCAGATCATCAGAAAAAAATAAATATGTTCAAAATATTTTAGACCTTTTTCATTTTTGCCTTATCTATTTAAAGAGAGACCAACAAAATCATGGCAAAAAAATGACAAAAAGACCAACAACAATCTACAAAACACTACATTAAAAACTTAAGACTGCACAATACGAACCCCATAAAAAACTTGGGGGTAATCTCAGGTGCTCTAGTCAGATCCTGCTCGACACGTGATACCCTTCTAAACTACAGGTAACAAGTAAAACATGTTCTCTCAAAATTGCTTGTATGTAATGTCAAGGATAATTTTACCAACAACAAGTATCAGAATCTTGAAACCTGGCATTTATGCTGATTGTACCATAGGTTTTGGAATAAGGATATTTGCCATAAGGTTAGAATTCTAGACAAAAACTAATTTTGTGACAACAGTAAGCCACTGAAATCTCTCAAACTACGAAGGAAAGAAAGTTGAAATTTTAATCAGAAGTCACATTATCTAGGCAAACTTGTGCAATGGTATCAGAAATTTCATGCAACCCCTGGAGGGCCGTTAGGGGGTATACAAAAATAAAAAAATCATTGTCCTGTAACTCGTCTTACTACATTGTAGATAGGATCTTGAAAATTGGGTGTCTAATTAACTGGATAGTTGTCTATGCAGAAAGATTCATAACATTAACATTTGCCTTGAGGCCATTATTATAGACAAACATGAATTGTGTTGTCAAAATATTACCTCTAGGATAATGATCAACAGGGGTCCAAAAAGCCAAATATAAATTGTCACTTGGATAATGTAAATGGATACTGTAAATTCAGAAATAATTGCGATGTTTTTATTATTGAGAAAAATGCGACAGGGTTATAAACGCAATTATTTAAACTCCCATTTTGAAATTTTGTATATGAATTAAACAGGATTTTTCTCAAAATCGCAAAAATTAAAATCGTATTTTAATCTAAAATGACAAAATCGCAATAATAAATGCACGCAATAATTTCTGAATTTACAGAATTGAATATTGGCAATCTATCCCCTAAAGCTTCCAAGCCCTTTGATTAATCTTTATTACTCAATATTTATTTTTCTATCCAAGTTAAGTACTCATACACTAAGTGACCTATAATCATAGAACTAAGGGGAGTATGAAGATCTATAAACAAGATTGTACATGCTGAAATGTCACGGCTGCTTTACTTACCATGATCGATTTTATGTTGAAAGGTTAAGGTTTTTAGTATCTAAGCAACAGGTTAAGGTTTTTAGTATCTAAGAAACAGACGTTAACAGGAAAAATTCACATCGTCCAGTGAACCATGAAAATGTGGTCTATGATTTATTTTAAATTGGAGGTGTATAGTAAGGGGTTCAATATACCATGGCAGGGGGGTCAAAATACCATGGCTTAGTAAAATTTTCCAAACATCTTCATAAGCAGGTTTGATACATACCAACTACTTATTGGAGTATTATTATTATGTAAAGGAGTTAGAATAGCTATAATTTTTGAAATTAGAGGTGTATAGTAGGGGATTCAATATATCATGGCAGGGGGGTCAAAATACCATAGCTAAGTGAAATTTTCCAAACATCTTTATAAGTATGTTTACAGCAGAATGCATTGAGTGTAGGTAAAGGTAATATCTTTGGTTAGCTTGCTTGCTTGCTGAACCGTGAAGTCATTATTAGGTTAGGTAAAACTACCCTCCTTAAAGAGTAGACTAGTCCGACAGATAACCAATCTATCTGTCTGTAGGACTAGACTACTCTGAAAGGAGGGTAGTAAACCTAACCTAATAATGACTTCACAGTTTAACTTACAATCAAGCTAACCAAAGATGCTACCTTTACCTACACACTCAATGCATTCTGCTGTAATACATACCAACTACCTATTGGAGTATTATTACTATGTAAAGGAGTTAGAATAGCTATAATACAAGGTCAGATGATTAACCCTGCCAGACAGACATGTACACCTTACAATCATTCCATACACCAAATATAGTTAGCCTAATGCTTATACATGTAGTATGAAAGAAGCCATCATTAACAGGAAAACTTCACATTGACCAATGAACCATGAAAATGTGGTCATGTCAGATGATGAACCTTGCCAGACAGACATGTATACCTTAGAACCATTCCATTCACCAATATAGTTGACCTATTGCTTTTAGTATCTTATAAGAAGATAAACTGTTGACACACAGATATGTCTCACCTATCAGCACAAAATTCAGAAAAAGACAATCTGATGGACAGCAACATTGCTTATTAATTCAGACACTGGACTATGATCTAGTGGGCAGGGCCTGAAAATGGTCGACAAACTGAGATGTACAGACAGTAATCTAACTTTATAGAAAATATAGTTGTTTATTGTAAGTAGTTAATATCAATACAACTTATTTTTATGCACCTGTCCTAAGTCAGGAAGGACCCTGTTGTTCAGTGGTCATCGTTTGTTGGTGTGGTTCATAGGTGTTTCTGGTTTCTCATTTTTGTCGAGCCTTCGACTTTTGTCGAAATAGCGAGACATAGCGATCCTACATTCCATCGTCTGCGTCGTCGTTGTTGTCATCGGCGACGGCAACCACAAATATTCACTCTGTGGTAACAGTTTTATGATCATAAGATAATATTCAAAAGTAAATTTTGTAAAAAAAGAATTCCATTTTTTCAGTATTTTACTTATAAATGACTTAGTTTTTCTGCCAGGAAACATTACATTCACTCTGTGCTTAAAGTTTTTGAAATTTTAATTACTTTCTTAAACTATCCTGGATTTGTACCAAACATTGACAGAAGCATGTTTATGATTATAAGCTAGTATCTACAAGGAAATTTTGTTAAAATTTTGTTCCATTTTTTCCGTATTTTACTTATAAATGGACTTAGTTTTTCTTCCAGTTAACATTACACCCAGTCTGCAGTTTAAGTTTTTAAAACATTTATTAGATTCATAAACTAACCTGGATTTTTACCAAACTTGGACAGAAGCTACTTACAATCAAGAGATAGTATAGAGAGGAATATTTTTATTAATTTTTTTCCTCATTTTTGTTGAGCCTGCGATTAACAGCAAAAGTAGGCGAGACACTGGGTTCCGCAGACCCCTTACAAATTTTTTTATAATGATTAGACCGTTGGTTTTCCTGTTTGAATTCTTATACACTAGTCATTTTGGGGCCCTTTATAGCTTGCTGTTCGTTGTGAGACAAGGCTCCGTGTTTAAGGCCGTACTTTGACCTGTAATTGTTAACTTTTTATACATTGTGACTTGGGTGGAGAGTTGACTCATTGGCACGCATACCACATCTTCTAATTTATATTAGCAGAAAAACTGAACATTGAAAATTGAAAATTAATTGAAAGTCACTGGACCATGTCCTAGGGGACAGGGCCTCAAAATAATCATCGAACTGATATGTACTGATATTAATGCAACTTCATACAAAATATCATTGATCTATCACAAGTAGTTCTTATCAAGCTGACTTCAGCATAAAAACTGAACATTGAAAATTGCTAATTAATTCAAAGTCACTGGACCATGACCTAGGGGCAGGGCCTCGAAATAGTCATCAAACTAATATGTTATGATATTAATGCAACTTCTTACAAAATATCATTGATCTATCACAAGTACATCCTATCAAACTAACTTAAGCAGAAAACTTAATGTTGAAAATTGCTAATTAATTCAGTCACTTTACCATGTCCTAGGGGGCAGGGCCTCGAAATAGTCGTCAAATTGATATGTACTGATATTAATGCAACTTCATACAAAATATCATTGATCTATCACAAGAAGATCCTATCAAACTAACTTAAGCAGAAAACTTAACATTGAAAATTGCTAATTAATTCAAAGTCATTGGACCATGACTTAGGGGGCAGGGCCTCAAAATAGTCGTCAAACTGATATGTACTGATAGTAATGCAACTTCATAGTAAATATCAATGACCTATCACAAGTAGTTCCTATCAAACTAACTTAAGCAGAAAACTGAACAATTGACGTACTGCTTATAGTATCTGAGAAACAGAACTTATAAAGCTTTATACAAATAGTTTACGCCAACACAACTGCCGCCGATAGTAATCCCTATGTCTCTCATTCTGCGACAAAGTACTGGAGGGATAAAAATTGGTACAAAATATTTTTTTTAATAATTTAAATAAAATGCTCCGCTGGGCGCAGCTTGATACGACCACAGAGGTCGAAACCCTGAACAGTTGGGGCAAGTATGGACACAACATTCAAGCTTGATACAGCACTGAATTTGGATTGTGGATTGTGATTAAATATTTGACACAGCATAGGTTTCTGACAGAGAATGAATGTGGTCTAAGAACTTAAAAAAAATTTAATTTACCTATTCAACCGATATCATTATTATTTGCTTTTATATATAAATTAGAAATAACCAATTTAAAATGGAAAATTTTAAAGAAAAAAAATGAAGAAAAAAAAATCCCCCCCTCAAATTTTTTGAACCCCCTTATGATTCATCACCCCCAAACTCAATCCCAGCCTTCCCTTTGTGGTATGGTACCTTGCAGTACAATTTCAGAGAGATCCATACACTTGAACACAAGTCACTGGAAACTAGAAAAATGCTTGTTTTTTGGCACCTTTTGGGCCCCAAATTCCTAAATATTTAGGGCAATTACCCCCAAACTCAAACCCAGCTTTCCCTTTGAGATATGGAACCTTGTAGTACAATTTCATAAAGATCCATACACTTACACATAAGTTATTGTCCTGAAACTAGAAAAATGCTTGTTTTTTTGTCCCTTTTTGGCCCCCAATTCCTAAAATTTTGGGGAAATTACCCCCAAAATCAATCCCAGCCTTGTCTTTGTGGTATGGTACCTTGCAGTACAATTTCAGAGAGATCCATAAACTTGAACACAAGTTATTGTCTGGAAACTAGAAAAATGCTTATTTTTGGCCCCTTTTTGGCCCCTTATTCTTAAACGTTATGGTCAATTACTCCCAAACTCAATTCCAGCTTTCCCTTTGTGATATGGAACCTTGTAGTACAATTTCATAAAGATCCATACACTTACACACAAGTTATTGTCATGAAACTAGAAAAATGCTTGTTTTTGCCCCTTTTTTGGCCCCTAATTCCTAAAATTTTCAGGCAATTACCCCCAAAATCAATCCCAGCATTCCCTTTGTGATATGGAACCTTGTGGTAATGTCAGAGAGATCCATACACTAACACACAAGTTATGTCTGGAAGTTACAAAAATGCTTATTTTTGGCCCCTAATTCCTTAACTGTTGATACCATAACCCCCAATCAATCCCAACCTTCCTCTTGTGGTATTGAACCTTATGGTAAAATTTCATAGAGATCCATTCACTTAAACTAAAGTAAGAGTGCGAAAACCAATGTGTCTTTGGATGACAACGACGCCGGACGACGACAACGACGCCAACGTCATACCAATATACGACCACAAAATTTTTTTTGTGGTCGTATAAAAAGTTATTTGAGAAACTGACCTGATTAAGAAACTAAATGTTGAACACTTAACAATGAAATGAGGCAGATTTCAGGTATAAATTAGAAGATGTGGTATGCTTGCCAATGAGTCAACTCTCCATCCAAGTCACAATGTATAAAAAGTTAACAATTACAGGTCAAAGTACGGCCTTAAACATGGAGCATCAGCTCACACCGAACAGCAAGCTATAAAGGGCATCAAAATGACTAGTGTAAAACAATTCAAACTGATGGACATGCATAAATTATAATTATTCTATATACCAAATATAGTTACCTATTACCTTAAGAATTTGTGTGATAAAAAAGACCTATTTAATGCAGAGATTGCTTTTAAAAGCCACCAAATATGATGCAAGGAATGGCATTTCCAACAAAAAGAGCTCTTCAATGCACTAATTTTTATAAATTCAGTACAGATGTCAAAAGATGGCAATTGGTCAAATGGCCATGTGAGCGAAAAAGGTGAACATTCTAACTTCTTGATGGAACAAATTCAATGTTTGTTTGGTAAACACAAACAAATAAAACTGACCAGCAAATACAGTTTATTTTGACTAAATATCACATTCAATAAACTGGAATGAAAATAAACCATCATTTTTTTTAAATAGTCAAGTAATTGCCACAGATAATATTATAATTAAGTGCCAATCTGTCTAAGAATCAGTCAGTAGTGAAAAAATATATATGAATATTCAAAACTAAAATTCATTAGACATTTTTGTTCCTAGGTTTTAATGAAAAATAATTGAATTTGTAGCCACCATTAGATGTTTTTTCATTTGGTTGTCCATTATCCATTTCATTATCTAGAAAACAGTGCCTCCAAAACTTTTTTTTTTTATTCATTTATTTTTTTATTTTTCTATCACTTTTTTATTAATTAATTTATGAACAAATTTTTAATTGTGATTGGTTAATTATTGTGATGTTGTCATACAAAAGTTTTTTAGTTTCATTTTTATGAGAAATTTTAAAGAATAAGTGATCAGTTTCACAAAAAATCTTACAACTAAAGTTGATTGTAAGTCATGAACTATTCAGTATACCTACTTTAGTCCTAAAACGTTTGTGAAACTGATCACAGGACCATAACCAAACTAGTGGTAAAATTTTTACTGTTTTTGAAAACCATTATTCAAATCATAATTTATAAAATCTGTATTTTTGCCAGATTTAATGTTCCTGAATAAGACAAATAGTAAAAACTGTCTGAATGTATGACTCAATCCAAGAAATTTACAAGATGAATATTGTTTCAGAACTTTTTGAATGATCCTAAACTATTCATGCTTTGCATCGTACATCTGAGTCGTTTAAAATAATCATGTGATATGGTCATGATACCTTAAAACTAAGAATCAAAACTTTTAACTCTTATAAAATACAGGAGAAAATAAGTTTGAAATCTAATGATTAAGTAACATTGAAAACATAAACATTTATAGTGTATTTTCTACTTTCTTTTCATTACATTTTAAGTAGCACCAATACAATAAACAATTAGAAATATTTAATGATACATTTTGTACTAGTAAGGATATACTCTCAGATACTATAAGAATAAACCCTCTTTCATTTTTACTTTTTATCTATAATTTTATTTTATGGTCATTGTCCATTCCTTTCAACTTCATCTAATCATATTTTACTTTAAAGAAATCATCAAATCTGATGGAATTTAAATAAAATAACATTTCTCAAAACTGTGTACTCGATAATCCTCAAAAATATTTCACAAAAAACTAACAAAATTCATCAAAATATATTTCCATTAAAATTTTCAGTACAAATCTTTCAAAAGAAAACTACTAAATACATTCGTCTGTAATACATACATGCTGTCTATAATGACATGAAACAATAGCTTATGTGGTTACATCATTTAAAGATAAATCATACTCCAAAAAAATATGGTTTTCAAAACAGTACAAAATTATAAAAAAAACCTTGGTCAAAAACCTTTTCTTGCATTTTCAATGGTTATTTAAAAAAAAAAATAGTAGACACGATAAAAACTTTACCCCAATTTATTGTAAAAACTGAAAAACATTTTGACAAGTCTTTGATCTCATAACATGCATCAAGAAAGCTGCAGGATAGGTTACTGGGATATAAACTATGTAAATTCATCAGAGAAGTCTACATTGTTGGTCAGAATGACTTAATTTTAAAGGGAAGCTGTTGTTAATTGATTGCTTGTCTGATGTTTGTTCAATGTCCAGTGGCTAATATTTCATTGACGTTTTAATTCAGAACTAGGATACTGACTGCATGTTGCTTGTGGTAAATGAGAACTGAACTGGCGCATTAAATATAACCCACTTTAGTTTGGAGACTGTTACATCCATCTAGATGCATTTTTGCACCAAGCTTTATAATTTTAGGTCACTTAGTATCCAAACACTGAACTAGGAGGTAAAGTTTAACTTAAGTCACCGGGGTATAAATTGGTAGTTTAGGATAACATAACTTTTATTTTATAAGGTATCCAAATTTTAAAAAAAGTAACGCAATATAGTGTTTATGTGAGCATTTTAAATGAAACCACTGACCACTGGACATTAAATAATCAATTAATCAATGAAACCACAGACCACTGGACTTTAAATAATCAATTAATCAATGAAACCAGACCACTGGACTTTAAATAATCAATGAAACCATAGATGGTAGAAACAACTCCTGTGTTCAAATAAACATTTGGCAAATTATACTTCATGAAATTATTTCACTTACAAATCTTCAACTAAAATTATAGAAAATCAAAATTAGTCATTTCACAAGTTGTTCACATGACAATTAATGAAGTACAATAAAGTGTTACTACAAGTTCTATACCAGGTAATAATCTGTGAGGAACCATTTAAAACAGAGAGAAAAACATAGCAAAGACTCTAATGGCAGGGTGGCACAGAATGCTTTTTAAACAATGAAGAATCTTCTTTACTGAATTTGAATATATGGAAATGTAATATATAAACAATGGTTAAAACATTATACAACTCCATAATGAGAGGTGAACAACCTCAATACGTTTGCAAACTTTCTGTGAAGTTCAAAGTCGAAAATGAAAATTGGTATCAGCTTGTAAAATTTTGATCCCATCTCTGGGAAAATGAAAAAAAATCCTCGAACAATTCCATAATACAAGTGCACAACTTCAATATTTTTGCAACCATTCTGTGCAGTTTAAAGGATTTTGTTTGAAAATTGTAAGAGAAGGTGATACACAAAATAGGTACTGTCTTTTGTAAATTTTGCTTATATATGTCTCAAGTTCCTAAGTCAGGAAAACTTTGCAATAGCAATGACCAAATTCAGCATGTGTCCCAGCAAATGAGATAGTCAATGAATTTAAATAATTCTAATTACAATGATTAACAAGAGTAATGTTCCAGACAAGCCTTTCATAAGTGTTTTATTATAACTTACTGCATATTTATCAATGAGAAAAATGTAACAAGATGACATTATAAAAATAAACAAAAAGTTGAACTGTGAACTACTGCTCACTATCAACCTATGCTATAAGTATTCAGTAAACATGACTTAGATAAGTGATGGATATGAAAGTTTAACATGCTCACAGGGAGCTTGATCCTAGCTACGATTCATAGATCCTGGGAAAACTGTGACGAAACTTTCATTAATGCCAATTATGAGTAAGAATATATAAATATTTGGTATTGAAAATACATCATACAGTAAAGCATGCTCTCAGGAAGATTGCTACCAAATTTCAGGAAGGTGTGATTTGTAGTTACTTACTTTTCAACATTTTCAGATATTACACATACACTGGATGATTTTTACAGCAAAATTGAAATCGATGACCTCTGTGAATTTTTTATCAGTTGAACAGAAATTTAAGATGCAAATTTTTTTCTGTGTGTGTTTTGGTGTCAAATTGTACGAATTTAAATTGTTTAATTTGATTAACTTATTTTTATTTATAAAATGTTAGAAAACTTGAACATCTACAAACTAAGGAATATTTTTATAGAAATCCAACAGAAATTATCTCTCTTCATTATGTTTTCCTCCAATATTGCACAAATCTGAAATTGCTGATATTTCTCCATAAATATGCCATAATGAAACTGAAATATCTTGGAAAGTAAATCATGAAGATATATTTTATTATATTTAAAAAAGTCCATATCAAAATTGAAAAAAATCAATGATGGATATTAACTGTATCATATCCTCATATGAAGGGACTTGGTTTAATCTTTCACAAAAAAACGAATAACAGGAAAAAAAGAGGTAAATTTCAACAAGTCACTAACGTATAAACAAAAAGGAGACTTCATAAATCAAAGACATATATCAAGAAATACATTGACTGTTCAGGTCTTATAACTTTTAAGTATAAACACAACCTATAAACATGATTAAGTAATCACTCTGTTTTGTCTCACTCAAACATGATTAAGTAATCATTCTGTTTTGTCTCACTCACACATGATTAAGTAATTACTCTGTTTTGTCTCACTCACACATGTGAACTAAGTATTAACTTTCCCTTTGATATTTTAATTCAGGACTTAAATTTCTCTCCAATGTCTTAGAAAAAAAGTGATAACTTTTAAAAATGAATCTACAGTAAATTATGGCACATTTTTTTGGTTTATCAATGATATTTATTGCACCAGTCCCTGAGCTTGCATAGTTTTTATTCCTCGTAAGGCTTTTTTGGCAGCAGCACTTTTAGCAATCCTATAATTTCTTCCAACACCAGTAAATACCCCTTTGCTAACAACATTCACTGATACTCGGATTTTTCCCTCTAATGTTCTCTCTGGTTTCCTGAAAAATGAAGCAAATTTTCAATTACCTTAATAGTGTTAATTTTTTGTATTTTCCCAGAATGTACATAACATGCATAAATAGTAGTGTGGTACAGTATCTGAGTACCAGTAAAACAAAACCTACTGTTGTATTGTGAAACAGCAAAAAGTAAATCCCCATGATTTCAAAAACAGTGTATCAGGGAAACATTAGCATAAGATTTTTTATTGTTTGTGATTCGTTCATGAAAGACAATTTACTTTATATTTTTATACTTTTTTGATGGATTTCATTTTCGTTACATGTATTTAAAAGTATCTCCATTCGTATATCTACAAAAGGAATTATTTCCATGATGTGAAATTTAAAAGATTTATTGCATTCACAAAAATACCTAAAAATTAGACCCAAACGAAAATCATATGATATAAGTCAACTACACAGCAGTGTGATCTATCTTCTAGTAAACAGTAAAGATAGACAAAAAATGTCCAAAAGGATACATTTTTTATGCACGTCATTCTATTGTCTTATCTCCTTTCTCATATTTTAGATTGCATATTTACAAATTGAAATATATTTGTATAAGTCATTGTATTCAATTTTGTTCTATGGTTAGCCATCAAAAATAAATAAAAACTTACTCAAATTTAGCTGTCTCTGGCTCCATCTCTAGAAGTTCTCTGACAGGTGACTTAGGAATACTCTTCAGATATTTTTCTGTTGATTAAACAATTAAAAACTAAAGAGAATAGTATACTTCTACTGGTACTGTAAATTCAGAAATTATTTCGATGTTTTTATTAATGCGAACAATGCGACTGGGCGAGTATCGCAATAATAACTTGCATTCTGATATTTGATGCATATATCTGTATGCAGCTTTTCCTGAAATTGCAATGATTAATCTCGCATTTATGTCAATTTTTCAAAAATCGCAATAATAAATGCACACAATAATTTCTGAATTACAGTATTTCAAATTATATTCAGAGAAGATTTGGTGAAACTTTTAGATTATTACAGCTTGTCTTGTATGTCTCATAATAAATTATTCTTCTGAACCAAACATGTTTCTGTAATAAGGTTTCAAGGAACATGTATTTCTGAAAGGTAAAATGTGGTGATCAGGGTCATTGGTTGTTATTCTTAGAGTTATCTCATTATAAAAGATATCATACAGTGGTCAGGGTATTGGCGTAAAATTATCATATGATGTGCATATTGATGATGTCATTCAGACATGAGCCTACATTAAACCAAGCTCATTTTCAGCTAAACTGATATTTAAATTCCTTGAACCATGGTTAAAATTATCCATTATTAATGTTTGACACATACTGTAAGTTGCAATATAAACATCTTATTCCCTTCCTAGTTGGATGTCAAAGATTGTTTATCTGTGAGCTCAGGTAAATTTTGTCATCTGCCATTTGCAAGGACTAAGTAAATATCAGGGGCTGATTGACTATGGCCAGAATCCCTATTATTACAGTGATAACCACACATGCATATAGCACTCACTACAGAATAATAAGTCCAATCAATGTGAAATAAATGCATCATTTTTTTTTTTAATATATTCAGATATATAGAAACTAGTTGTTATTTGTAGTGAAATATACTTGTAAACATTACTACATGTTTATCATTGGTTATAGACAATAAATTTGAAACAATATCAGTGTTATATTTTTTATAATTTCAGTTTCATGTAAAGAACATTTGTTAACCCTGCCACATGTCCCTGGAGCCAGGAGCATGTAACACAGTGATTGTTGTTGGTTGCTGACAGCCATCATTGTTTTTTCATCTTTTGTTTTAGCATAAATCAGGCTGTTTTTTTCCCCTGATAGAATTGTTTCACATCTTGATCCCACAGCCTTTTACAACTTTAAGTTTTAACCACTGAATGTTGAATCGTACATTCCTGAGGTGTCCCTGAAGTCTCCCTCCAATTTCATACTTCTCCATGTTTGGTTGCCAGGGCGAAGTCTTATCATTTTAATGTACATGGTGATAATTTCTGATGGTTTTTTTTTAATCATCCCCTTGGTGTCTTTTGACTTTTTAAACATATTGCTATCAATACCCTTTTTATTTCTTACCTATTTGTGGTTTCATAATTCTATAGTAAACCCTCCAAACTGTGTCTAAAGACATCCCACTATCCAGGTATATAGCACCAGCCAATGATTCAAATATGTCACCTAAAGCTTTGGGAACTTCTAGTTCTACTTTCACTTCATCGTCTCCTTCTTCCTGCTTTTTAAGGAGATAAAGGATATCAGTCAATAAAACAGCAATCCAAATATACAAATAAAAACCTCTAAAGATCAACACATCATCTTCAGCAATAAACAGTATTCTTTACAATATGTTAAGCTCTAAATTGCCAAAAATCTATTTCTAGTGTATCAAGTCTGTTTTGAAGATGCAAATATCAAATTAAAAAGTTTAAATACAATACACCATATTGGACCTTCTTAAGAAGCAGGATTCAATTCAATTCGTGTGCTGAAGTGACATTTTCTCAATTCATTTAAGTGCTAAAGTGCCTTTTTTGTAATTATTACCTGCCCTTCTCAAATCTGACTTGAAAACTCTGTAATCATAAATCAAATCTCACCTCCTCATCTTCTAGATCAATCTCGTCTTCTCTCTCCTTCTGCCTAGTAACAAACTTTTCTATTACATTGAACAGCGGAGGAGATATTGCCTTGAAGAACTTATGGAAGTCCCATTTAACAGCAAGTGCAGCAAATATATTATTGTTGACTAGAGCTGACCGTAAGTCAGTAAGTACACCGGGTGAATATTTACAAGAGTCTTCGTACAGATGTCGTGTTATCACATAATCTAATATTGCATCACCTAAAAATTCTAACCTGAAAAAGAGGAACATCTTAGGATATGGTTACAATTTTCAGAGTCAGCATTAATATGAAAGCAAAGTCACTGAGAGAGAAGAGAGCAACATATAGAGAAAAAACATATTCAAAGAGCAAAGAATAAAAAATTCTGTAAACCAAATTTTCGCAGATTATTTTGCATTTAGTCCTTTCCAGCCGACTTCATTGCCATTTATTTTCATGATTTTCTCATTTTCTTGATGTATTTATATAAGGGAAGACCCAAGTTTTTACATATTCAAATTATTTTTCTACTTGCAGGAAAAGTACCCCGGTAGTTCAAAGCATAATTATTGTTAACAAGGTAAATCTATTTTTAATTTGGAACTTAAAATAAAAGAAAAATTAAAGAACCTTAGTAACAATTGTGGTACAAATCTTTACTTTACTTTTTGCCAGCAAACATAGTGCAAAAGCAAAAATTTCATTAAGAACAGTCAAACATAAGTCAAACCGTTAAAAAACACTCATTGACTCGGAGTCATTGTGCCTAAGACAGACAATGATATCCCTACTACTGAAAAAATTTGTAATTGTATAAAAAAAGGTAGCTCGTGGCTAGATGAAATATTTGACATACATAAGCTAATCACATAGTACTAGAATACAAGTTTGTCATGATCATAATACAAAACTCAGTAAAAAATGTATTCGCCCCATTAACTATGTAAAACATATAAGAATAAGCTTTGAAAAAAACATGAAGCAATTTAATGACAATACAAAACTTTGTTGAGATATATCAAAATTTGTAGGAGCATTTAAACGGGTGTCAAATGAAAGTACAGCTGTTATAATGACATCAAAAATAGATTCCATTTAATATCAGATTATTAATAAATAAACCAACCTTTGGTAACAGTCTGTTACTGTGTTATAATGATATGAAGCATGAGTAAAGGCCTGTAGTAGATATGATCTGTCTTTGAAATGGTAGTGGATTTTATCCTCCAGCTTGTCAAAACCAATCAATAGATGTTGAAGCTGACTGACCGAATCTGGTTCCCCATCAAATAGTGGAGAACTAGGACATGATAATACGTGTGTGTCTATGCAACCAGTCTGAAATGTAAAAATTGCTTACAGACATGCACTGCTTGTGTGTTGTCACTTTCTTAATTTTCTAAAAGTTTCACACTTGTTTTAAATTACATCAATGAATTTAATACAAGATTCTGACATTATGTTATTGAGTATTTCTCTGACTATAAATTACTTTGTGGTTCAAGTGAAGTAAACAGCTTAAAGAATAAGGTGATTTCCAAGTATATCCATCTGACATTGATTATTACTGTAAGCTGTAACAGTATACTACAAAATAAATACCTGCTCTAAAGTTTTTTTCTGAGGTAGAACTCTGAGACCCAACCATGACATGAACCTCAATGCCACTTTCTTTCCACAACTTGTGAGGTAACAACCTATCAATGACTCAACACAGTCAGCTATACTCTTGTCAGGCAAGCTATGAAGAGTCTGTAAGCAGTAGGGAATCAAACAATCTGATGAATCAGATCTATCCTCCTCTTCAACATTGGCTTGAATTTCCTTCAGTTCTTTATTAAATTCATTTTCCTCTTTTGAACAAGGGACATATTTGTCCCATCCATTTGATAAATGATGTGGATGACTGTCAATTTTAATGTCACAAAAGTTCACTGTGGAACTGCTTCCAGGTATTTTTTCTACCTTTGTTGCCAATAAGACTTTTGGCACAGGTCCTTTCCTCCTTTCTTCATTAATTAGATACCCAGGTGGTAACCAATTCTCATATGGTTCAAATTTTGTTGAGATCATACATTCAGCTAAACCTTTCTTTTTACCAAGTCTGTACAAATTGCAATTACTAACTTGTTTGCTGCGTAAATAACTTAGCTTTCCTTCATGAACTCCAGGATATGTACAGAAAAGATAAACAGTGATAGCATACTTAAGGAATGAATCACCAATTGTCTCCAATCTTTCAAGGCTAAAAAAGTCATTAGCATTAGACATGGTCAGGGCCTGTAAAATCATACATGGTGAAGGACCTATAAAATCTCCAGTCACCACATCAGTGTCAAATGACATCAGCTTATTTAGCTCTTCTTCTGTCACTTCTATGTCTTCTTCCTTTTTCTTCACTGGCTTTTCTCCAAAGTGTCCCACCTGATTGAACACATCCTGTTCTATAACTTGTTCTGTAGAACTGATCCCATTTTGATTGAACACATCTTGTTCTATAACTTGTTCTGTAGAACTGTTCCCATTTTGATTGAACACATCTTGTTCTATAACTTGTTCTGTAGAACTGTTCCCATTTTGATTGAACACATCCTGTTCTATAACTTGTTCTGTAGAACTGTTCCCATTTTGTTCAGTAGAATCACTGTGTGATTGATTCATTTGTATTTCGATTTCTTTGTTCATATTGTTCTCATTCTCAGATTTTGACAGCACCAATTTGTCAAATTCACAACAAACTTCAGCAGTTCGTACAGGGTTTGAAGATAAGGGCGATACAGTATTTGATGACTGACTATCTGGAATGAGTGGAATGTCTGTATCATTTGGCCAGCCATTTGCAGATACAACAGAATTATCAGTATTTTCTTTGGTTTCTAAAGATTTATCAACATCTTGGAATGTTTCTGTGCACTTTGAGGTTTCTCCATCAACTACATTAATAACATTAGTATGATTAAAATCATCTTTCACCTGACTATTAATATCACAACCATTACCACTGAAAGACTTTTCTAAACTTTTCCCTGGTTGATCCACTTCATCATCATCAGACTGTTCAGTGGAGGGATTCATGTCCAGAGGAATATCATCAGTTTCTTCATCTTTGAGAAAAGAGAAGCTCAAAGCATCATAGATAAATCCCTGAGGAATTGAGGCTTGTCCTATATTAGCACCTTCTGTAATTATAATTCTAAGCTCCTCGGACACTAATAAGCAGTTCATTCTGTAAAGAATTGTTGGTAAACAAACAGCCTTTCTCCAAAATGAGGCTGGAAATACATGGATTTCACACAATTCTGGAATAAGAATTTGCTTCTGTTGTAAATTTTCACGTCTTGCTTTCTTTGTCTCTGCACTACTTGTTGGCAAAGCCACACCTTTTTGATTCAAATATCGTGGAGTCAATAAATTGAGCCGAGCAGAAGTATGATCAACATCCAATAATGGTTGCTCATAATTTGTAATTGATAAACCATACTTGGTTATATAATATTCAGCAAAAGTTTTATATAGTTCTGGTGATGGAAACGGAGATGCTGGGTTGAGATCCATTCTGATTTCAGCTACATAGAAATGTTGAGGCTGATCAATATTCCTGTATCCTGGCATTACAACAGCATCTTCATAATCCTCTTTGGTAAATTCAAAAAGTTCCCTTTCTGTATCATATATGTTTCTCCTCTCGTGGAGCTTATACTTTTCTACTTTTTCAATAAACTCCCAATCAACAGCAATTTCTTGTGTAGCTGAAAAAAAAGATTTAAAAAAATTGTTCAAAACACAAATAAGATTTTAACATGTACTTTATCAGTTGGCAATGCAAATTTTGTAAACAAACATAATAATACAATTCACATACTTGTGGGGTGTCTTTTAGGAACTTATTAACACTTGAAATGACTGTTTAAACTTACTTAAAAGGTTAAAATAGCCTACAAATTATTGAAATTACTACAAAACAAATAACACTATCTAATTAATGATAACAATGTACATAAGTGGAATTTTCTGTCAACATATGTGGTGAATTGCTTCTTTTGGCAACAAGCAAACTTATGTCTGAATTTAATGATAGTTCCATTTTTTAACAAATATTAGTTCTTGTAATATATTCTATATTGTAATACATCATTCCTGCCTCTGACGGAAATTTCATCATATTGTAATATATTCTTTCCTGTTCATGGCAGAAATCTCATTTAGCACTGTGAGCACTAAAGGGTTAACATTGTACTTGTTTTGAAGTGGAAAACAGAACATTAAACATTGCACTGTTTAAGCATGAGAAGGCAATACTATGAATTGGAGTCCATAATTGTAGTTGGTTCATCTACCGGTACACAATTATGGACAAAATAAGATAACACTAATTTTAAATATTACAATATAAATGTATGTAATTTTCCTGACAAGTATGGTTATATTCATATACATTATTTTGTATATGTGAATATCTGAGTATATATTCCATTGATAAATTTCTTGAAATCGTCATGGATAGGATGTATAGAATGTTGTGCTAAATGCACTTCGTTTTTTAGCAGCATACTGCAAACTATTCCAATCTAAGAAAATATGTAAGTTCATAATTTGCAGAAGATCAAATTTGACAAATGTTAACAACATGTCATGGACACCAACGAATTTCATCAAAGGATCAAATGTGTTATATACTGATATACAGGGGAAATAACGTTATATATGGGATCCAAGAAAAAGTCTTATTTGGAATCAGCTGTTGCACTGCCCACCAAAATTGTTTTCATGTATCCCACAAATTCCCATAAACACCATACAAGTTCTTATTACACTATTAATTTTTAAGGATACTAATTTTTGTGGATGGATACAAAATTGTATATTAATGGATATTTGATTTTGTGGTTTTGTAAATTTGAACCTCTTGGAACATTTAAATACATTGTTCTTCTATTCTACCATTTATCCAAATTATTATTATGAATTCACAGTAATAAATTTCAACCTAATATTTACCTTCTTTTCACACATATTTCTCACATCAATTTAACTGCATATATAATGCAAACGAAACTTTGTTTGCAAAACATTGGTTCTAGACAAGCATACATATGAAAAAAATATATATTGACCTTGAAGTCAAAGATCTATGTCATAAGTTGATCAAAAGGGTATGTGAAACATTGTCCATCAAGATACATTATTATGTCAAATATTATCAATCTACATAAAAAATAAGTAAATTGTGTCTCTAGACTTGTCAGTATGTGAATGTGAGATAAAAAAAACTGACCTCAAGGTAAAAACTTAGGTGAAATGTTAGTATGGTACATGTTACTTTATTTTATGGTGATACACTAATATGCCAAATATCATAAGTCTACATCAACAGATTAGATAGTTCTGGTGCAAACTGTATGAGGAGGTCAGCATCAAAAAGAAAATGAATTCAGGGTAAGATAATGTGTCTCCTTTTTGAAGGGGAAGTCATATAAATAACATAAAAAACAGTAATAGGTTAGCAGTTTGTAACTATAGCAATAGTTTAACAGTGTGTTACTATTGACATAATTAAATTTCCCACATAAACAAACATACTTACCTTTTGCTAAAGGAATAATTAAGTAACCAAGCTCAGCTTGGTTGGGAGAGAAAATCATAGGATCTTTCTCTAGTCGTAAGACATTGCTGAACACAAATCGGTGGAAGTTTGATAATCTTTCTAGCTCCTCATGACTATAAAAGACATCAGATGTAAGTAGTTCTATACTAACAGTTACTTCCCCTGACCTGGTATATACAGGAAATTCTGGGACCTATGAAATGTAAAATGAAATAAGATGAAATATCAATGAGACAACCAAAACTGATAAAACCATAGAAAAAAATCATAGCAAAAAAGAAAAAAAGGAAAACAACAAACAATAGTCCACAAACATTACAAAGGAGACTACAAATTGCCCAACATATAATTGACCTACTACTCATAGTAACTGATAAATAAGATGTTAACACCAAAACAAATGGCACCCAAAAGTGACTACAAAGATGTAAGCAGATGTTTGGAACATAAAAAAAGTTCAAAAGTGGTACCAAATCCTGACCTCATCCAGGGTATGCATGAAATACTTGTCACTGGACAACATGCAAAAATAATCAATCAAACAAGTCTTGATAGCTTGTAAATGAATTAGAGACAGACAACCAAAGATCTGAAAACAACCTTCAAATCTTGTATCTGTGAAACTTTGTGATGTTAGACAAGTGAAGCCACAATACATTCAGTTATTATTTTGAAAAAAAAATCTATATCAACTTCAAGCTTTAAAATATGACATTCTATTAAATTTCAAAATGTTTCCTCTTATGATGTGAATGCATGCTTTCTTACTGTAGCAATTACTTGGTAATCACTCTATACTTTTTACACAAGCCTGGCTGAAATGAAACTTAACTTTCAATACAGTAGAATATTTTATTGCTCATAACGGTTCGTTTTGATCAAGTAATTCTAAGAATGCATTTGTTATAAAGTATCATATTTCAACCTCTTGGATATACCTTGGAATAATAAGTCTTATTATTCCCACTTCTACAAACCTGTGGAATTGTAACTGAGGTTAACAGACCAAATGACCTTGAGGTCTCCTCTGGATCATTGAGTTTTCTTCCTCTGGTATTCTGATCATCAGAGATTGGTTTTGTCAGCTTCATTTTCAGTAAGTACAAATTATTCTTTTGTTTCTCAGGATATCCTCTTAACAGTATATTGGCTGTCTGTAAAGTAAAATTATTACAAAAATATCATATAGTGTCTACATTTTTTGGCTTGAATAAGTGTAATGAACATACTTAAGATTTTTTTCCCCATATCAGTATTTTGCAAAACATATTGTCCCTCCCCTAACCCTAACACCTTTCAATACTGTAATAAATATTATGATACATTTATGAATACTTATGATACTTGAGAGAACATGATTTATTAATTAGTTGTAATAGACTTTCAAGGCCGTATGGTGACCTGTAGATGTTAACTTCTATGTCATTTGGTCTCTGGTGGAGAGTTGTCTCATTGGTAATCATACCACTTCTTCTTATTTTTATATTTGAAGTGGCTTTTAGTAACTTGGAGTATGCTTAGATCATTACTTTGTGGCTTTTGTTGAGTGCTCACAGATATATCTCTAACTCCACCATATTCTCTATGTGTCTGTCCCAAGTCTGATGCCTGTTATTCAGTGGTTGCAGTTGGTTAATGTCTGTGAAATTTGTTTTTCATTAACTATTTGTTATACATCAGGCCATTAGTTTTTTCATTTGCATTGCTTCACATTTTGTCATATCAGGGCCTTTTTTATCTGACTATAAGGTATGAGTTTTGCTTATCATTGAAGGCCTTTGTTTACCTATAATTGCTTACATCCACATCATTTGGACTAGGGTGGATAGTTGCATCATTGGCAATCATACCACATTTCCTTACTCAAATACAAAGATAGGAGAAAAGTTTTTGATGAAATAAGTTAACCTTTTTCAGGTAATACTGTTTCCTCTTTGTAGTTCCTGGTCTAGCTTCTCCCATCAAGTCTTCATCATCCCATTCATTATTATCATCTTCCTCCAAAGAAAATAATTCCTTCCCAACAGGAGCAAGCTGGTCATCTAATTCACCTGAAATCATATTTTGTACAATAGACATAACTATTCAAGCCCTTCAGTGATATGTCCCCTAGCACATAGCTACAGTTGAATCTTGTTGTCTTGAACTCGGTCGACTAAAATTTCCTAGCATTGAGATACAGTAATATCAATTGATTTTCTCTAAAATACTCTCAGATTTTGTAATAAGTTTACAGTAACAGATGCCAAGTGATGACATAAATTTATATGGTTCATTGGAGCAAAGTGAGTTAATTCTAAGAATCATAATTGATTGTACTGAAATATTGATGACTTACAATTATGTTCAATATTACAATTTTTTGTAAAAAAAAACATAGGTTAGTTACCTTCTTCATGGAGGTTTTCACACATCTTCAATGCAACTGCTCTCTTGGCCAAACTTTTAGTTGGCATAAAATCACTCTGAAATATTGTTTACATACAGTTTAAAAGAAACTTTAACATCTTAAACAGCACTTTTAAAATCTAAAAATCAATTTCAAAACTTAAATTAACTTAATAAGATGTTCATTCGCAACAAAGATTAGTTTAGACAGCTCCGTTGTATGGGGGATAAGGAAAAACAAAACTTCCAAGTATATATATTTATTGTGTCCCAATGATCAATTATCTTTATAGAGAATGAAAGACAGATCTATATCCTGTATATTAGTCTTACTACAATAAATGACAATTCTAATAAAAATACACATTTCTTAATTTTTCCCAAATAAAAAAAATCCATAATATGTATTAAAGTCATTTATTTACTGGTAAACATTACTAAATTTCAAATCAAGCAATCTGGAGAATATCATTTATTTATCAAATCTTAGACTCATCATATTGTTGGACATTTCTTAGTTTCAATTACCAAACCCCTAATATACCATGACAATGCCCACATAGCATGCATGTATGTCTATGTTATGCTTTAACTTTTTGTTATCTTTGTATAACAAGTACATCTACTTCAGTTATAGTAAAAGCTTCTAATTACCACTCACCGTTATTTGTAGTTTAATAGGTGAATTGATTGGTAATCTAAGTTTAGCTTGGTACATTAAGGCTCCATTGACTTTCACACTGTTAAGATGACACTTGGGTGTCAGATGTGTAAAGGCATCACTAGGCAGTTTGGCACAATATCTGTAAGTACATGTAATATCAGTCAAATCTGAAAGTATGTGTAATATTATTTAGATACAACTGCTAGGTGAAGCATGGTACTCATATATCAATCCATTTCTTTTCAATATTAGACAAGATTGGTTTGGTTTTTATTAGGTTGAGAAGTCCCACTTATGTAGTGTGATTTGTACTTAAGAGAAAACATGTGCCTACATGGAACCACAACACATTTAGTGTATTTTTCTATATCAATACATGTATTTGAGGATTTTAAGGAGTAAACATAGCAGTTGTTGTACTTGATATGAAAATTTCTATTACATTTTCAATTACAATAAATTTATGAGCTATTCAGTAAATATTTAATTTTAAATCATCTCAATAACATTACCTATTGACTAATGCTATGGCATTACATAAGTTGACTTGAATGGATGGCATGTCAGAGTTGGGATAATAAGGGGGAAGTAACTCTATACAATCTAAGTCATCTTCTATTATTTCAAGGTCATTTTCACTTTCTTTATTCTGTCTCCATCCAATCAAAACCTTTTGAAATACACAAAAACATAAATTACTTCTCCTACAAAACACCAAAAAAAATAAACTTCAAAGTCCATTTTACACTGTAAGATTTTACTATGGTCACTGATTATCTTTCACTTTATAAGCATTTTTCAAACATTCTAAGTACACCTGTAACCAGGAATCTACTTCTATTAAGTGTGGGCTTTAAAGGCCATTGCTGAAGATCTTAGACATAAACAGTACATTTCAAATTTTTTTATCTGTTTTGATCATATATCTCCTCACATTTCAAAGTAGTTATGCATCCTTGCATATCAAGTTTTTGAACTTGAGCATTCATGATGAAGGTAAATCCAGATAATCGCTTCATACGCAAACAATTTATATAGCGTTATTTTCATTTTTATTTCCTAACATTTCAAGGAATTTTTTTTCAAGATGTGACTTCCTGCATTGTTTCTTTATTTCTTTCAATATCTTGCTGCACTAAAGCTAGGTATATTTCAGTTTATAAACTATAGAAAGCTGTGTTCTTTTAAAGTGCTTGTGTTTGTATGTCATGTAGACACTGATGTCTTATGACATCTACTGATGTTCTACCCTATGGCTTCCAAAACTGTCGTATTTTCAGGTCATAACTTGTAAAATTTATTTTTGACCGGCTAGTGTACGGCTGAAGTAGACATCAAATTCAGAAAAAAATTAAGGTTTAAGCAATCATTTTTACTTGCTATTTTCCTTATCACAGACACACTTTTCCAGTCATAAAAGTGACAGGAGGAGAACTTACTATAAAAACAAGTCCTAATCAAATACCCCCTCATAGTTTTTTTGTCTCTGTTATCATCTTTACCTTTGTCAAGTCAACATCTGGTTTTAGAAAACATGTGCTTTAAAACAAAAGTATAGTTTCTTTTAAGTATGTTATTGCAATAATAAAGAGTAAAGCGCAAATGTAAATCCAGTGATGTTCCACACTTCAAACAATGCACTGTCAGTTTATAAAGAAATATCAACGTACGAACTAATGTCAAGTCATGGAATCCATATTAAAATTACTAAGAAATAATTTTCATGTCAGTAGTTGTTCTTGATTTTCAAATGATTCCCTTGATAGCCGATAGTTAAAAAGTCTGAAGAGATTTAAAAAGTGATTAAAAAAATAGGTGAGGCTGGCTAAATTTATTTTTGGAAGCCCTCGTTTTACCCTTACTTACTTTTTCAACACCTTTAAACATCTGTAGATCTTCTTTGAATGTTTCTGTCTTATTATCATCGATAAGTATAAGATACTCTGCATCTTTAGCTCTCGCTAAACCCTGTAAAAGACAAGAACCACTCTTGCATATACATTGTATGTATAGTGCATTGATATTCATGAGTCAGAGTAAAGTAAATATTTTTACTATCATAACATATCATAACATTGTTTTTTTTTAACATAAAATCATGTCATGCATGTAGAGCATTATAAATCATGCTAATGTACTTTTCTTTCCTATTTAGAACAAGTAAAACTGCGAGCTACTGCTCACTGATGATACCCCCGCCGAAATATTTCGGTAAACAGGAAGTTGTTGAGTGATGAATCTGAAATCCCATCACACAGTATAGCTGACTTATATAAACCCTGAAACCAAATTTCAGAAATCCTTGTATTGTAGTTCCTGAGAAAAATTGACAAAAGTTTTCAACTTGGCTATCATGTGTAAAATGATACAAGTGTTCGGTAAACAGGAAGTTGTTGAGTGATGAATCTGAAAACGCATCACACGGTATAACTTACTTATATAAACCCTGAAACCAAATTTCAGAAATCCTTGTATTGTAGTTCCTGAGAACAATGTGACGAAAGTTTTCAACTTGGCTATCATGTGTAATATGATACAAGTGTTCGGTAAACAGGAAGTTGTTTAGTGACGAATCCGAAACCGCATCACACAGTATAACTTACTTATATAAACCCTGAAACCAAATTTCAGAAATCTTTGTATTGTAGTTCCTGAGAAAAATGTGACGAAAATATTCATGGGACAGACGGACTGACGGACGAACTGACGGATGGACAGACAGAGGTAAAACAGTATACACCCACTTTTTTAAAGCGGGGGTATAATTACAATGAAACAGTGAAGCTGTATTAACACTTTACCTTACATCTATTGTAATGAAACAGTGAAGCTGTATTAACACTTTACCTTAGATCTACTGTAACGAAACAGTGAAGCTGTATTAACACTTTACCTTAGATCTACTGTAATGTAAAAGTGAAGCTGTATTAACACTTTACCTCCGATCTACTGTAACAAAACAGTGAAGCTGTATTAACACTTTACCTTAGATCTACTGTAATGTAAAAGTGAAGCTTTATTAACACTTTACCTCAGATCAACTGTAGTGAAACAATGAAGCTGTATTAACACTTTACCTTAGATCTACTGTATGACCTGTAATCTTTAGGTGGATCAAATTTCATAATCATATTACATCTTGGAACATCAATTCCGTCTTCCAAGAAACTTGTTGCTATTAACAAATTAAGCTCCTGAAGTCTGAATTTCCTTAAAATATCCTCTTGTTTTTTATTGATATCCTTTTTAAGAGTTTTCTTTTTCTGGCCTGTAATTTGATGGCATTTGACAAAACATAAACTGTCATCCCATGAACAAACTTCCTCCATCATCTTGTTCAGTGCTATTGCTACAAATCTATGATCCACAAAGACAATACCACACAGATATTTCTCTGCATCAACAGAAAATGGATCTGATGCCTTTTTGGTACTATCCTCTGATCCTTCCTTTTTAATTGCTACATGAATTACATTGGATCTTTTATTATCATCTTCATTCTCAGAATCATCGAATTCAGAATCATCAGACATGTCAGATTCATTATCTCCCATCATTCCATCCATATCCTCGCTGCTTATTATCATAAAGTCGTAGTCTGGCTTATAATTCTTCAAATGGTTCACAAGCTCTCGTACTTTTGGAGATGCATATAAAAGCAACGCATCAACATTATAATCTGGAGTAAAGTTATTTTCAAATACAGTGTTAAGCATTCTTAACTGTGTTGAACTAAATCTTAAAAACTTTTTAGCTAATATTTCCGTTTCTTGTTTTTCCATTTTTTCAAGTTGAGTAAGAAACATCTGTGCTATACTAGCAGCACACCAAGGACCAAGTTTATACAAAATATTAAGACATTCACATACGACAGTTTTTGAGATTTGACATGGATCATTGCTTACTTTATTTTCATTTTCTTCATCTTCTTTAATTTTGAAATCTTCCAGAAATTCCAGAGCATCAAGTAGTATATTTTCAAGCTGATCCACTAAACCAGTTGTATCTTCATACTTTTCACATGTGATAATTTGTTCTTTTGGCCATATTCCATATCTCTGGGACATAATCAGAGTTGAGGTTTCTGCAACAGCATCTAGTTTTGTTTCCAGTGTTGATATTGTTGATTCTAGATCAGCTGGATTTTGACAGCGTGTGGCTGTCACTGATGATGTTAGTCCTAGAATTCTTGGTTTACATTCCAATGAGGTGTCATTCATCTTTTGTAAAATTTGAGCATAAACAGGATCTTTATTAACGACATGACAGTCTTCAAAAATTAATACATTAACTTCTGATGGATGTAAAATGTCTTCTTGCAAAACATAATTCAAAACATGTGATGACAGAAATAGGATATGATTCGATTTTATGAGATCTTGCCATTTTTCTGTTGTCATGGTTTCTATGCTATCTTTATTCAAATGCTGACTGACCTGAAGGTCTGTATGGTGCTGTATTATTTGAACCTGCTGATCAACAAATGTTTCTACAATGAATTTAAAATCTATAAAGAATGAGGTCACATACAACATAAATGTTTCATTTCTCAGAGGTGTGAAAAAGTAGATGAGAGGTATGTAAGTTTGTTGTACCTGTAAAGGTCCCTTATTTTCAACCCTTATTACAAACATTTGACTAGAGCATTTAAAGAAGTATCAAACTAAGGCCAAAATCTAAAAAATCTTCACAGGTTCATTTTACAACCAGAGTAAAATAATGAATGGTCCTATTTGGTCCTGAAGCTCTTTTTTTCAACATTTTAACCACTATGGAAATAGGTGTATTGAACTGGAAAAAATGTTTTAAATAATTCTGTAAACTGCATCATAGGGAGGGCAGCTCATCCACATGTCTGATACCAAATATATAGAGGTTCACAAGTGTTAACAAAAAATTATAGGAAGACAGAGGTATCCCAGTTTGTTTTTACTTTAAGAGAGTTTATCTTCTAGATAAATTTAATAGGTTTCTATTATAATTTGATAAAACTTTTACTTTTTCTACCCTGCATATGAAGTCCAATTTTTTTTTTTAGATTAGAAGCTTGTGAATGATATCCTGGTTTATTGCAAAATGAATGGATATACAGTTGGAATCCTGTTTTAAGCAGAATTCATCCCCAAGAATTATTTTGATAGTGTCTGAAGTATGTCATACATGAATATGTAAATTAGGTACCGGTACCAGGGCCTCTAAAATGATCGTATTTTCCGGGCATGACCGATAAATTATAAATATGACTTGTGTCAAACCTGAAAAGGACATTTAACGTGGGTTTGCCATTTTAACATATTGAATTCAGAAAAAATGATATGGTGAATAAGTACTATCAAAACAAACCCTACTTTAATATATACCTCTCATTACAATCAAGGTTAATTAGTTGTCAGACAGTTGAAATTTACCTGTTCAGGTGACAGGTAAACTTATATGTACCGGACATCGATTGGTCTATTTGAAGTTATTTTCATAAATTTGAGCGGTTTGACCTAATTAATTTAATCAAAAAGATTTAAATCATCATAAGTATGTTTATAAATATGATTTGATGAAAATTTTCAAAAGGTAGTTATAAAGGTTTTAAGCGAAAAAATCGCCAGGACCAGGTTGTTTGAACAAAGTACATGCATGCACATGTGCGCAGTTGTGAGATTTAATAATGCATTCGAATTCTTCAAAAATGCTAAAATTATCATGATACCTTTATCTAACGTTCATTTCAAGTATTTTCTTGAAGAAATAACATTGGAAAGAGCTACTCGATTGTGCTTTATAAACGTACACGGATTTTTCGTATCCTACTCTGGTCCCTGTTTTACCATTGTCAAGTCAATATTGGGTATAAGAAAATGTACCTTCAAAAGCGAAAGTAAAGATTTTGACAACGTAATTTTGCACAAATAAAGATTTTAAGGCAGATATTAGTACGCTAATGTTGCACACTTCGAATGATGCACTGTCAATTTAACACTTTACATCAGAACAATCGAATTTGTATCAAAAGTCAAGTTTAATATCGTTTATATGTCAATCATTCATTCAGGTATTTCACATCCAATTTTTTATGGAAATATTCTTTATAAAGCACAAAAATGTCAGTATTCACCTCTGAAGCTAACAAAACCTTTAAATAGACTTATTAAGAAGGGATATAGTTACGATACTGTTGTCAGGTCATTAAAGATTGCATATTTTGGCGTTAATATTGATTCACTTATAGGGTCTTTGCATCGGCACTAAACACAATTATTTAAAAACCAGTTGTTGGCATGACACGGGTTATGTTCTTCTCATATATATATGTTATGATTGATTGATTGTTGGTGTTTTAACGCCACTTTTAAGCGCCACTTTTGGGCTATTTCGTGGCGGCCTGTTTTTATTGGTGGAGGAAGCCGGAGTGCCCAGAGAAAACCACCGACCTTCGATAGGAAAACTGACAATCCTAGTCAATTAAGATTGGAGTCGAGTGCACCCGCACGAGCGGGGTTCGAACTCACAACCTCAGTGTTGACTGGCTAGTGATTACAGTAGTAGAACTACTTAGACCACTTGGCCACCGAGGACCCCCTATATGTTATGATGGTATGATACTAAACCCCTAACGGGAAGGATTGTGCCTGATATTCATATGATGAAGACATAATCTTTCAATCAGTTTAATTGAAGTCTGGAGCTGGCATGTCATTTAACTGCTAGTAGTCTGTTGTTATTTATGTATTATTGTCATTTTGTTTATTTTCTTTGGTTACATCTTCTGACATCAGACTCGGACTTCTCTTGAACTGAATTTTAATGTGCGTATTGTTATGCGTTTATTTTTCTACATTGGCTAGAGGTATAGGGGGAGGGTTGAGATCTCATAAACATGTTTAACCCGCCGCATTTTTGCGCCTGTCCCAAGTCAGGAGCCTCTAGCCTTTGTTAGTCTTGTATTATTTTTAATTTTAGTTTCTTGTGTACAATTTGGAATTTAGTATGGCGTTCATTATCACTGAACTAGTATATATATTTGTTTAGGGGCCAGCTGAAGGACGCCTCCGGGTGCGGGAATTTCTCGCTGCATTGAAGACCTGTTGGTGACCTTCTGCTGTTGTCTGTTCTTTGGTCGGGTTGTTGTCTCTTTGACACATTCCCCATTTCCATTCTCAATTTTATTGTTTAAATGATGCCCAACTGATAAGCATGATTGCCTTTTGAAATTTTGTAACGTAGTCTTAAGGGATCAAAATCGGGATAAGACAAAAAAAGTCAGGCTGGCACAAATATTTTTGGAAGCCCTGACCGGTACATGTATGTTCAGAAGTAGTAATGAAATTCCATCTGGAATGTTAATGTACAATAAATATTTACCATTATCAGTTAGGTACACACTTCTTTTGCCTCCTTCTTTCAAGGGTTTTCTGAGCTGGTAGGACGATTCACGAAGTACCATGACAGCCAGGAACATTTTACCAGAACTTGCTCCCAGACACACAATGGTATTCCTGTGTAATGCTGCATCAAGAAGTTCCACCTGGAAATATTGTATGGGTCATGTGTTATTTAAAGAATAATTTAAATGAGGAACTGGGAGAGGGTAAAAATACTAGATGTGAAGGCATGTTATTCCACTGCCTACCAATGTCTAGCCTGCTTTACTATTCATGATTTATTTAGTGTTGATAGTCCTTAAGATAAAGTTTTAATACAAGTATCACATGAACTTAATATTATCAATGATACATTAAAATGAGGTCAATGTCAGACAAACCAAGTTAGATAGATATGTACACCTTACAATCGTTACATACACCAAATATAGTTGACCTATTGCTAATAGTGTACAAGAAACAGACCAAACCATGAAAACTTAATATTGACCAATGAACCATGAAAATGAGGTCATGGTCATATGAACTCTGCCAGACAGACATGTACATCTTAAAATCATTCCATACATCAAAAATAGTTGACCTTATTGCTTATAGTACATGTATCTGAAAAACAGACTTAACCAGGAAAACTTAACATTGACCAATGAACCATGAACTGAGGTCAAGGTCAAATGAACCCAGCTAGACATGTACACCTTACAATCATTCCATACACTAAATATAGTTGACCTTTTGCTTATAGTATTAGAAAAGCAGATCAAAACACAATAAAATGAGGGCACAGCTTGATACGACCGCAGAGGTCGTACCCTGAACAGTTGGGACAAGTATGGACACAACATTCAAGCTTGATACAGCTCTGAATTTGGATTGTGTTTAAATATTTGACACATCATACCTCTTATGGTTCAATATCCATCTTATTAAATTGGTGGTAAAAACATTAAGGAATGACTAAGTGAAATGAAAAAAATATTAACACTGTTGTTTTGGTCAAGTAGGTTCAGGAGAAGATTTTTTGAGACAATTATAGGGATATGTGGGATTGAATGTTGGAGATAATGATATAAAACTTCCTCTTTAATTCTTCCACAACTTGAGATAATTGGGGGAGTAATCACAAAACAATCCATCTTGTATGGGAAAGGATTTGTATAGGCTTTGCATTTTGTCCAATCCCTTTGTTTAATTGTATGTTTGATATTTGAACAAGTATTTTGAATTGATTTGAAGTAAACACCAAATGATCACAGGTTTACATGCATGTTCCATGCTAGGTAACTTGTAAATTATGATGTTTTTCTAATACATACTTGATAGGTAGGTGGTGTAAAGGTATGTGTTGGTATATCTTCATTTCTAAGATGTCTGGGCAGTCTTTTTGAAGTGTCTGGTCCTATCCTAACCATCTACAAAAGATATACATGTATATATGTATATAAAAAGTTGTTTTACACCCATAACTAATTAGCTCCTATAAAATATGCTGCTATATATGCATTCAATTGTTTCATATCAATACCACTATTATGAATAGTAGGAAACTAAACCTAACAAAATGTTCAGGAGTATAAAATTATTAATGTTAGATATATCTGTTAGCTAGAAATTGTGTTTAAAAGCTTTCGAAACCTGCCATCTTTACAGATGTTTGTTTGTATAAAGACAATTTAAATGATTAAAACATCCTGATGAAAATCTAAAACATGGCGGCATGTTGTCAATGTATCATTTATTTAGTATAAGTATCAATTAAATTATTTAAGTGTTTAGGTAAATTAATATCTTGTTAGGTTCAAGAAATTTTGACATAGAGATATGATTGAAGCCATTTTGTTCTGACATGAAATCAGGTCAGAAAGTGCAAAAGAGTTCTAATCATTCTTATATGACTTTGCATTAAAAAAAATTGAAAATAATTAATATCATCATAAAAACGTTTAAAATGGAATAAAATGTGCAGTCATATGTTGGACTGACAGAGAGACAGACAGTTGTTGTGTTTACCATGTTTACTCTTTCAAAATCAAATGAATCTGAAAAATCAGAGTGGTCTCTCTTTTTCAGCAGAATCTGGGTCAGTTCGCCTTAAAACATGTTGGCCCTAATACCTGTTTGTCCTGGGTTCGTTCCACCTGATTCTTATTTTAATATATTATTTAAATGTTTGTTAAAGTGTGTGTTGAAAATTTCGTCGAAAATATTTATGTTGTGTTGCTGCTATCACATAATTATTTTCCTTTGATTTGCACTGAAGTGCACATCAATACAAGGTATTTGATATAAAACTACCAAATACCATGAATACCAAGCTATCTTGTTTTTTAGTTTGTTTCTTTTTTATAGTTTTTTTTCTCTTCTTTCATGTCTTTCTTTTCTTTTTACATGTTTTATCAAGTTATCTGTATGTATAAAGTTAATGGAAAAATGAATTGATTCCATAATCCACTTCCCTAAATAACAAGTTTGTCACTGAAATCACACACACTTGAGCTCAAAGGAGCCAAATAAATTCCTTTACAATTCTGACATTCTTTGTTTTTACTCTTCCCAATCTGACTAGTTTTTTTAAAAAATTCATAAGGGGTTAGGTGGAACCCTGTGTCCCGCCTGCGATTGCTGCTGTCAGTGTTAAAGTGTAATGTTGACTTAAAAAGTGAGTCCATTTATCAGTAAAATACAGAATTGAAAAAAAAACTTTTTCTTTAGATGCCATTTTTTGGTCTTGAAGATGAGCTTCTGTCCAAGTTTCATAACAATCTATGAAGGTTTACAAATTCATCATGTCAAAAAAATTTAATCCCAGACTGTTTGTAAATGTTACCTGTAAAAAACGAAGTCCATCTATCAGAAAAATACTAAAAATGAAAAAATATATTTTCAAAGGTTTGCTTTAGGCATTATCTCTTAATCATTAAAAAGCTTCTGCCAAAGTTTCATAACACTCTATGAAGGTTTGACCATGGAAGTAAAATGAAAAGGAATAGCAATGATTAATTAGAATGTATTAATGACCTGCAGAGCTCTGTACTAAAGTCATAGGATTTATTCAATTATTGTCTTAGCGGCAAGGCCCCTTTGGTTACTATCTGTGATACCGCGGTTGTAAAATGGCATCTGGAATTTCTTATCAGTCATATGATTTTATTGAGTCTGGCAATTATAGCGTACCTGTGGGAAATCCCTAGTTTATTAATAACAAGGTGGCTCTGTATCATATAAAACTTCTACCTTTAGAAAGAAATCGAATGGTGTAAAAAACTTGAAAAACGGACGAGAATTGTTTAAACTACAACAGATTAATATGATCAATGATGATAAGTTGTATTTATCTTTGCATATTTTTGGTTTTTACTGTTTGTTTTTAACTAATCTAAAAGTATTTTCCGCATAAAAGCGGATCTCCAGTAAAACAGGTAATAACGATGAAGCGATCAGGTTTCACATGATGTTTTAAAAAATAATGTGGACATATGTAGACATAAAATATTTTACTGTTGAAATGTTCCAAGTTTATCAAGATTTATAAAAGGATATTTACTTTCAAGTATTTTCGATTAATATATTTGTAATAAATGTCATTGATTACATTATTGAAACTGGACAATTTAAAACGGAATAAATAAAGTCGTAAAACATGTGAAATTTATATCTATTTTAGAAAATGTTTGATAACAATTGAATACTAGTATTAATTAACAAGTTACCACAAAAAGAAAAACAACCAAACAAAATGACCTTGAGCTATCTTTCTAACCACAAATTTATTTTATATGAATTAGTTTATGTATAACCTGAAGAACAGAAACCTTTAAAATTGTGAATATTTTAATTGACTAGTCATGCAAGTAAACACGAAAGACTTTATTTTTATTACTTCATAAGTATATCTGACAACAACCAGTCTGTTCCTATATTTCCGTGAACACGAAAATGACCGGAAAGTGCCAGTGATTTGATCAATCACATGCCAAGAATCAACAAGTATTCCATATCTTAAACCATATAAAGAGTAATTGGAAGATAGGCGGTAACACATATGAAACTTGGCCCATGGCAACACAGACTGCACGACTCAAAATCATGTCGCAAAAAATAAAATGCAAATACCGACCTACCTACCCCTATTTTTTTCTGATGAAACCAAAAACAGACCTAGGAACAGTGTATCTCCCCATCAATATATATGTTCCTGAACAGACATATATTTTTTTGGGGGCTAATATGTATATTTCTTTGATATTTAACATAAATAATTACTTCAGGCACATGATTAATTTTTTTAATAGGATGAACAGACGCTACAGACGAACGATTCCAGGGTGAACGGACCCGATACCTTTTCATCATATAACAAATTATAAAAAAAAATCAGAAACAACATAACATTAACAAGTGTTTGTGCACCATAATTATTTGACATGGTCATTAAATTTTAAAACAGTACTGCATGCATTGATCAAATATTGTATAAACATTGAAAATACATATTTTCTGATAAAGACCTTTATAAATGGATGAGAATGTGCCAACTATAGCATCGCAATCAGTAATTGCAGATGCTGACTATTTGAATGTTTTTACATTTGTTTCTTCATTCGCCGGAAGTTCTAACAAAATATAAGAGAGGTTTTAATTGGTCAGGTTACTGAAATACGCCAATGAAAATCCTTGGCTTATCATATTTATGAAAATTCTAACATCCAAAACCCGTTGACGAGATGGATACAAATAATCTTGTGCCTGAAGTAATTATTTATTTTTAGTAATTATTTAACCACAGGCCTGCTACTTTTCTAAATTATGATGGCTGTGCTTTTTAAGAACCAACAATTCATCTTTTGTTTGGGCCATTTCTTTTGTTTAAGGAGGTTGAACCTAATTTAAAAAAAAAAATGTTTCAAAAGGGAAATGAAAAAAAAATTTCCATTGAAACTATTGATAAAAAACAAATTAATTCAACACTGAGTTTCAATAAAAAAAATCTTATTCCTATATGATTTTGATTAAAGTATAAACAAATTTGTTCACAAGGAAACCAACCCTGCCCCTCTCAAAAGATCAATGGCTATTATTAGTGTCTTATGTGCCCTCTTTACTATTCCAAATGATTTTGACGTCTTTGAACCAAATTTTTTACTGTGAAGCCTTCTTATGTCATAGGAAGGCGTCACAGCAAAGAATTAAAATATCCTTTTGAGACATCATAATTATTTGGACTACCTAATAACATGTTTGCCCTGGGTCGATCCATTTGCCCATGCACCTACGTAAGAAAGTAAATTTTATTTAGAGTAACCACATATCTACAATCAAGAATCAACATGAGCTTCACAAAGTCCTTCCGCCCTTCATTTTTATTAGTAAATGTCATTTGAGTATATAAATTCATATGTGTTTATTTCAGGCCTATAAATTTATCCAAAAAAATCCCCAAAACATACAAAATATAGTTAGTCACTTCAATAGTAATAGTGACAATTATTCTTGATATGCAAGTTAAATCTTTTTTTTTTTTTTTTTATGTGCACAATGTACAATGTACATGATGTAGATGTGGCTGTTACAAACAATTAATTGATTTGATTTCAAAGAGATCAGAGTAATTAATTTGAAATTGACAGTTGTGTATCATTCATTAGCTAAACATGCTTAATTAATCAATTGTGATCGAAGCATTGAATTTGTAAACTGACATTTAGAGTTTCTGATAAAAATTTGAAAATACAATTGAATTCACACAATTTCATTTATTTCTTAGTTTTTTGTTACATTTTTCATGTGTTACCCTTATCAATAATTCATGTAGTTTTTGTACACAAAAAATAAAGACTTATATTGTTTTTAATTCTATTCTATATTCCACAGGCACCACCTACAATATATTACATTCCAGAATTTATTACTCCTGAAGAAGAACAAAGGTTAATGAACAGTGTGTATGCAGCTCCAAAACCAAAATGGACACAATTATCTAATCGAAGATTACAAAACTGGGGTAATTTCAGGAAAACTTTTGTTTTGAACCCCTCCTTTTTTTGTTGACTAAAGAAGCATAGATCATGTACATGGCAAAAGTTCAAAAGCAAGGCTTGGCTAAATATAATACCACTCAAGTTTGATACTGTTTACCTCACCTGGTCTAAATGTTAGCTATTGACATCACTCTGCATCATTTCCAAGACATTAAAGTCATATGATACTTCAAATTTAACCAAAAAGTTGAAAATGTTTTATATACTTAGAAGATTTTTTTGCTATAAGACATGTATACATAGACTTTTATTTGAAAGAAAATCCTTTTTTTATCCAATTCTTTAAAATAAAAATGTACTACTATTAGTTTATTGCCTCCCAGTACCCTAATTTGCCAACAGATTTTCTGTATACAGTCACCTTAACTTTGGCAACCGCACAGTGCAATGCAAGGGAAAAACTTACTGATTTGAGGGTCTTTGGATGATACAGGAAATTCTGTGCTAAAAGAATGTATACTCCGTTTCAGGAGGGTTACCACATCCCAAAGGTATGGTAGCTGAGGATATACCACAGGTAAGCCATAATTAGTTTGTGCCATTACTATAATTCTTTAATTAATTACAGCACCAGACAATCTTTCATGGTGGTTCATGTCTACACATACTGTATCATAGTTTTTAATTCCTCAGCTATCTGAAGATACATTTTTGATTAATTTTACACAGTTGTATGTACAATATTAAAGCAGAGCTTAGTAAGTACTGAATACTCAACTAGTTGTAGCTGAAGGACTAACCATCCCTAGAAGATATATTGATCCTACTGTAGCAATAATATAGACAACAAAACCATTTTTATAATGATACAATCACATGTGATCAAAATGTTTAATTTTTTGTCGAGCCTGCGACTTTGTCGCAGAAAGCTAGACAAAGGGATAGTGATCCGGCAGCGGCCACGGCGTTAACTAACTTCTTAAAAGCTTTATATTTAAGAAGGTGGAAGACTTGGATGCTTCATACTTTGTATATAGATGCCTTATGTTACGAAGTTTCCGTCTGTCACATGTCCATTGTCCTTGACCTCATTTTCATGGTTCAGTGACTACTTGAAAAAAAAGTTAAGATTTTTTGTAATGTTAATTTCTCTCTTATTATGAGTAATAGGATAACTATGGTATGTGCGTACCTTGCAAGGTCCTCATGCCCGTCAGACAGTTTTCACTTGACCTCGACCTCATTTCATGGATCAGTGAACAAGGTTAAGTTTTGGTGGTCAAATCCATATCTTGGATACTATAAGCAATAGGTCTAGTATATTTGGTGTATGGAAGGATTGTAAGGTGTACATGTCCAACTGGCAGGTGTCATCTGACCTTGACCTCATTTTCATGGTTCAGTGGTCAAAGTTAAGTTTTTGAGTTTTGGTCTTTTTTTCTAATACTATATGCAATAGGTCAACTATATTTGGTGTATGGAAATATTTTATGATGCACATGTCAGTCTCGCAGGTTTTTTTGACCTTGACCTCATTTTCACGGTTCATTACTCAGTGTTTAGTTTTTGTGTTTTGATGTTGGTCTGTTTTTCTTAAACTACAAGTAATAGGTCAACTATATTTGTTGTATGGAAGGATTGTAAGCTGAACATGTCTGCCTGTCATGGTTCATCTGACCTTGAACTCATTTTCATGGTTCATTGGTCAATGTTTAGTTTTCTTGGTTAAGTCTGTTTCTTAGAAACAATAAGCAATAGGTCAACTATATTTAGTGTATTGAATGATTGTAAGGTGTAGATGAATTTCTCGTTTGGTTTATATGACCTTGACCTCATTTTCTTGGATCATGTTAAGTTTATGTGATAGTTGTAGTAAAGCTTTATATTTAGGACTATCAACATAATATCAATGGTTAGTAAAGAAGGTGAGACATTTCAGCATGTGCACTCTTGTCTTTATTCTAGGCACAGTTCATGTTTGATTTGCAAAGATTCAAAATTTCCTTAGATGACATGTTTACCCCATTATATTTGATTTGATTCTCATTTTCCACAAAACCCTTTTGGTTAAAAGAGGTAACTCAGGTTTAACATGAGTTTTAATGTCCAATTTATAAAAAATATTTGATATTTTTTTAAGTGGTTAAAAACTTATATAGACAAGATTGGTAGAATTGGAATATTTGGAGACTGTTTACCAAACCATGTACTTGTGAATGAATATGAAGCAGGACAAGGAATCATGGTCAGTAATCTCAGTATTATTCAATATTTATGTGAAATGTTATCATGGTTATGCTTTGTATTTATAAATCTACAATCATGGAACTTTGAAGTTGTGAAAACATTTTTTACATGAGTAGGACAATATTAATCTTTGCTATTTCATAAAGCTTAATGCAAAAGTTAGTTTTTGTTAGACTGCCAAAATTTGCAGCCGTATAATCAATGTCGTCGATGTCCGAAGAAATTTGGTTTCCAGACAATAACTTGAGTATAAGTCTATCAATCTCTATGAAATTGTACCACAAGGTTCCATACTACAAAAGGAAGGTTGGGAATGATTTTGTGGGTTATTGTCTTAACTGTTTAGGAATTATTTGCCAAAAACAATACTTTTCTAATACTTTGTATAAACTGTTTATTTCTTGACCTATTTTAATGGGGTTTTATTCAAAGTATTGACTTCTTGGGGTTCTTTGATATGCTGAATGCAACTGTGTATTTAGATTTTAGATTTTGGATTTTGGGCCCCATTATTAAATTGGTCCTAATTGAGGTTGAAAGGGTCCAAAATTAAACTTTTTTGATTTCATCAAAAATTAAATTATTGGGGTTCAAAGGATCCAATATTAATTATTTCTTGACCAATTTCAAGTGGGTTTAATTCAAAGTCTTGAAATCTTGGGGTTCTTTAATATGCTGAATTCAACCATGTATTTAGATTTTGGATTTTGAGCCCTGTTTTTAAATTGGTCCATTGGGTCCAAAATTAAACTTTGTTTGATTTAAACAAAAAATGAATTCTTGGGGTTCTTTGATATGCTTAATCTAACCGTGTATTTATATTTTGGAATTGGGGCCCAGTTTTTAAATTGGTCAACATTAATGTCTAACAGGTCCAAAATTAAACTTTAGTTTGATTTTAACAAAAATTAACTTTGTGGGGATCTTTAATATGCTGAATCTAACATTATTTAGATTTTTGATTTTGGGCCCAGTTTTCAAGTTGGTCCAAATCGGGTTCCAAAATTAAACTTTGTTTGTTTTCAACAAAGATTGAATATATGGGGTTCTTTGATATACTGAATCTAACCATGTATTTATATTTTGGGCCCGTTATAAAATTGGTCCACATTGATGTCAAAAGGGTTCAAAATTAATCTTTGTTTGATTTCATCAAAAATTGAATTCCTGGGGTTATTTTATACTGGTATGTTGAATCTAACCATGTATTTAGATTTTGGATATTGGACCATAATAGGTAAATGTTCAATTTCAAATTTTTAAGTTCTTAGACCTCATTTATTCTGTGTCAGAAGCCTTTGGTGTGTCAAATATTTAATCACAATCCAAATTCAGAACTGTATCAAGCTTGAATGTTTTGTCCATACTTGCCCCAACTGTTCAGGGTTCAACCTTTGCGGTCACATCAAGCTGCGCCCTGTGGAGCATTTAATTTACTATTGTCTTATGCATTCTTGTCTACAAGATTGAATCACAAATTTCAGAGAAGTTAAGTCAATTTTAAGTTATTCATAACATCATTCAGCAAGTCACATTTATATGTTTCAAAGAGATTTTATTGAACAGATCTTAAAACAGTGAGAAAAACAAATTCTGTTGTTGTGTATTATTTTCAATATTTTTATAATAACTAAACTTGGTTTTTAAGAATCTAAATATTTGGAGGAGAAAAAACCTGTTGTAAAAGATACAAAGAATGAAATACAAAAATTTTTTTAATGCAATTTTTTTATTTCTGGACATTTTCTTCAAAAATGAAAATATCCACAACATATAGATGTAAATGAATCCTTAATCTGTTTTAATTATTATCCCTTAGGAAAAAAGAAATATTGAATGGATTTATTTTTCTGAATTACTTATTGTTTCTTTATGCAACAAATGTTTTTCAGTTACTTTTAGTTATATGCCAATAAAAGTAAGTCTGTAAAATGATTGTAAACTGAATTTTTCATGCTTAATGTGAGTTTCTAAATTACTTCCAAATATGAAATAGGTCAACTACATTAAGTCTAGAATAGTTATAAGGTGACTACTTGTAAGTCTGATAGGGGTCACTTTATCTTAATCTCATTTACATGGTTCCAAAGAAGAGGAGCTTGTTATGTATCTAACAAACACCACTCAATTGTGCTCCAACACCTAAAATTGACATCACTAGAACAAAAAAGAAAAGAAACGAGACTCACCATGCTCTACAAAATAGAGATCAACAAAATGACCATATCTAAGGAAGGTTTTCTAATACCACCAAAACGACTGTCGAGAAATATGCACGACAAATGCTTCCAGTTACCATCGGCATCATGTGATTATCGCAAACACTCATTCTTCCCAAGAACCAACCAAATTGGAATGCTCTTCCTCCTGGGGTTTTAAAGTCTTGATTACAAAGCTGAATTCAATTCAAATATTTTGGGGGGAGGGGGTGTTTCAGTATGTGCACCAAATCCATGGCAGTATAATCAATTTGTTGATTGTGGCAATTATCTGGCAGAAGCATGAACAGAAGTGACCAATGTTTAAATTTTGTGCTAAGGTTTAAATATATATATAGATTCTCAGTGACATTGAATATAAGGAAAACTAAATTTGGTGTAAAGAATCAAAGTGTATAGTTTATATATTCATCTGACAGTGACCACCTGACTTAGATAATGTTTTCATGGTTTATTAAGTTTCGTTGATACATGTAGTAAACTGTTTATCTCAAAAACTGTCAACTTATGTTTCCTTCAATCATAATAAAAATTTGGTATGATTGTCAACAAGACATTACTATCCACCAGGGACCAAAAGGACAAGGATGTTAACAACTATTAGGCACTGACTATGGCCTTCAACAATGAGCAAAACCCATACCCTACAGTAAGCTATAAAAAAAACCTGGCATGATATGTAAAACAATTTAAAAGAGAAAAACCAACAGACTTATTTATGATAAAAGCAATAGACGAAAAACAAATATGGCAGATAGCAACCAACGACAACCACTTAATTACAGGTTCCTGACTTCAGAGAGACACAAAAATGTGGCAAGGTCAAACATCTTTACCAGCACACACACATCCACTAACATGCATGTTTAATGGTGTTAGATTATACAAAAGTAAGTGTAACAGTCTAATACCCAAACTAAGGGTAAGTTTTACATCCAAGTTATATTCTCTATACCTAAGCGTCCCACAATCATACAGCTTGTTGTAAAATTGCATTACGGGGATTATACATAGCCTCCATTCAAAAATGGATCATTCTTACCTACATTTCATGCATAATTGACTTAGAATAATTCTAATCCGACTATTTGGAAACTAAATGACCTTCTGTCTAATAAAAGTGTAAATACACAAAATAGCCTGATTGCTTCCAACAAAAGAAGATTATCTGTCATAAATTTCTAGGTTCACTTACTGCAGTTTAGTTCTAAATATTTATTATCATTCATACATGTATACTGTTTGAATGAAATCTTCTTAGTATTTGTATCCATTTGCTCATCATTATGAGCTTATTTCTACCAGATGAAGTCATAATGACCTCAAATCACAATTTTAATGATTACATTGAGTTTATGGAATTTTTTTTGTCATTACAGATTACCTATGGTTTAACAGTTTTTAATTTCTTAAATTATGCAAATTACCAAACAATGGGATAACCAGATTAATTACATTTAGATTCTTTCATGTAAATATGAGCTTATATCCATGTTGACTTGCCACATCATATTTTTTTAGCCACATGAAGATGGACCATTATTTTATCCTGTAGTTTCCACAATCAGTTTAGGATCTCACACTTTTTTGGATTTCTACAGACCAATATCTGAGGATACTCAAGTATGATTATGTTTATTTGTACAACTGTCAAATAAAGAACAGCAAATAAAAGCACCTAATTCAGTATAAGGATTCTTGTATGTAGATGACCTTTCATATATTTTGGTGCAGTGTGATCCATTCTACTTACAAGCTTGTTTAATGCTTTTATTGTTTTTACAGATACATTAGTCTTTTGTTAAAAATTCAAAACAATATACTTATATATCAGGGCACATTAATTGTTCTGAGTATACATCCTTTCTTGAGAAATCTTATTTAATTGATTTGGGCCAATTACCTAGCTAATTTTGTATAGTGTATGGGGATGATATTCACATGATTAAGTTCAATAAAGTAAAGTAGTATAGACATTAGTTTAGCTTTGTTTGTCTGTTTTTGTTTGTTTTATACAGTACAAATTTATGCAGTGTTATTGTGTTATGGAAGTATTGTTGTGTTCATCAGTGGCATTATCAATCTGTCGACAACGTTTTGTTTCACAATAACCTTTCTATGATTAACCAATCCTTATGAAATTTAACAATGTTTCTTTGCACAAAACAAAGGCTAAGAGAACCCTGAATTTCTGACAACAAACTAAAAATACATTCAAGAATGACAGTTCTTTCACAACAAAGCATAGACAGTCTTTTCTCCACAGACTAACAATGAGTATATAATGTATAATAAGATCCTATCAACAAAATGTTTTCATTGCAAAAAGCCTTTAAGGGATGTTTAGCAGATTGATAAATCACATTGGCAAGTCAGTTATATTATTTTTTACTTCAGGATTCAACATCATTTCAAGACAGGTACTTAACATCAGTCTTACTACAGCCAAGAAGTTTAATATTAGTATGTGATGATATGTATAAAACATATTTACATGGAATAGAAGAAAGGAATAGTGACGATGTGACAGACAAAGTGGTTAATTTGAGTCAATGTGAAGGAATAAGAATTGGAGAAACACTTTCTCGGAAAACCAGAATCTCTCTTACAATAAGACATGTACCCAAAACAATAAAAAACAAGCTTATATTTGGAAAAAGATGATATTCAACAAAATTGTTATTTATTGTTTGTTATGCAAGTGGCAATATCAAATCTATTTTAAGATAGTTAGAAATAAAAGAATTTATTTCAGTGAATTTAATATCCCATGTTTAAAACATGTTATTGTTCCATGAATGTAATTGTGCATGCCTGTTACATGCATAATTCCCTTACACTTAGATTGATTTTATGATAATTTTAGAGTCCTTTGTTAAAACTAAAACACTTATAAGATGCAAAACATATCATAAGTTTAGAGCTATTTTCCTAATATTTGTAGCTTAAAGGTTTGGTTGGTTTGCTTGCTTTGTTTGTATAAATGTTTGCTCAAGCATTGTAATTAAGATTGACATCTGCAATCAATAGATAGGCGGGGCTCCAGCATGTGTACCTTAAACTCAACAATGAAAGTGAACAGGCCTGTTTTGTGTTGTGCTTATACCACTCACAGATTTAATAAATCAATATGGATTTCTGTCCTTAAGGAAGCCTAGTTTTTTTTAAAGAAAACACATGTTTGTATAAAAGTTTGTTTAATTATAAATAACATGTACATTTAGAACCATTTTATATTATATAATAAACTGCTAAATTTGATAAGTAAAATAATTGGCAGGTTTTATTGTAAACAGTAATTCGTTGACTGAAAAGCAGATAGTAAGAATGTATACATACATTCATAAGTATATACAGTTTTTATTTGTTACTTACATAAAACACACTAGTATAGATGAAATAACTAATGTGAAAAAAATTGCAGGATGCATTTAAACAGCTTGCTAGTAAAATTGAACAAGTGGAGATAGATGTTTCTTTGTGATTTCAAAAAATTATTTTGATAACATTTGATAATGAGCTGAAGCAAATAATTTTCAGAAATACTGGTGTGTTGTTCTCCATAAAACCTGTTCTTTAAATGAACAAAGTTTCATATTATTGCCAAATTGGTAAAGTTCCATGACAAAAAATGATTAAAAAATGGTATACTTAACTTTCCTACAAAAGAAAGAGATCAGCGTTAAGCAGATGAGTATTTTATGATCAAATCCAAAATAAACTTAAGAAATTACTAACACTCATGAACAAATTGCATTTAAAAAAAAATAAACATAATTTCTCTTTAAAGCCAGAAGGATTAGGCTCTGAGTTACAACTAGTTTGATTTAAGTACAGTACAATTAAACAAACACAGAAATAGACATAAGTTAGATATAATTATAGATACTGGTACTAGACTTTTTTCCTATATATTAATATAATCTAGAAAATAAAATATTTTCAATAATACAAGACCTACATAAATGGCTATATGACCAAAAACTATAATCTTAAAAACTAAAAAATATCGATAGAATTTAGCTACAAAACGCCAATTTTGGATCAATCTAAATAGGATTTATTGCCATTAAATGATGATTTATTTTTCAATTACATTCCATTTATTGCCTTTTATCTTAAAAACTATTATAGATAAGTAGAAACTGTAGACAGGAAAAATGATCAGCAATATAAGATCTACAAAAATGCTAGTATGATCAAAACCATAGGATGACACATTTATAACAGTTATTGTCCCTTTAATGATAATTTTTGACTAATTTCTTTAATTTTGTCTATTATCTTGAAAAAACAATAATAGTTAGGTAAGAAACTGTAAACAGTAAAAATGATCAACAAAACAAGATATATTTTAGATGGGTGAGCGATACAGAGTGTTAGGAGCCTCTTGTTTGTATTTTTTGTCAACATATGGCAGTTCTGCCAACTTTTAATAATGCAAATGCGTGAGATTTGGCCATGATCGTAAAGATCAAAGAGAAAAAACAATAGATCAAAGGAAAATGCCGCCAAATAAGCATGAAAATGCGTGAGTCTCATGCTAAATGCGTGAGACTTGGCAGCCCTGATATGGTCTAGTTTGGTTTTGGCGCAACAAACTAGTTTAACCCTGCCACATTCTGTATGTGCCTGTTCCAAGTCAGAAGCCTGTAATTCAGTGACTGTCGTTTGTTGCTGTATATATCATATTTGTTTTGTGTTCATTGTTTTGTGGATAAATCAAGCCGTTAGTTTTCTGGTTTGAATTGTTTTACATTTTTCATTCCAGGGCCTTTTATAGCTGACTATGCGGTATGTGTTTTGTTCATTGTTGAAGGCTGTACAGTGACCTATAGTTGTCATTTGATCTCTGGTGAGGAATTGTCTCATTGGCAATCATACCACATCTCCTTACTCTTATAGATAGGAAAAGGGTGAGGTTTGTGTGCATGTAAAACTGGTTTAACCCCACAACATTTTGTGTCTGAACCAAGTCTGGAGCACATGTTTTGTTTTTTTTTGGTCTTTGTATGTGTATTTTCGGAGGAGTCAATGTTAGGGCTTGTTGTGTTCTGTAGAACTGTCTCATATTTGAGATGATTCCTGTTATCCTGTTTATGTATAAGTAGCAGCTAACTTGTCTTTAAATGACAATTTCTATAAGGACAGGAAAAAAATAAGCAAGTTTAAAGATTTGTGCAACAATACTGATAAAGAAATAAGATTAAATAATTACGTATTGAAAGACAAATTTTTCAGCTTACAGTTATAGTTTTACTTATACTTCTTTAAGAAACAGATTGGAAAACAGTAAAAACATATAGAACAGCTAATAAAATATACTAGTATATCACACATTTTATTTCTACTGATTACTTCAAAATGTGAAATGACCAATATTACAGTACAACATATGTAAGAACAACCTACAAAATCATACAAAAAAGAAGAATTTCATAAATTGTATAAAGTAAAAACAATACCTTTTATCAATCGCTTTAAGTAACATTTGTACAGTAACTACAGTTACTGTATTAAAACACTGATCTAATTAAACAAAATGATTGCAATTAAAATTGGAATATATATTTTATTGAAATTTTGCCTCAAAAATCACATTAATGTTGGACAATTTTCTTGCAATTGGTCAACCCAATTTAATTTTAAGAAGAGCCTTTACAAAAAACATCAGATATTGAAAAAAATGTTCAGGTTGAACTTTGGTAAATATAGACTTAAAGTCTCATGAAGAAAATTGTTTCTATAGTACAATATTATTAAGAGTTGAAATAATATAGCATGCAAATCAAGAGTTTAAATGCCTTGCTTGCAAACTTTGTTTGATTGTTTGCTCAGACATTGTAATTAAGATTGACACCTAAATTCAATGGGTAGGCGGAGTAACAGTCTGTTTACTATATAAAAAGATTTGATTTGACAATGGATATCATATTGTTTCCAGTCAGGCACTTAAAAGGTATACAGAAAAAAGAATCATCTTTCTACCCATAAAAATGCTACTTGCCCCCACCCCCCAAAAAATATAAACTGCTAGCGCCAAATACTTTTCAAAGTTTTGACTGGTTTCTGATTTCTCGCTGATTTTTGGATCGTAATGACGAAATAATATAGTTTCATTTCTCGCTAAAATATTTACAGAATTAGATCGTCATAAAAATTGAAATGGGAATTGGGAACCATTAATTTTTCTAGATGGAAACTTGTATATCAAATAATTAATAATGTGGCAGGAATATGGTTACTTTTCTTGTTGCATTATTGTCAAATTTTAATGCACTAAGCAAATAAGAGAATGAGTTTTAAAAATTATGTTACTATTTTTATTTTAAATACAATTATTGTAATTGTCAAGAGTGCCTTTATAATATTAATGGTCAGATTCCCTTTATTACTACTACTGCATTGACCCTTAGAGCATTGCGAGCCACTGATTTCTCAAACAGTTTTCAACAAAGTGATCTGAAGTTATTTTTTTCTTGTAGAATATATACAGTAGTTTAAAGTGCAAAATTTCATGTAATTAGCAGAGACATTTGTATTATATGTTTTTATACGACCGCAAAAATTAAAAATTTTTTGGTCGTATATTGGTATGACGTTGGCATCGTCGTCGTCCGGCGTCGTCGTCGTCGTCGTCGTCTGGCGTCGTCCGGCGTCGTCCGAAGACACATTGGTTTTCGCACTCTAACTTTAGTTTAAGTGAATGGATCTCCATGAAATTTTACCATAAGGTTCAATACCACGAAAGGAAGGTTGGGATTGATTTTGGGGGTTATGGTACCAACAGTTAAGGAATTAGGGGCCAAAAAGGGGCCAAAAATAAGCATTTTTGTAACTTCCAGACAATAACTTGTGTGTAAGTGTATGGATCTCTCTGACATTGTACCACAAGGTTCCATATCACAAAGGAAAGGCTGTAATTGATTTTGGGGGTAATTGCCTCAAAATTTTAGGAATTAGGGGCCAAAAAAGGGGCAAAAAACAAGCATTTTTCTAGTTTCATGACAATTACTTGTGTGTAAGTGTTTGGATATTTCTGAAATTGTACTACAAGGTTCCATATCACAAAGGGAAAGCTGGAATTGAGTTTGGGGGTAATTGCCCTAAACGTTTAGGAATTGGGGGCCAAAAAGGGGCCAAAAATAAGCATTTTTTCTAGTTTCCAGACAATAACTTGTGTTCAAGTGTATGGATCTCTCTGAAATTGTACTGCAAGGTACCATACCACAAAGGGAAGGCTGGGATTGAGTTTGGGGGTGATGAATCATAAGGGGGTTCAAAAAATTTGGGGGGGGATTTTTTTTTTTCTTTTTTTTTCTTTTTTTCCTTTTTTTTTTTCTTTTAAAATTTTCCATTTTAAGTTGGTTATTTCTGATTAATATTTAAAAGCAAATAATAATGATATGGTAGGAGATACACACCAAACAGGATGTGTAAATTATTATCTAATAAGTATTGTGCAATAGCAAGAAATTTTCAATTGCACAGTATTGCACAATAGCAAGAAATCTTCAATTGCACAGTATTGCGCAATAGCAAGAAATCTTCAATTGCACAGTATTGCGCAATAGCAAGAAATATCCAATAGCACAATATTGCGCAATAGCAAGAAATTGTCAATTGTACAGTATTGCGCAATAGCAAGATATATTCAATTGCACAGTATTGTGCAAAAGAAGATACTTCGTATAAATTGCTTATTTCTTGATCAATTTCAATGGGGTTTTATTCTTGAATTCTTGGGGTTCTTTAATATGCTGAATCTAACCGTGTATTAAGTTTTTGGATTTTGGGCCCCGTTTTTAAATTGGTCCACATTGAGGTCCAAAGGGTCCAAAATTTAACTTTGTTTGATTTCATCAAAAATTGAATTATTGGGGTTCTTTGATATGCTGAATCTAACCGTGTATTTAGATTCTTAATTTTTGGTTCCGTTTTCAAATTGGTCTACATTAAGGCCAAAGGGTCCAAAATTAAACTTAGTTTGATTTTAACAAAAATTGAATTTTTAGGGTTCTTTGATATGCTGAATCTAAACATGTATTTAGATTTTTGATTATGGGCCCAGTTTTCAAGTTGGTCCAAATCGGGGTCCAAAATTAAACTTTGTTTGATTTCAACAAAAATTGAATATATGGGGTTCTTTGATATGCTGAATCTAACCATGTATTTAGATTTTTGATTTTTGGGCCCCGTTATGAACTTCGCCACATTGAGGTCAAAAGGGTCCAAAATTAAACTTTGTTTGATTTCATCAAAAATTGAATTATTGGGGTTCTTTGATATGCCGAATCTAACCATGTATTTAGATTCTTAATTTTTGGTTCCGTTTTCAAATTGGTCTACATTGAGGTCCAAAGGGTCCAAAATTAAACTTAGTTTGATTTTAACAAAAATTGAATTTTTAGGGTTCTTTGATATGCTGAATCTAAACATGTATTTAGATTTTTGATTATGGGCCCAGTTTTCAAGTTGGTCCAAATCGGGGTCCAAAATTAAACTTTGTTTGATTTCATCAAAAATTGAATTCTTGGGGTTCTTTGATATGCTTAATCTAACCATGTATTTAGATTTTGGATATTGGACCATAATAGGTGAATGTCCAATTTAAAATTTTTAAGTTCTTAGACCACATTCATTCTGTGTCAGAAACCTATGCTGTGTCAAATATTTAATCACAATCCAAATTCAGAGCTGTATCAAGCTTGAATGTTGTGTCCATACTTGCCCCAACTGTTCAGGGTTCGACCTCTGCGGTCGTATCAAGCTGCGCCCTGCGGAGCATTTTATTGGAATTAGTAACGAGAAATAATATTTCATGTCAACATTATAGTTTGAATTAAAATATGACATTAAAACTGCTCATGCTTTACATTTTTAATCCATTTCAAAATTGGTTAACTTTACCTTTCCTGTACCCCCTTTAGCCCATGCTCCTTTTTATCGTTCAAGTGCCTAACTGGAAAAACCTTTGTATATAGTAAACAGACTGTTACTCCACCTACTCATTGAATTTAGGTGTCAATCTTAATTACATAGTCTGAGCAAACAACCAAACAAAGTTTGCAAGCAAGGCATTTAAACTCTTGATTTGCATGCTATATTATTTCAACTCTAATTTAAATACCCAGGTAAATTTAGATTAACATGACCTGTCTCAAGAAAATTTGCACTTTAATGAATTCGGATGTAGCATTAAGAATAAACCCTCACATCATAACAAAATTTGTTAAAATATTTTGTTATATATGTATAGATTGACATGATTCATTTTACATCATAATCATACTGATGAAGGATATCTGTTATCTGAAATATTTATAAATACTTACATTTATTGTTTCCTTTTTTTAATATTGGTGTTGTTTTGTACACTTTTAAGGCGTTTATAGAATTTATTAATTGTGTACATGTATCGTTACTCGTATCGATCCAGCGCCGTCGTAAGAAAGATCATTGACTTATATCTAGATGTTTTATATATATATATATATTAACAAGTCTAAATGGATATATATTGTCTGGAAATTTTTCCTATTTTTTTTTAAATTTTCATTTGAGTGAACGTGTTTGTGACAGTGAATATTTAAAATGATTGAAATCACCAGCGGACTGGTAAAAAAAATAATCTGGCTATATGAAATAAACAAAAATGTGAATGATTATGTGAAAAATAAATTTCTAACATTGCACCATCGCCATCAATATGCTTGATATGAAAGACATTTAATTTATATTAAGTACATTATAAATAAGACCTTAAAAAAATTGGAAATACATGGCACCAAATTACTACTTTTACTAATAAACTCCATGTGTTTGTGATGAAGTGAATGACTTTCTTGTCCTATTTTAAAATATGTAAACATTTTAAATAATGTGACGAAAGTTTATGTGGAAATTATTTTTTGGCGAGATTTAAATTTGCTTTATTTATGAGCCTATCCTATATAATAAGATTAAGAACATACGTAAATCTATGATAATATTAAAAAATTTACGCTAAAGATAATTCAAACATTTTTATGGATTTATACATGATGTGATGTATTGTTGGATCCAAAATAAAAGGGTATGGGGTTGTTCTGATGGCAAGAGCCCACATACTTTTCATGGGATTTTTTTAAATCACATGATACAAGTTGAAGAAAATTAGGTTGGAGCCAGCCCTTTTCCAGATGTACCCTAAATCTGGAACATATCATTTGTTAGTAACCCATTTTTCATTGAATATTTTTAATCCTAGAAATTGTCTATAATTTAAGCATTATTAACAGTAGCTATTGCTTTTCTTTTCAGTTTTATTTTTGTTTGGCGGGAAGAGGAAAAGGGTATTGGAAAAGCCCTATAACTTTCTTGTGATGAATGCCATTGCAAAACGTGTGCCTTTTTGATTTTAGCCCTTGGGAAGCTTGCTTTTAATGCATTTTTAGATTATTTGATAAGATGCACTTCATTTATTTATCTTTTGCCAAATATGGTCTAATTTTCATTTCCACTGAACGTAATGAATAATTGGATCCTGTCCACGGCTTCCATGTTATACCATCAAACATTTTTGGTGGGATTTGTCCATTTCTATAATAGAGACCATTCAAATTTGACATATAACATTTGTAATACCACCATGCTCCACTAAATCGGTTGGCACAACTACCCCCAAATTCTTTCACTACTTTGTCATTGTCCACATCCTTGGTAGAGAATTTATGACCATTATGTTTGGCCATTCCATCCCCAGCATCTCCAGTATACCCACTTATTGTCAGTTTATATCCTTCTTGTTCGTCATCAACCCTGAATACATCATACTCAGCAAACTTTTTTGTTTTCTCCCAATTTGTTAGTTCTATCCTTAGTTTGTAATTGTCCTGGTTTGTGAGGTAGTGAATATAGTCATTGCCTAACCAGTGCTCTCCATACAATCCTTAAAAATTTCAAACTATATTAAAATACAATCCTATGAAATTACTATACTCTGCAGTAATTAAAGATACAAGTACTTGAATAGCCCATATTTTAAAGAACAAGAAGGTGATTTTCTTAGGGGATAATTTCTTATTCATTTCATAAAAAGGTGTGTATGTAATCTTTATTGTTATGTTCCTTTTTGAAAGGACACATATTTTTATTTATTTTGTGTTCGAATATACAAGTTATTCTTAAAAAAATGTACCTGCTTTCCATCACTTATCAAAACCTGATTGTATATGTATGTCAATTTTTTTCAAAAAATAATAGACTTAGTAGAATATCTGAACAATGTCAATTGTAAAAGTCTCCCCTTTAAACAATTTATCATATTTATATAATGTATCCCATAGAACAAAACAATGTATATAAGACATAACACTGTAGCACCAACAGTTTGTATTCTGTGACATATATATATTAGGAAACATTTTTTTTATTAATTTATTTTGAACGCCACCCTAGTTTCTGTAGATACCATGTGATACACAAAGTCTAGCAGAGACAATTTGTGTGACACAAAAGATCTGTATAATTTTATATTTAGTTAAGAGTTTGTAATGTACATGCTATTCATTTGACTTATAAAAATAAAAGAAAGTAAATGAATGCTTATTTATATAAGAAGAATAAGCTGGGTAAGGGCGTATTTAGAAAAATTATTGTTTGACTTAATTAATGATTATCTCTCTGTTGGGCCTAACCAATAAAGGGCTTTACCAAACTAACTCTTACCCTTAACCTAACCATATATCTAACTAGTAAACCTAACATTAACCTTAAACAAACCCTAACCTAACAATAACCATAAATGAACCCTATCCCTAACGTACTGGGACCAGTAAAGTAAAAGAAGGTTCATAATAGAATGATTATTAAGAATATTTATTTTTCCAATCAAGGACCATTGATGAGCAACTTGACTGATATAACAGACGAGTATGATTAAATAACACTTTAAACACAATGCAACTATTAACACTTCATTAATGACATAGTTTGGAATAATCCTACCTCCAAAACCATTTTTGTATTCTGCCCACTCCCTGAAGAATTTAGTAGTACCATCAGATCGTTTCTGTATCAATGTCCAGCCTCCGTCTTTCATGTCACAATATACCTGCATTTGTTTACCAAGACCATAGGGTTTTATTTTGTAAATTGAATTTCGTTTGTATCCTTGCACATAATAGTCATAACAATCTGTAATAAAAATAATTACAAGAATCAGCAACCTTTATACGTTTGATAGAGGAGAAAGTACATTCATGGTCTCGTCCTCGTCCTAGTCATATGAACAACATGTTTACAGTGACAGGATAGGGTTTTATAAATCTGGACCTAATGCCTACTTTTGTTTCTAGCTCAAACCTACAAAAAAAATTAATTTGAAAGTTATGCAATACTTTTAAGTTGACCTGTGACTATTATCTAGTATACCAGAGTTGACTGAAGATTTTAGCAAAGGGATAGATTGCACGGTTTGATAAATCGATCTTTCATCTTCTAAATAAGTTATTTATATGTTTATATAAGTATAGGTATTCCTATCAGAATTACCCCGAGTAAAATAACATTGACGGTACAAATTTTACTGCACCAGACTGGGGTATGATAATGAATTATATAGAATTGTGGTCACTTGGACTTCCATGCTTGTAGAGGGCGACCTTTTGGCTATGCAATATGTGTAAGGGACGACAAATCCAATGCGAATGCCACGTTTCCTGCTCGTAAAAGAACCACTACAACTCTTTGTGTGTCCCTTGGTGGCCTGTTACAAGGCAATATTCATGTACCTTTTCAAAACACCCTCATTTTACAGTGGCAGTTCAGATTTCCCACGCTTAATCCCAGACCACACACTTTGCAGAACAGATGTATTTGATTTATTGTAAAGTAGTTCTTGTTTTGAATATGCAGGACATGTTTGTTTGGTATTAGATATTAAGCAAACAATAATCCGTCAATCCTTTACTCGATCTTCATCTAACTTGGTAGATGTAGAATGTGTAATTATCTACTTCTTCTTTTCAGCGTCATGTTAAAAAGCAGAAATTAAAAAAAGCATTTACTAACAAACATACCTTTAGGTTCTGTTTGACCATTTTTCAGGTATCGTAGTTTAATTTCTTTCAAGGTATCTTCTTTATGATTCTTGTGTTGCTTTGTTGTCTCTTTCACTTCTTTCTTCTGTTGTTTTGATGCATCTAGAACTTTATCATCATGTTTCTTCTCTTGATTCGTAATTTTTGAGTCACTTGTAGAGGATAATTTTTGTGACTTTATGTTGTCATCTTTTTTGTGTTTGGTACTTTGTTGCTTGTCGGATGATTTTTTTTTAAGAGGTACATTTGACTTAGAAGTTTTAACTGTTGGTTTATCTTCTACTACTTCCTTCTGTGTCGTTTTGTTATCTGGTATTTTATCTTGCTTTAGTACAACGTTTTCTTGTTGCGATGATTTCACTGGTTTTTCATTTGGTATTGGTTCTTTGAAAGCCTCTTTCTTGCTTTTCTGTTCTGAAGACTCTTTGTTGTGTCCTGTAGTTGTTTGTACTTTTATTGATTTGGAATTGTTTCCCTTCTGATCATTTGGAGGTAATCCTTCTGAAGTACTAGCCTTTTGATTTTTACTATCCTGCGGTTGGTTAACGGTAAGGGTATCTTTCGGTACAGATTTTTTAACTTTATTATCTTCGTTTGTAGTAGATTTACTATTTGTCAGTAAAGATTCTTGTGCTTGGCCGATATCTGGCTTTAAAGTATTTTCATGAGGATTTGTATCTGTTTGCATATTAGGATCCCTGACTTCTGAGTTTTTGTCCCCTATGCTGCTGTCTTGTGGCTTAGGAGAATTTATACTGTCCGATTGAACACCCTGTTGTGATGTTTTGATTTCTGTTGATTCTCCATTGCCTATTTGGGTTTTTGTATCTGTAGTTTTGATTTTCGTAGATTCGTCTGCAGTTGGTTTGAGGGGTTTTGTTTCTACGTTTTCTTCAATAGCTTTTTTATCCACGTCAGATGTCTGAGGTTTGTTGTCAGTACTTTGTTTAGAGATCTCTACTATTTTGTTTTCGCTTCCTTGTACAAAGGCATGTGACTTAGTGTCGTCATTTTTTATGTTCTTATCTGCCTTTTCCACGTTTCTATCTTTTGGGTCTTCGGCTGAAGGATTTGCTTTTACTTTATTGAATATCTGTTCCTTCAATTCCTCCAGGTCTTGTTTTACTGTTTTTCTTCTGTCATATCCATACTCCATTTGTGGTCTTGTTGTATCTTTCGTTTGCCTTTCCTCGCACACAGACCAGTACAGTGGAACAAATGGTACACAAGTTGAAAGTCTAATTGATTTGTATATACAGACCATTCGGTGTTTTCCACACCAATTATATGTAATGTCGGCCAGCTTTTTGGTTTTATTTATGTAGTCTTTCAGTTTTTCGTCTGCCTCGTCTTCATTGCCAAACTTTCCTGTTTCCTGTGTATTGATGTTGCTCTTTCTATCGTCTGTCATATCTATCTTTTTGTCTGATACAATTGCATCAATTTTTTCTAACAACTTATTTGACACCTCCGAAAAATGATTGTTTTCTTTTTTATCAGATAATTTTGACATTGCCAGTTTCTCCTTCAGACTTTGTGCCTCTATCCTATGTTGCATATTTTGATCGGATAACTCTTGTACTCGCGACATTATTTGGGTCATCAGTGACGTCTGATTCATGACCATCTGGAACAGCATCCGGTTCTGATCTTCCAAATAATCGTATCTCGTTTTCATGTGTTGAATTGCTTTTGACTGATTCTTGAGTAATTCTGCCAGTTGTGTTATTTTGCTTTGTTGCTGTGTTATTATTTCATAACTTTTCGATGTCTGGTCTGCTATTTCTTTTGCTTTAGAATCGTTTTTTGGCACGTGATCCAACTGTAGATATTTTTGCTTCTGTCTATTCATTTTTTCATTTTCTATTTTCAAATCATAATGGCTGTTGTTAAGTCTTAGCAATTCATTCTCTAGTTTTAGTATGCTATTTTCTAACCGAGTTATAGATGTGGAATGGTTTTGCTTATCTAATTTTTCCATCAATAGTTGGTTTTGAAGTTTTATTACTAGGATTTCTAAATTTTGGATCTGAGAGGAATATTCAAGTGTTTTAGTTTTAAAAAATTCTTTCATATGTTCAAAGTTTGCGTCTTGCATGTTATTTACTATTTCTTCTTTTGAATGTTCTTTGTCATTGGTATGGCCGTCAGGCTCGACACTTATCTGCTGTAGATTATTATCTGAAACAGGTTCGTTTTCCCTGTTCACGATATATTTTTCGTCATTTGTATTTTCGTTGCTGGGAACCAGATGTGATGGTATAATATCTTTCTTTATAGAATATGTGTGCTTTTTTGACATGCGTAAATGTGTATCAGGAGTCCTGATATTTTCACTTTGTTTCTTATTGTCATTTTGTGAATTAACAGTGTCTATTTTGTCATGAGTGTTGTCGTTCTGGCCAAGCTCCTTATTAGGTGCTGATGATTCGTGTTTTGAAACATCCTTATCGCTAAATTCGTCAGGCATGTCAGTATTAACATTTGAGGCACGGTCTGAGTTCTTGTAATCAGATACAAAGCCATGACAATCCCTACATTTTTCAGTTGTACTTTCATTATTTGTATGGATTGACGGCAAATATCGCGAAAGAAATATATCAGTGACGCTTGATGTGTCTGTGTTACATACTCCAAAGTTTTGTAGATTTTTTTCTTTTTCTGCATCGGAGTAATCAGATTCTGAAACAAAGTCATTAACGTTTTGAAGGTGTTCTGTGTTCGCTACATTATCTGTTGGCTTGATTTTGTTTGTTTCAGATGATGCGTCATTGTGTTGTTCAGTAGTTATTGTTTGATCAAAATCTGCAGTGTTCATCATTTTATCGGTTTCTTTTTCCATGTGTTTTTCAGTTCCTTTTGCTATTTCATGCATTTCTGTTTGCAAATGCTCAGCAGTTTGGACTGTTTTATCAGCTTGCATCTCTTGATGTTTTTCTTTTTCCTGTGTTAAATCACTAAACTCTGCTTTATCCTGTAAAGCATGTGTTTGACTATCTCCATTTTCACCGTTTTGTTGCGTTTTGATGGACATAGTTTGCTCAATATTTAAGATACCTGTTTTTGCTGCATTATCTTTTTCGCTTGCATCTTCTGCTTGAAAAAGATCGGCAATAATTGAGTCAATATAATCAGATTGAAATTCGTTTTGTTCCATTGCCTGTGGTCGTGCTCCGTTCTGTTCCGTTGTTTGAGATTCGTCGTTTCTTTCCGTTGTCTGGGTTTTGCTGTTTTGCTCCATCATTTGTGGTTGATCTTCACTCTGTCCTGTTGTCTTTTTTTGTGTTACGTTTTGGCCCGTTGTCTGTGTTTGACCCTCGTTTTGTTCTGTTATATGTTGTTGTTTTTCTCCTTGTTCTGTTATCTGTTGTTGTTCTTCTCCATGTTTTGTTATCTGTTGTTCTCTCCGTTGTTCTGTTGTCTGTTTTTGATCTTCGCTTTGGTTTGTAGTCTGTTCTTCGATTTGTTCTGTTGTCTGTTGATTTTCTACGCTATGTTTTGTTGTCCGTTGTTCTTCTTCGTTATGTTCGCTTTGTTCTGTTGTCTTTTGTTGTTCTTCATTTTGTTCTTTCTGTGTGTTTGCCCCGTTTTGCTCTGATGTCTGTGGTTGTTCTTTATTTTGTCCCATTCTCTGTTGTTGTTCTTCGTTATGTTCTGTTGTCTGTAACTGTGCTCTGTTATATTCTGCAGCCCGATTTTCTTCGTTTTGTTTTGTTGTCTTTGGTTGGTCACTGTTTTGTTCATTTTCTTCTATTTCTTGAAATTGTTCTCCGTTGTGTTCCGTTGTCACTTCCTGTTTTACGTTTTGTTCTTTTGATTGTTCCACATTACTCATTTCTTCGGCATTTTTCGAATCTCTATCTTCGCTCACATTGTTTGTTTCACCATGGGAATTTGACTGGAGATGGGAACTATGTGTGACTTCATCTGGTAAACTATTTGTTTCATCCATTTCTTGATTTTCCTCGGCATTGTTGTGTTCTATTGGGTCAGTTTCATCATGCTCTATATCTTCCTCAAGAATGTCGGTTTCATCTATTTCCATTTCGTTTACTGCTTCACCATTATCACCTTCGTTTCCTTTTGACTTTTTTTTCAAAATATCTTCAAACTGTTCCAATAAGGTACAGTCTATTTGTCTTTTAGTCGGATCATTTCTACTTTTTAATAATATATCTTCAATTTTGTACTGCACTGATTCTTGAGACCCAGATAATGGTCCGTCAAACAGTCCTTCTGCTGCAGATTTTAAATACCACTGGCGAGCATCACATAATGCAATGTCCAAATCACCTCTGAAAATAAAGAAGTATTTTATCAGCTTGAAATAGGTTCTTTAACGAAAGCATACATGAAAAGGGAACGAGTACTGGTGCAGTTTGAAAAGGGGTAAGCCCTATTCCATGTTCACATATTTTTAAATAACCTTTAAAAACTTTAATGTATATGTTAGTTATGAAAGGATAGCCAGCCAACAGTAAAGGGTGTGAACTGAAAACACAAACATTTGGACACTGCAAAAGATTTACAGTGGTAGTATTAGTCTAAGGAGACATAACGTCTATAACACAAGATCCCGTACATTGTCGTAACCACAGTCCCGTCCTCTTTTCCTCGAATATGACCTACCAAACTAGAATTATCTCCGGATTTGTACTAAATAAGCAACACGACGAGTGCCACAAATGAAATAGGATCTGCTTACCCTTCCGGAGTACACGAGACCACTACGGTTTTTGGTGGGGTTCATGCTGCCAGTCAGTCTTTAGTGTTCTATGTTGTGTTTTGTATAATGTTGTTTGTCTTTTGGTCGTTTTTTTGCCATGGCGCTGTCAGTTTGTTTTCGACTTATGAGTTTGAATGTCCCTTTGGTATCTTTTGCCTCTCTTTTGAGCTTTATGTATTTTATCATCTGTAGTTCCAATATTTATTCTTCGGTGTTTTTATCAGAGGCGGACACCACCCCACCCTTTAATGGAGCTACATATATGGTTAATGCATATATTTTTTAAAAGTCCCACTCTTAACGTTGTCTTGTCGATAGCCCTTTCAAACATACTCGTGTACCTGTACAATGCCAGTCATTTCTTATTTAAATGGTTAAGTATTCCTTTATTATATATTATAATTAACAGCGAAAAAATACAATTATTTTTTTTTATAAATGCACTTGAATCCACGTTTATTACAACGCTCTAAACGGAACAAAAACACCTTGAATAATCAAATATGTCAATACCAGTAAAAAAATTTAAGTAAATCTGCTTTATTGTATCTTCGTTTGGAAGGTAAGAGCGAATATTTCACCCTCCAAAAGGATAATTTGGAACTATCGCACACACAATTCTTTTCAATCCAACAGACAGTGTCGGAAGTCGTGAAAGATTGACGTATTTTAACATGAGTATCAAATGCAATTTTAAAAGATTATCATGGTGTGGTATGTGTCCGTCCGATATTGTGATAAAGACAAAGTTTTCAAGTCAATACTTTTATCACCTAAAAGCGAGTTAAAGACAAATATAAACATATATGTTTATATTTGAAGAATTGAATATATTTGACAAAAAGAACGATATGGGTCAATGATAATGAGATAACAATAAAACGTAAACAATAAACGCAGGCTACTTACCCCTGAACAAGACTGTAAAGTGTGAATACAAGAAAAACCAAATTCGTATCCATATTGCTTCTATCTTATGCGATGAAATAAAAGTAACTTGGACAAGAAAAAGAAATTTGATTGCAACGTGGCTTCCGCGTTTTGTATACGTTTAAATTGTCATATCATTTGTTTACTCGTGTTGTAAGTAAATGGTGTTTGTTAAATTCCGATCAATCAATAGAGTTGAATGCAACAGCTGGCGAAATATCTTTGATTATTTGTATGAATCGTAGGTGCGCAGTTAATCAATATGAAACGTACGTATCTGATTAAATTTGGTTGGTGTCTTAATTGAAATATATATACCAGAAAAAAATGATATAATTATGTAGACTTTTGAATATATGACAATTTTCCAGTTTCTCTTCAAAATTTTTACAGATGCCATCCACCCATGCTTGGCCGTTACGGAATATCTGTGTTCCTAATGTCATAGCCACAGTGTCTAATTCCTTTACTCGTTTATAACTTCTAACAAAATGCAACTTAAGGGGATGCCTATTTGATATTCTTGGTGAAAAAAGGGGGGTTATTGGAATAGAAATAAATATGGCCGGGTAATAACTGAAAATGAATAACTTTGCCCCAGACAGTACAATAATCTGTCCAACAAAATGCAGTACAATACAGAGAATAATTATCTGCATACACCGTACTAGCAATAAGTGAAAAATCCGCAAATGGTCAGTGACTCTTTATTGGAGTTATCGGCTTTCAGTGTCGATTTCCACATATGTATGCGGGATTTTTTCCCGAAAAGCATAACTGTTAATAGTAAGAAATCATTTACAGCAAACATTATCCTACAAATAAGTTAACATGACCGAAATCGTAAGTTGTTACGTTATAATCATCTTCGCTAACCAAGAGTTGCGATCTGAAGAGGAGGGGACTTGATCGAAACCATTGGCTAGCAAAGATGCGTTATAATAGATGTTGCCCTGAAAGGAGGAGTATGACAAATTTCAGTGCTAACATAACATCTTGAAATCTATAATAGATCGACTGAACCTTTGAACGACAAAAATGATCAGCAACACAAGATCTACAAATAAGTCAACATGTTTGACTCGTTACATGAGCTGATGCCCCTAAATCACAACTTTAACCAATTTTTTTAAAATCCTCCACTATTATGGATAGACAGAAATTCTGTTCAGCGAAATGAATACGTATAAGACCCGATTTTGACCCGAATAGTTTCAATTCAGCACAAATGTTCTTGTTGAATTATACCATTATTATACAAAGCTGCCAGGTGAGCAACATAGGATCTATTTTTTTCAGTATGAATAATTCAATCTTCTGCAAAGCGTCCACAAAGCACCGAAAAGAAAAAAATAAGCGCGAAGTCGTGGCTGCAATGTGCATCGAAATCTTGTTTCGACGTTTTTAGATATTACACATACACATTAATTATTTATACAGCAAATTAAAAAGAATTCGGTGACCCACTGAATTTTATATCAATAAAACGGAAATACATATCCTTTTTTAAACAAAATTCGTAGGACAGTATTTTGAGAAAAGACCAATTAATGTCCACTATTCAATATTTTTAGTGATATTTATACTATACATTTGTTCTTCTATTTGCTTGCAGGATTTAATTTGATATATCTTTTTACTTATACTAAGTTTTTTCTCGATATTCATATGAGTTTCCATATTCTCTTATTGCTGCCAAAACTCATAAAAATCCATGAGATCGATTTTGTACGTACCTAAATCCCAAACGTCAAGGAAGGCACAGACACGCCAAAATAGTTTAAAGATTACAAACCATAAAATGGCAGGGACCTAAGGAATATTACTGTTAAAAAAAAGACAAAATAGCGATCGGTAACGATAAAACATTGATGAACTTTTCAGCATACTGGTTTCCCTTAGATATAGAAATGTGCCAATCCTAAAAATTATACTTTTCCTTCGTTGATGGTGTTGGTGGCCTGGTTAACAAAATATGTAAAGATTTTAAGTCCATGCACACGTTTTTTCTAAATAAATATACCTATTATACACCAGAGACATATATACATATATGTGTATATATGTCTCTGTATACACTTCACAGTTGAATATCATGCAGTACAAAAGTCCTCACCCAAAAATGATATGCCAATGACTGTTTTTTTTGTTTTTTTTTATTTATTTCAAACTAGATGGTGTTTATGAAGAGGTATTACAACATCCACACGTTTCAGGTTCTATCGAAATGAGTCTCCATGTGCCATTTCAATTCTTTATCAATGACTTGATTTTCTTGCAATCAAAACTAAAGATTTGCTGATGAAAAAGCTCTTGACTATTGATATTAAGTATGTTTTTATAATATCATTCATGTTTCTTATTTATAAGCAATATATTAGGCCACGTAACTCTGTCACGCTTAAAAGACTGAGATTCTTTAGATGCATTATGTAATGTGTGAGATTCTTTAGATGCATTATGTAATGTGTGCTAATGAAGAAGTCTCATATCCTGTTGTATTATTATCTCAATATTTAAACCAAATGATGACTGAGGTATAGAATGATGGTCACTTGACTTCTCCCATGCAACAGTAAGACCAATGCTAAAGAACCATTTGTTCGATTGGCTATGCGAGGTGTATAAATACGCACTACGTCCAGCCAAATTGGTGACGTTAAATCCGAAAATCAATCCCCACCTTCCTTTTGTGGTATTGAACCTTATGGTAAAATTTCATAGAGATCCATTCACTTAAGGTAGATCATAAGTATATACTTTTTGAGATAGAATTTTCTTATACTTTGTCAAAAAGAAGATTTTACTATGCTTTTTTCAAAAATATAATAAAAAGTATGGGTCACCGTGCTATTTTCCAAGCTATGAGTCGTTGAAAATTGCCTAAATTTGGTTAGATTGTTCATGAAAAAACACATTTGTGTGCATAAAAAAAATTCTATGAGATAGAATTTTGAAATAAATTGTAAGAAGATAGGTTTTATAATATGTTTTAAAAAAATTAAAAGAAAAATGGTGTCACCGAAATTGTTTTCTTGCTACAAGTAAAAATAAAAAAATTCCCTATCAGTCCAGTATATATTTTTTACTCAAAGAGTTATCTCCCCTTAAATGGCTTATTTGAAAAAAAATGATTCTAAAAACACAAAATTTGATATTTGTTTAAATATTTTGAATAATACAATAAATCACCAAGTTTTCTTTATATAAATAAACAATCTAACCATTAAATTGCAAATCTGTATCCAAATTTGCAGATTTGGGCAAATAACTAGACCAATTTTGTACTGAGATTGTACAATCCAAGATGGCGGTATACCATGAATCTACCGGCTTACAGTTTACAGTTTAGTGTTTAAATGAATGAATCTAAAATAATGTAATAAAATAATTTTTACAAAAATTACAAGACTACTTACTGTATGTAGTGCTACTAAATATAACAAAATTTGAAACTTAATAAAACAGCAAATAATTAATCAACTGTAATTAATTGACTTTTCTATAAATTTATTGTTTTAAAAGTATATAGGTCTCGGGTGAAGAGTTATCTCATTTGGGAATCTTACCACATCTTCTTTTTTATATTACATGATATGTGTCGTTTTCTGAGTGAATTAGAAGACGATAAAATCGTCTCATAAATTTTTTCCTAGTTGTCGCTCCTTGACGCTCCTTGTCGCTTCTTGTCGCTAAAGTTCTTCTTGTCGCTAATTAGTGAGACCGTGTATTGTTAAAATAAAGAACATCCGAACGTAGGTATTTTCCGAAACGCATGCGTATATGAAATGTTTTCTCCTCTCGAACTACAACTTCCGTTTACCGCATTTATATTATTTTAAAGTAAAGTCTGTCTTATTCTGTTATATCTAATATTTAAAAAAATGCCGACCATTGAAAGTGAGAAGAATGAAACAGAAGAAGAGGAGATGGATCATGAACCAGCTGATAGCGATAAAAGCTCAGACGAAGAATCAGAATCTGGCTCTGTTGACGACGACGAAATATCTGGTAAATAATAATTTTCAATTTTCCAATTAGTGTGGTAATTTTTTCTTAAATTATGATTGCTACTTAACTATTACATTATTTAAGTTAATTACAGGTTTATATGAAGCAATATCACGTCCCTTTTCTCCCATTGACGAGAAATCGAGTTTTTTTTTTTCATTTTTAAGGGCTTATAAGTTATACATCATTATGCTTGTAATCCATATATATTGCCACTGAAGTTATGTAGAATATAGTAATGTCTCATCGTACGCGTTTTGTAGCTTGACCATATGGATGGCTTATTATGTATGCCTGTAACTAAAATATGAGCTACCTTCAAGGATGCCATGCCATGTGCACATGCAGAACACTTCTAGACAAGATAAGACAAGACAAGACAATTTATTAACAACTTAGGCACACGTAAGGTGCTACAAGAGGATAACAATTATACATTAACAATTACATATATACTTATACATTTACAAGATGACAGACCACCCACGTCACTGGCACGTGTATGCAATGTGGTATCACATATACAGTAAAAACAACTTGCATGCAATTTGGTGTAGATTAAATTTTTTTTTAACTTTTATTCTATAGCAAAAGTATCAGTTCATTGATTTTGTAATAGATTTATTTTTCAAAATGACTCCAGATAAATGTATAGATAAAAGACCATGAAGCTAACTCAGTCAGGTGAACTTCTAAAAGGATGATATGTTTATCAGAAAAGCATCCATGAAAACAATTGAGTGCCACTTTCGGCAAAGATCAGGAAGTATAAATTTTTATGGCATTTTAGATAAAAGTAGGGAAGGGTGTGTACATGTAGAGTCCTGCTGAAAGCACTTGTAAAAATAAATGAATTTGGATATTGAGAATTTTCTTTTTTGTGTTCTGCAGAACTAGATGAGGAAGAATGTGACCAAAGAAGAACTCATTGTTTAGATGAAATGGCAGATCTGGAAAGACAGTTTTCTGATATAAAAGAGCAGTATGTTAGAATTTGTTACTGTAAAATTAGATTGATTGGTGTTTAACACCACTTTCAGCACTGTTGGCTATTTTGTGGCCGTCAGTTCGTATAGGTGAAGGTATCAGGAGTGTCGGAGAGAACCACTGGTATTATTGCTAACCCCTACTGTATGTCAAAAATTTATGAAAGACTTCAGTGGGGTTTCTACTGAATTACCTTGTGTATATTTACTATTAGATTATCTTGGATCCCAATGTACATATTGATGCATACAGAGGTGTTTAATTAACAACTGATTTCTACATGTAAATAAAATTCTGATTGAATGTAGTATTAAACAATCAATATTTAATTACTAGAGTTCTAGAAGCAAAACATTATTTTTAGGACAAATTGAAGTATTATGAAATAAGCAAAGACCACTGCCAATTAAAAATGTAATATTATTAAAATAATTGACAAATACATTTTTGTGCCATCAGACTATACAAGGAAAGAATGAGTCAGATAGAACAGAAACTGATTGAGATGAAGGCAGGAAAAGCAATAGAGTATTTAAATCCTTTGGCAGAATTACAGGAAAATATGAGGATAAACATAGAAGTAGCAGGTTTGTCTTGTCAGTTGTCTCCCCTTGTTTATGGTGTTACAAATTATACATATGCAGTAAAAAATTTAAAACTTTAATTGCCAGTTCTTACTGGCAAGGATTTAATTTTATTGCAGTTATATATCTAGTACAATAAAAAATGTCTAAACTTACAGTGAAGCTTGCTGTTTGAAAAGTTAAAACTATCAATGGAGTGGAACACAAATTGAAATGGAACTGCAGTGTGAATACAAATAATCAGCCATACAATTATAAGTGCAGGGATAGGGCTGACTCAATAGTCAATACAACCTCTTGAGTTTGAGTTCTGTTGCCAATTTTTGTCTGCCATTAGATGATAGTCCCTATAGTGAAACATAGCAATCATATAATCTGTCCTTTCTTTTGTACTTGTATTTTAAAGTACCCTGATGATAAAGTTGTTGACAACCTGAATTCTGGGCTTTTTTTAAACTATTTTTAGTTACAAAGAAATTTTATTGACTATGTAATAATATTTATTATCTTGGTATAATCAGGGGTGTACAGAATTTTACACTGGTGTTGAAAATTCATACAACCTGAGGCACAGCCAAAGACTATACATTTTGAACACCTGTGTAAAATTCCGTTCACCCCCTGATTGCACCAAGATAAGTTTATTTCTTATGAATCGTTCTTTTACTTATTTTATACTGGGGAATAAAATTGAAAAATTCTTATGAAGAACTTCCACTGCACATTTTTTCAACACCTATGTTGTTGTGCATTGTCAAATATTACCTTTTTTCGTTTTTATACGCCTGTCTTAGACAAGAAAACAGTATATGGTATACTGTTGTCCATTGTCAACACTTCGGACAATTACTCAAAACTCTTTCACTAATTTTTATGAAACTTTGGTGAATTGTTTATTTCTATTGATGTAAGCTCCCTTTCGATTTTTATATATTTTAGATTTTATGTTTGAGTTAGGAAATTTGATTCATTAAAAAGGGGGATTTTCCAGTTTTCAGACAATAACTCGAAAACTCTTTGAGCAGTTTTCATGAAACTATGATGAATTGTTTATATCTATTGACCTAAGCTCCCATTTGATTTTTATAAATTTTAGAATTTACGTTTCCAAGTTCATGAAGTTATGGGATTTTACTCATAAAAAGGGGGAATTTTCAAGTTTTCGGACAATAACTCGAAAATGCTTTGAGCAGTTTTCCTGAAACTTTGGTGACTGATTTTTATCTATTAGAATAACCTCCTTGTAGTGTTTTTCTAAATTTCTGATATGACATTGAGGAGTTATGGAACTTTTTTCATTGAAAAAGCAACGGGCGTATCATGCACTCATGGCACAGCTCTTTATTGGTCTATGTAGTTATAATCTTGATTCTGTTATAGTGCTGATGTATTGATTTATTTCAGGAATTTTGAGAGAGTACATGATACAAAATATTCAAAGAAAAGTTGAAAGTGAAGAAATTGGTTCAAAACAAAATATGGAGGTATTTTTTTAATCATATTTTATTCAATATTATTTAGAATAAATATTTTCACTGTGTGTAATATAATACATATGATGTAAAGATAAAACCAACATCTAAACCATCTTATTAAAGTCCAAGGACTGCAACAATTAACTTCTTTCTAAGTTATGTAATCTTGTACGTTTCCAGTTTTTCCATTCTGTGTAAGTTTGTGATTAGGTCAGTTTAAGAGGAACTGCCAGTGGTAGGTCAATGATATGTGGTATGGGGTTGTAATAGAATGGGTTCATTGACTTTTGAAATTTTTGCATAGTTTGCATGTAAAAGGTTGTGTTTGTGGTTAAGGTCCGTTCAAAGAGAACCACTTATGATAAATCAATGGTATTTTGTATTCTGTTGTACTAGAATTTACAGGACCTCGTTTCCACAGAGATTATTTGGCTTGCACCGTCAGTCATGGTTCATTTACATTAGTGTTTTGAATACAGTGTTTTCCCTAGGCTATTCAAGCATTGCGGTACCGCTACGCATAAATTTCGACCGCCATGCTTTCGTTGTTGCCGCAATGCATCCCGCTATGTGTGAAAATTATAACTGTGTAAAATATTTATTATCGATATTTTGAAAGTGAAGTGACAAGTGACAACTTCACACAGATATTTTAAACTCATCTGACTGATAATTGGATGCATCATGTCGCGCATGCCGGGATTTTACAACCTTCTTGATTAGTTGGTTATACATCGAGACTTCGGTTACATAATAAAAGTTGCCAGTTAGCTGGTAAATAAATAGTCAGATTAATCTCCAATGCATATCTTTCTGTGCTAAATAAAAAGTTTAACCTTTTCCAGTATAAATTTCACCTTTAAAACGAGTGTTCGACATCGTTATTTTACTGTGATCTTTAAAAAGTAGAAATTTAAAATTTGGTATAGTCTCTTGTATTTTAAAATAAAACTAACGAAAATTTCACCGAGAATGGACAAAACATTTTTTTTTAATAAAGTTTCGCAGTTATTTCCTCAGCTATATTCACATCCATGAATTATTTTTTGATTGGTCAGTCACAACAATCAGTTATTTTTAGATTAGTCACGGTTGATTGATTATATCAAAGAATACGCATCACCGCCACCGGGCCGAGAAAAAGACGTGTCTTATGAAATATTTAAAAAATTTGATGGAAAAACTTTCAAAACATATAGTTATTTATGGAAATATTGTTTTTAATAAACTGGTGTTGTTTGTTTTTATTTCAATGGGTCACAAGCTGAAGTTTCTTTCACTTCGGCAAGATAGGATTTTTACAATTAAGAGCGTTATATATAAGGGATGTATTTAAAAGAAAATGTTAATTGTCATGAAATAAAATGTCAGCTTAGCTTCCAAACAGGTAATTGCCAAATATGTCATCCGTATATTCGTATGTCAGGTATTCTTCATTGACGACTTCTGTAATTAGTGCAAATAAACTTTTTTTCATTGTTTCCTGTAAAATCTCTGTGAAGCAATGATGATATTCAAAGTTTTATTTAACAACTTGCTGTTGATGCTGAAACCATTCTATCAGCAAAATTTGAAGAACAATCATCATTTTAACAACCATGTCCAAGCAACCATCAAAGAAACGTCGCCTTACTGGCCAGTTGGTCAGAGAAGTCTACTCTTTCATCAAATTGTAGTCGGACAGATGAAAATCATCACCATGAGCAAAACCCTGAAGTTGAAATTCAACCTTCACCAGAATGGACTGAAAGTCAACATGTACATGTACCAACAGACACAAGAAACCCTACCAGTACCATTGTATCACTGAAAGAAAATACGAGAATCACAAAAGATTTAAAGAAACGAAAAACAGTATCTTTGTCTAAGTATGCAGCAATTGGTCTTGTTTTGCCAGTTTCAACAGCTGATTGTGAAAGGTGTTTTTCATGTTTAAACAAAACAGAATTAAAACACCTTTGAGAAACAGACTATGCCAAAAAGTGCTGAATTGCTTAATGCATATATCAATTGAAGGACCAAAGGAGGAAGATTTTGATTTTGAAAAATGTGTGGTGACCTTTGGAAAGTTGAAACAGAGGAAGATATCAACAAAATAATGTGTACATGACATTAATTTGTAAATTACTATTGCAGACTGGATTATTTTTATTATTGTTTATAAGGTCTTTCATTAATTCCTCTCATCTTTGATAAATACTTTAAAGTTCCATGACTTATATGAATTGCTGTACCTATAATAAAACAATAAGATTGGTATATGGCTTTAAACATATAAATTATGTAAGTGTAACTAATTCTGAAAAAGAAGCGTCACGCACTGCGTTGCAAATTCACCATGGGCCCACCATGCATGAAAAATTTTCTAGGGAAGACACTGGAATAATTTAAAGTATTGCCATTTTGATTTCAACATTTTCATTATACAATCAAAATAACATACATGCCAGGTGTGGTTCATATGTGTTTCTCGTTTCTCGTTTTTTATATAGATTAGACGGTTGGTTTTCCTGTTTGAATTGTTTTACACTAGTCATCTTGGGGCCCTTTATAGCTTGCTGTTCGGTGTGAGCCAAAGCTCTGTGTTGATGGCTGTACTTTGACCTATAATTGTTAACTTTTTATACATTGTGACTTGGATGGAGAGTTGTCTCATTGGCACTCATACCACATCTCCTTATTTATACAGATTTGTCTCTGTGTCAACAGTTTATTTATTTATATGTGGTAAAACTTCAGACAACTTACAATTTTACTTAAATGATTTTATTTCTTCAGTTTAAAAGAATAGCTTATTATTTGGTGAGGGAGATCATTGGTGTGATCCCTAACCAGTTAACCCAAAGACGTTGATATTTGCTGCTTCTCCACTAAGCATGCTGCATTAAGAAGTAAGAGCAAAGACTGGTCAGCTCAAGTCATATTAATGTGTAAGGGTAGGGTGGCAAGTCTTTCTGTGGACTGTTACCTTGTGAACTAGCATGTTGAAAATCTGGTTCTAGTACAATGCAGGGCTCATATTCATATTGTGTTAAAATGTTCTCATCCTTAATATGCATTTAATTTTGCCACTGGACATTAAATAGCCATTCATCATCATCTTATTATTCTTTATATGTATATCATCACATTGATGTTTTGCCACTGGACATTAAATAGCCATTCATCATCATCTTATTATTCTTTATATGTATATCATCACATTGATGTTTTGCCACTGGACATTAAATAGCCATTCATCATCATCTTATTATTCTTTATATGTATATCATCACAATGATGTTTTGCCACTGGACATTTAATAGCCATTCATCATCATCTTATTATTCTTTATATGTATATCATCACAATGATGTATACTGTTTTGAACTTTAAAAAAAAAAGAACTGTTCAGTTCATAAGTATGGGAATAATTTCATGAAGTAAACTTGACACTTAGAAATACTTCTAAACATGCTATAGAATTCTGTAATTTCTCTTGTTACACATTGTTTCTATTTGTTTATCCCTAAACTAATGTTATAATCCGGATTTGTTATATTTTTAGAGTGAAAAAGCACTGTTGTATGACTCTATTAAAGCTGATTTAGAAGATAAAATCAGAAGACTGGAGGAAGATCGACATAATATAGACATATCTTCAGGTTTGTTGTAATCTCCCATTGGAATGCATGTTTTTGTGAAATAAAGTCACTAATGGTAGACATCAGGTTATTGATTCTTAGGACAATCTTCATAAAAAAAAATCAATATCTAAGGTCTTAGAAAAATACCCTCATACATTATACTGTTATATGATTCAAAGACAAAAGTCTTGAGTTGAAAAATTGTTGTGTTGCATACATAAGCTATTACTGCTTGTATTATCAGCAGAATTTTATATAGATGTCTTTAAAGAAACCATAGCTCTTTATTAAATATCTTATGTTTTTTCTTTAAAATAAGTGTTACATGGTATTAAACACAAGTTTTGCATAAAAACCATTAGTATGAGATATTTACAAAAGGACTTAGTACATGTATTTACTTGACTTTTATCAAAATAATTTAACCTGATAGATGAAAAAATTCAGTCATTTTAGGATGGTTGTTTTGAAACTAAAATAATTTTTATACTCAAGTTGACATCCACTGAAGATTAACTATATTTACATAAAAGTGTAATACAGAAACACATTTTAGTAATTCCTTTATAATTTTATAAATTTACATTTAATAACTGTACGCCAAATCTGTTTTAACCAAAGTCATAATTGTGTTTTATGTCAACTTTTAAAAAAAATATAGAATTAGATGCATGTAAAACAAAAAATTATTTATAATAGACAACGAATTCTGAATATTTTGTGTCAGTTTTGTTTTTGTCATTTTTGCGACTTCTGTCGCAGAAAGCTCTTCATAGGGATAGTGATCCAGTGGTGGCAGCAGCGGCGTTAAGGTGTACATGTATTTCTGGTTTGGTTTATCTGACCTTGACCTCATTTTCTTGGATCATATTAAGTTTATGTGATACTTGTAGGAAAGCTTTATATTTAAGACTATCAACATAAAACCAATGGTCAGTAAAGCAGGCGAGTCATTTCAGCGTGTGCACTCTTGTTGCTAATGTACTTTAATACTGTTTAAATGGTCACTTATATTGTTTTTACAGATTTATGGCATGAATCTCATATTTCAAAGAAAAACAAAAAGAAAAATGATTCCTTTTCTACAGATCGAAGGAAAAAGCCAGTTACAATTACAGGTTTGCAACTTATACATAAAACATTTTTTATTCTAGTTACTTAAATGTCATTTTAAGTGTAAATATTACTGTGATTTATAATACAAATACAACCTGCTTAATCTGTGGGATATTTTGGATTTATACTTACAAAGTTGATAAAATTTATGCATTCTTTTTAGCTCACTCTTGGCATCTGGTGTCATCCTCCTTTGTCATTGTAAACTTTTTGAGAGAGAAAATCTTCCCTCTGAAATTACTTGGCCAAATATTATCAAACCACCTAAATGTTCCATAGGGTAGTTTAAAAACTATTTAGAGATTTGATCAATCACAAAACATGGCTTCTTGGGTAAAATGCAGTTTTTGGCTTATATTTTTAAAACTAAAGCAGTATTGGAAAAACTGACAGGGTAATAATTATCAAAAGGTCAAGGACAATCTCAGATTGAATATTCAGTAAAGTCAGACAGCTCATTTTGGAGTTATTCCCCTCTAAAATGCAAATTTTGAAATGTTTTCCCTATCTTGAAAACTATATATAACAGATAGAGAGAAATTCAATAAGTTAAAATGATCAGATCAAACAGATCTAGAAATAAGTCAACATTGTAGAAATAGTCCTTTTTCCTTACAGGAGTTATTGCCTTTATATGACGATTTCTCACTTATTTTTTGGAGAAACTTTTGTAGGTAGAGGAATCTTTAAAAGTGTTCAGCAAAGTAAGATCTACAAATACATAAAATACAATACTGTATTTCCCCATGAAATTCATTGATCATGTCTAAAATATTAAAACCACTTAAGCCATATTTTCACCAAAATTACATATTTCCAATTTTGAGATTCATATTTACAAAATGACTAAAGAAGGTAGCCTTTGTTTCATTTTAAGATCGTATCTTTCCTACAACATACCTCAAAATAAAAAAAAAATACAATACCATGCAAAACCATACACTAACCTGAAGCAGGTCAACAAAAAGGCACTATTAGGATATTACAAAGAAAATTAAGGATAGATTTTGCTGTAAAATGGATAAAATTCTCTGGTTTCATAAATTTTAGAAATCGTGCAATACATAAGTAATACTGCCTTTCATAGGATTATAAAAAATGTTACAGAAAAAACTTTATTTTTTAGGACCATATATTGTGTATCTGTTGAGAGATGTAGATATTATTGAAGATTGGACAGAAATTAAAAAGGTAAGCATTTTCAATTTTATTAGTCCCCTACTGATGAAGTCTGGTCCATCTGTCTGTCTGTCCGGCAAATCAGTTTGAAGAAATTGATATGATATTTGATGTATCGTATAATCATGACAAGTTACAGATCATGTTCAAATTTTGTTCCGGTCTGACGATTTTTGTGCAGAGTTATGGTCCTTGAACTTAGAAAATTCACTCAAATAATCAGTTTTCCTCATTTTTTTTGTCATGCTTGAAGATATTGATTTGATAATTGGTATATAGTTTTATTATGACAAGTTAGATCAAGTCCGATTTTGTTCCGGTCTAATGATTTTGTGCAGAGTTATGGTCCTTGAACTTAGAAAATTCACTCAAATAATCAGTTTTCCTCACTTTTTTTCGTCATGCTTGAAGATATGGATTTGATAATTGGTATATAGTTTTATCATGACAAGTTACAGATCAAGTTCAAATTTTGTTCCGGTCTGATGATTTTGTGCAGAGTTATGGTCCTTGGACTTAGAAAATTCACTCAAATAATCTATTTTCCACAATTTTTTTCGTCATGCTTGAAGATATTGACTTGATATTTGTTATATAGTTTACACTATGACAAATTATAGATCAAGTTAGCATTTTGTTCCAGTACAATGAATTTTTAACCGGTAGGGGACTTTGTATTGCCAGGCAATACTCACAGAAAGCTTGTTGAATTTGGTTATCAGGCAGGTTAACATTTCTGTTTATTATTATTATATCATATCTGTGTTATTAATAAATATTGTGGTCATTTACTTAGTGTGTAAAAAGAGGAATTGGAATCAGTGGATAAGGTTTTCAGTACCCATTAAGGCTATCAGGTATGAAGGTTTGCAATCATATAGTTGGTAGATGTTATGGTCATATAAGAAACACTACAAGTAACAAAATATATTAGTAAATGCACACAATATCATTATTTCCTATCAAATAAACATCCCAGGATTGAAGATGCATAACATGTAGGTTTTATTTTATTCATTTAAAAATATTATTTTCCATTATTACTAATAATTGTTCCGTCCATAAATATATTAAAAAGCTTTAGATCTTTGAAAAAAGGAAAAACTCTTTATATTCATATCCAAACTCTCAGAGGGAACACAGTAATGCATTCACCTTATTTGTCTGTCCATCCGTCTGTTTGTCCAACACATTTTCTGTCACAATTTTCTCAAGAACAACTGAATTGAATGACTTCTTATTTAGTCAGCAGCTTGACAGTGATGAGTTGTAAAGTGTGAGCACTTTTTGGTCTATAAGACACCTACTTCTTGTTTGCCAATTCTTGGAATTTTTCAATTTGTGGAATGAACTTATTTTTTTATGAAAATTTTCAATGTGTTGATTATTTTTTCATTTTCATTTCTCTAGTACTACTTATAAAATGATTTATAATTTGGTCTGCAGCTTGACAGTGAAGAGTTGTAATGTGAGAGCATTTTTTGAGATCTGTCAAGACACCTTCCTGTTTTTGGATACTTTAAATTTCTAGTGGGGTAGGCATAGCCCAACAATGTGTGTCTTCTTATTTAACAGTATAGCTGTCATGTTAATCTTGGAAGGCTTTTTGAAAATTAGATAAGCAACAATATGTTTTATGTTCTCATTAGATAGATATATTCAGTAAGTTATTTAATTAGTTTGTTCCCTATACACATACACTTTATTTGTTTTACAATATTCCTGTTGAGAATTAATCCATTTCATAATCATTGTAAATTTCAGGCATTAAAACATAGTCAGAAGAGGAAATTAGAGTGTGAATTCTGAATTCATTGTAAGTACATGTATGTCCTAGATCTTAAACCAATAGAATATATAAATGGAAAAGCTTATAGGGTATACATATAACTATTGAGAAGATACATTTTGAAATCCTTGTTTCACTTTTCAGTGTTGATATTCTCTCTTTTTAATAACTCAACATGTTGAGCAATGTGCATCCCATCTCTAGCTAAGGGTATTATTAAAGGTTGCATGAATACAGATCAAATGAGGTTAAATTATTGACTTGCAAGCCAATATCAGCTATATTTATTATTTTGACAAAATTTAACCAAATTTAACTGACTGCTAATAGTGAAATATTATTTCAATATCCCAGTTTTTGAAATGTTTCAAACAAACAAAAAAATCAAATTTTAAGTTTTTGTTTAAATTGTAGCTAATGCCCCTTAAGATATAATATTTGAATGTTGCAGAGGTAAAGAAGGAATTCCAAGCAGTCTGTGATAGTTCACCCCAGAACTTATGGAACCAGTAGTGACAGTACAGAGGCATTTATCTGGTACCTGGTTTATTGGTGAATCTGTTGGGCACCAGTGCTGTGATGTACAACATTTAACAGACAGAACGTTACATATCAAAGTTGTACTGAAATGTTAAATGAAATGATAGTACATTGTTTTTCTTGGACCAACAAAATGGCATTTTTGTTTATGTTTGAATGATAGATGGTGTACCAAAGTATGAATGAGTGTTTTACATTCCATTTAATTATTTCATCTATTTTAGGTATTCATTTTTCTAAAAAATACATTCAGAAACCCTGAGTAAATCAAAGAAAAGAGGATTTTTTTTTTATTAGAAAAAGGGTTTATAGTAGTAATTGTAACTGGATATCTAAACAAAAAATGATAGGTTTTTATAAACTGTGCCAAATTATAGTTTTTATCAATTATTATGAAAGAGTTTATGTCACCAAGCTTGTTTTCAAGCTACATATTGTGTATGTGATGCAAAACTCCAATAAATTGTAAGGATTATTTATGAAGAAACACAATGTTCTGAAAGAAAGACATATCCTCTAGGATTTAGAGATAGGAGATTTTATTGAATAGTTATGGGAAAGAGGAAAAAGAGGGTTAATATTCTAGTTTTCTAGCCTCATAACATTACAGTACAATTTATTAAATTGAATCATTGGAGTTACATCCCCAATTATATTAATAAAATGTTTTGATCAAACAAAAACTTTTTCTGGTTGGGTATTTAAGAATATTACCAAAAGGACATTTTCAAAAGATGTTTATTTCTATGATAACAGCTTTGTGTTGTAAGATATTTGTTACATTTTTCATGGGTTGTAGTAGAAATTAATATCTTTGATCTCTGACGAAACGTGTTATACAGGACACGCGTTCTTGTTTGAATTTATTCCAAATTAAGATTTTGTCACAGATTTTATGGTTTCAAACATGGAAATGTGAAATCGTGAGCGTGGCATATCTTATGGACGCATATTCTTCTTTCTTCCAAGTTTACTTTAATTTTGATTAAATACTGAAATTTTAAACATTTTATAACTTTTTAAAATAATTTTGTTATACGTTGTGAATGTTTAAAAACTTTTAAAATAAACATGCTTATTATTAATCATTGCATTGTCAATTAATTTCCCTCTCAGTGAGCAGCAGAATTAGGCTTGGTTCTATTTTGTGTGCTGGTACATAACCATTTTTGGTTAACAAGTTATTCAACATATTTTGAAAAAACAAATCTGAAATCATGCGTCTTGGTTGTATGTTGTTTCTAGGTCTTACATATTTTAATTTTGTCTGTGCAGTTAAGTTTTAGTGTAAAGCAAAGAATTATATTGTGATCATTGTCAAATAAAATATTGAAAAAGTCTTTTACGATTATTAGCATATACTTGATGGACTTTACAAAACTGTATCTTTTTTTCAGTAGAATATTTTTCTGCTTAAACTACCAAGTACCTTTTCACAATTATTGCCATCACTTGGTATCTATCATCTGTTAATCTTAACATAAAATCTTCTCCTTTGAAACAGCTAGACTAATTGCAACCAAACTTGGCCACAATAGATCTTAGACTAGAGTATCTTGTTTAAAAATTGTGTCTGATGAACCTAGCCTTCCAAACAACATAGTTGCCATGGCTAAATTCGGTCGATGCCTCTGCTGGTGGACTGTTAGTTCCTGAGGGTATCACCAGCCCAGTAGTACTGAAAATACGGATTTTTTGTTATTAAAATTTGCTGTTACAAAATGTTAGAAATTATTTTAAATTAAATGAATATATCTCCCTCATGCAAAGCTGATTCCTTGACCGGCTTTGGCTATACTTTTTTTTTTACATTACCTTTTTGGATTATAGCTCTTCATCTCTTTAATAAGCTTTGGATTTTCAAATATTTTGGCCTCGAGCATTACTGAAGAGATTTATTGTCAAAATGCACATCTGGTGCAGAAAAATTGGTACCTTTAATGTTATTAGAACAGAGAACGTAAATTCAAGTATTGTCAGTTATCATCAAAATGTTAAAAGAGAAAATATGAACTACTGTCTTTTTACCAAAACTGTCATACAACTGCCCTGAAATGAGAATTTAACCAATTTTTATGCCCCACCTACGATAGTAGTAGGGGCATTATGTTTTCTGGTTTGTGTGTCCGTTCGTCCGTCCGTCTTTCCCGCTTCAGGTTAAAGTTTTTGGTCAAGGTAGTTTTTATATGTATTATGGTATACCATTGTCTGTCCGTCTGTCCGTCCGTCGTCAACATGTCAGACAAAAACAAAACTCAAAACAAAAACGCTTAAACCAATTTGGATAAAACTGTGGTGATCTATTAACTTGAGCTCCCTTTCGTTTTTTATAAATTTTAGATTTTACGTTTCCGAGTTATGAGGTTTTATACATCAAAAAAAGGGGGATTTTCCAGTTTTTGGACAATAACTCAAAAAAGCTTTCAGCAGTTCTCATAAAACTTTGGTTAATTGTGTTTTATCTATTGACATAAGCTCCCTTTCGATTTTTATAAATTTTGGATTTTACATTTCCAAGTTAAGGGATTTTATTCATATAAAAGGGGTGATTTTCCAGTTTTCTGACAATACATTTAAAGTGTTTTGAGCACTTTTCATATAACTTTGGTGCTTGTTTTATATCTATTAAGATAACCTCTCTTTAGTTTTTCATAAATTACTAATATGACATTGAGAAGTTATTAAACTTTATTCTTAGAAAACATGACGGGCGTATCATTTGCTCATGGCGCAGCTGTTTATTGATGAAGTTGAAGTCCAATCAACTTGAAACTTAGTACACATGTTCCCTATGATATGATCTTTCTAATTTTTATGCCAAATTAGAGTTTTGACCCCAATTTCACGGTCCACTAAACAGAAAATGGTAGTGCAAGTGGGGCATACGTGTACTTTGGACACATTCTGTTTGGAAATAAAATAGGATCAGCAAGAAGAGATCCACAAAAATGATTTAATGTGTGAAATGGTCAGTTGACTCCTTATAGATTGTTCCCTTGAAAGACTTGTTTTTATACGACTGCAAAAAATTTTTGCGGTCGTATATTGGTATGACGTTGGCATCTTCGTCCGGCGTCGTCGTCCGAAGACACATTGGTTTTCGCACTCTAACTTTAGTTTAAGTGAATGGATCTCTTTGAAATTTTACCATAAGGTTCAATACCACAAAAGGAAGGTGGGGATTGATTTTGGGGGTTATGGTACCAACAGTTAAGGAATTAGGGGCAAAAAATAAGCATTTTCTAGTTTCCAGACAATAACTGTGGAACGGTGTATGGATCTCTCTGAAATTATACTACAAGTTTCCATACCACAAAGGGATGGTTAGGATTTGCTTTGGGGGGTTATGGCTCAAACCGTTTAGGAATTAGGGGCAAAAAAGGGGGAAAAACAAGGTTGTCCTTGTTAATGGACATATACTTTAGTACAAAACATAATTTAAAGCAGTGTAAGGGAGATAAATCAAATACATCATTGAAATTATCTCCCTTACACTGCTTTTAAATTATGTATAAAGTAATGGTTAATGAACAATTAAGATGATTTAAAACAGTGTAAGGGAGGTAATCCAAATACAACGTTTTTGGTTACTTCCCTTACACTGCTTTTAAATTATGTTTAAAGAAATGCTTATTTATAAAGAAAGACCAGTAAAAATATCTGCAAATGTTGCATCTTTTTTTTTTACAAAAAATCCATATGAAAGGTTTGACATTATATTTTAAATTCTATTATAAAAAAGATTAAGTTAGCACTATGGTAAATTTAAATGGGTAATTATGGTTGCAGAAACTCCATTAGAAATTTGATTGAGATTATGACCATATCTTGAGGGAAAGAATTTTTTGGGGGAAAAAGGGGGGGGGGTAAACAGAAATTGTGGGGAGTCAATTTTTTTTCATTTCAGATTTCAGAAATTAAAAAGAATTATTCTTCAAATATTTTTTTTTTTTCAAATTTCAAATATTGAAAAATTTCAAGAAGTAATCTTTAATTGCACAGTATGGCGTATTAGATTTGTAAAATCTTTTGACCACGTTTATTTATTTGTTATGCCGAATCTAACCGTATATTTAGATTTTTAATTTTGGGTCCAGTTTTCAAATTGGTCTACATTAAAGTCCAAAGGGTCCAAAATTAAACTTTGTTTGATTTTAACAAAAATTGAATATATGGGGTTCTTTGATATGCTGAATCTAAACATGTATTTAGATTTTTGATTTTTGGCCCAGTTTTCAAGTTGGTCAAAATTTGGGTCCAAAATTAAACTTTGTTTGATTTCAACAAAAATTGAATATATGGGGTTCTTTGATATGCTGAATCTAACCATGTATTTAGATTTTTTATTTGTGGACCCGCTATCAAATTGGTTCATATTGAGGTCAAAAGGGTCCAAAATTAAACTTCGTTTGATTTCATCAAAAATTGAATTAATGGGGTTCTTTGATATTCCAAATCTAACCGTGTATTTAGATTTTTAATTTTGGGTCCTGTTTTTTAAATTTGTCTACATTAAGGTCCAAAGGGTCAAAAATTAAACTTAGTTTGATTTTAACAAAAATTGAATTCTTGGGGTTCTTTGATATGCTGAATCTAAACATGTGTTTAGATTTTTGAGTATGGGCCCAGTTTTCAATTTGGTCCAAGTTGGGGTCCAAAATGAAACTTTGTTTGATTTCAACAAAAATTGAATAAATGGGGTTCTTTGATATGCTGAATCTAAACATGTATTTAGATTTTTGATTTTTTGCCCAGTTTTCAAGTTGGTCCAAATTTGGGTCCAAAATTAAACTTTGTTTGATTTCAACAAAAATTGAATATATGGGGTTCTTTGATATGCTGAATCTAACCATGTATTTAGATTTTTTATTTGTGGACCCGCTATCAAATTGGTTCATATTGAGGTCAAAAGGGTCCAAAATTAAACTTCGTTTGATTTCATCAAAAATTGAATTATTGGGGTTCTTTGATATTCCAAATCTAACCGTGTATTTAGATTTTTAATTTTGGGTCCTGTTTTTTAAATTTGTCTACATTAAGGTCCAAAGGGTCAAAAATTAAACTTAGTTTGATTTTAACAAAAATTGAATTCTTGGGGTTCTTTGATATGCTGAATCTAAACATGTGTTTAGATTTTTGAGTATGGGCCCAGTTTTCAAGTTGGTCCAAGCTGGGGTCCAAAATTAAACTTTGTTTGATTTCAACAAAAATTGAATATATGGGGTTCTTTGATATGCTGAATCTAACCATGTATTTAGATTTTTTATTTGTGGGCCCCCTATCAAATTGGTTCATATTGAGGTCAAAAAGGTAAAAAATTAAACTGTTTGATTTTAACAAAAATTGAATTCTTGGGGTTCTTTGATATGCTGAATCTAAACATGTGTTTAGATTTTTGATTATGGGCCCAGTTTTCAAGTTGGTCCAAGTTGGGGTCCAAAATTAAACTTTTTTTGATTTCAACAAAAATTGAATATATGGGGTTCTTTGATATGCTGAATCTAACCATGTATTTAGATTTTTTATTTGTGGGCCCCACTATCAAATTGGTTCATATTGAGGTCAAAAGGGTCCAAAATTAAACTTTGTTTTATTTCATCAAAAATTGAATTATTGGGGTTCTTTGATATTCCAAATCTAACCGTGTATTTAGATTTTTAATTTTGGGTCCTGTTTTTTAAATTTGTCTACATTAAGGTCCAAAGGGTCCAAAATTAAACTTAGTTTGATTTTAACAAAAATTGAATTCTTGGGGTTCTTTGATATGCTGAATCTAAACATGTGTTTAGATTTTTGATTACGGGCCCAGTTTTCAAGTTTGTCCAAGTTGGGGTCCAAAATGAAACTTTGTTTGATTTTAACAAAAATAGAATATATTGGGTTCTCTGATATGCTGAATCTAACCATGTATTTTGATTTTGGACATTGGACCATAATAGGTTAATTAAAAAAAATCAAGTTCTTAGACCACATTCTTTCTGTGTCAAAAACCTATGCTGTGTCAAATATTTAATCACAATCCAAATTCAGAGCTGTATCAAGCTTGAATGTTGTGTCCATACTTGCCCCAACTGTTCAGGGTTCGACCTCTGCGGTCGTATCAAGCTGCTCCCAGCGAAGCAATTTATTTATACGACTGCAAAAAAATTTTTGGGATCGTATAATGGTATGATGTCGTCGTCCGAAGACACATTGGTTTCCAGACAATATCTTTAGTTTAAGTGAATGGATCTCTATGAAAATTTTTAAGAAGGTTCAATACCACAAAAGAAAGGTTGTGATGATGTTCCCAACCATCTAGGAATTAGGGACCCAAAAGGGGCCAAAAACATGCATTTTT